CCTTGGCTACCTGTCTTGAGTCATAACTCAGATTTGTTCGAGGATTAGATCCAGTGGTACTGACTATACTGTCCTAGATATTTAATTCAGAAGCCTGCTATTTGCAATATCCTATGACTGTTGGTCATTACCAGCAAGAACTAACATTCTTTTAACTCAAACATGCCTAAACAGATTTGCAGCAGGCCTTCTGTCTTAGAAAAAACAAAAGTACAAATACCAAAGCTTACAATGATATCTACTTGAGACAACCTAGATGGAAACTAAAAATCATTTCACTAATGACAATGTCAATGCTATTTTTTTTAAAAAATTGAAGTCTACTTTAGTGCTTTATCTTAGCCCCAGTCACATTCCCGTCATTGTTGTCAACGAATTTCAACAAACCAGCTTTTGCACAAGATGGAGAAAAAGCCATAAAACTGCCTTCAAAAAAGCACCTATAAAGTAAACCTGAAAAACACTTTGAGCCTGCAATAAAAGATATGATAGTATAAACATTATGGAGGCCTTATTGATCCTCAATACCTAAACATTACATTGCTTTTAATAATAAATGAGAAGGATATAAATATGCCAAATAACAGTACATTACCCTAAATAACACCAGTAAATTGTGAGACTTGGTATAAAAGTGAAATACACTAATGGAACATTGTATATATTGTTTGCACCATGATCCATCAAAAATGTAGCATGATGTTAAACCAAGGCTAAGCTGAAAGAGAGAAATTAATTAACTTTTAGGAAAATTATTTATCTCCATTTTTACCATACATTTTTACAACCTTTTCCTTCAGGCATTTTGAGTACTGAGCCTGATTCATTATTTCAAGGCCTGAACCAAAGACGATGACTGGTCCATGCAACCTTACCTGTCTTCAGGCAATTTTTCTTCAGTAAGGATAAGGCAATGCACTAGGCCTTCCTAGTGTCCTAGTTTACAGGCTAGTATAATGACTTGAACACAGTAAGCTCTATATGGAAGGGAACTGGTCCTCATTGTGGAGCATGTTTGTTAAGAACCTGCTGAAAGCTTAGGGTTTGGTAATAGCATGTTACGATGCAGTTGAATGGCAACCCAGCACTCACATGTGACAATTCTGCCATAATCACTGCAAGGTAATAATTCGACCAACTCCTTCCAACTGACTACTTAGCCCAGGATTCCCATCAGCGAATTCAAACTTGGCACTCTCCTAAGGTTCCTTAACTACATTTTGTAGCAGTTGGTAACTGTGTGGTAGTAGATGAATTTAAATTCTGGGCAAAATTTCAGAATTATTTTCCCATTCCTTTTGTTAATTTAAGTGAAGCTGATCTTCAACAGAGACAGTCCACTTCTTTCACGAGTGCAGTATTTTCCCTCCTCAATCTCCAGAAATAGCCTAATTTCTCTGTGTAGACGACAGCCTGATTTTTTTGTTATTTTTGTTTCTTTTTTGGTGATCTGACCCTTTCCCTAGACTGAAAATTAATCTTTGGTCCTCTCTTCTTGGAGAAGAACCAAAGCAGGCCTTTTCCCTATCTGTGCCAAAGGCAACAGCAAGTATACTAACTATTCAGTCTTGGAGACTATAGACTAGTCACCAGGGAATTGATTTTCTATTTCCCACTCTTCTTATTTTCTCACACTCCTTTATTTCTGTTTGTTTTTTTTTTCAGTTTTAATTCTCTGTCTCTGCTGTCATTATCTTTTTCTGTTTTGTTATGTTCAGTGTTCCTATTTCTCCAATTATGGAATTTTAGGTTGTTGTTCAGTCACTTTCAGTTTACTCTAACCCTTTGTGACCTCATTTGGGGTTTTCTTGGCAAACATACTGGAATGGTTTGCCATTTCCTTCTCCAATGGGTCCAGTGGATCCATTTTGTCAGGAAATCAGAGGTTAAGTGACTTGCCCAGAGTCACACATCTAGGAAGTATTCAAGGCTGGATTTGAACTCAGGTTTTCCTGACTCCAGGCCTAGTGTTTTATCCACTGAGCTACCAGCTACCTCTAATTATGGAACGAGGGGACTATAAAACAACAATGACATAATCCACCCTGTCTCTTACTGGCCCTCCAAGGAAAGGCAGAACATACAGAAAAGTGTGAAATACGTGATTCTTGAGCTTAAAGAACGTACAGGAAAAGGAGGATATACTTGTATATCTGTCTCTATACACATGAAAACAAGTACAGAATATTAGCAACTACAACATAACAGTAAAAATGGCGGGATTTGGTTGTAGGTTTAATTCCTAAACATACTTACTCATCCATCCATCAATTCATTCATTGAATTAAGAAAGAAAGCCAGGCTAAATATTAATAAGAACCCATCGGGGGGGGGAGAGACAAATTCTGAAGGAAAAGAACAGTCTGGATCAGTATGGGAATGTCTCCTGGAGGAATTGAGATTTGAGACGAACCTTGAAGGGTGAATGTGATTTGACAGAAGGGTATTCTAGGTGAGCAAAGTATATAATTTGGGGGTAATGTTAAGAGATTTCCCTGATAAGACCAGAGCTGGGGAATGGTGGAAAATATAGTGGAAATAGGTTGGATGGAGCCAGATGTTGAGGATCTTGAAAGTCTGATACAGAAACTTGGACTTTGTCATGTAATCAGTGAAGAACTATTGAAGAGAAGTGACATGATGAACTCAGTATTGTAGAAATATTAATTTTGTAGTAGTATATAGGATGGATGGGAAGGGAGAGGGCAGGTATTAACTGTAATTTGGAGAGGACCTATTGGATATGGAAGTATTTTTTGAAACCTCAATGGGTTTGAGGGTGATGTCTTCAATAGGAAACATGTTGAACAAAAGCAATAGATAAGCAGTATATTATACTGGGAGCTGCATGCTTATAGGTAAGAATCTTTAGAATCATATAATTGAGTAGTGCTGACTAATTGTCTGGAGAACCATTTTTTCCAAAGAAATTGGACCTTAAATCCACAGTACAGGGATATGGGTTTGTAAATATGCTAAAAGACACAAAGAATACAAGAGAGAGAAAATATTAGATGACTTCTCAAGAGCAGCAAGAGGAAAAAGTGACTTTAGAGACTCTCAGCGTGGCTATTTCCAGGCCAAAAATCAGATTCTTCTGTTAATGATGACCAGTGGGCACATATGAAAAAGTCATATGCTAACTAGGGAGCAGGTCACGAAAAGGTCATGAGAGGAGGGAAGATTGGGGTCTGGATATTTGTGGGAAGTGCCTGATAGAATATGACATTCTGATTGTAACCAAAGTTAAACTGAGCTTAGAGCACATGTTAACCCATTCTTTCAATGGTTCACATATCTAGTAGTGATTATTGCTTATACCAAATGACTGTATCATAAAGGATGTGTTACTCTTGCTTGTAAGGTCATGACTACCGAGGAAGGATGTAATAGTCAGGATGATTAGTTAAGGAGATCCCAGGCAAAGGGATAGATAGCCTTCTGATGGCACAACATTATATCTTGATATATATCTACATCTATATCTATATTATACACACACACACACACACACACACACACACACACACTTGAGATTTGGTTTTTGGTATTTGATAGCAGTAACACCAGCAAGGACCTTAAATTAGATGATGGCTTCAAAGGTGGGAGACTTCAGATATGGACTTGGATGATTTGTGGGTTCATTTTGCTAAATTGCTTTCCCCACCTCCCTTTTCTTTTTCATTATTTGTTTCTAGGCATTGTTTAAAGCGGGGGGAGGCATTATTCAGAAATAAAGGTGATTTCAAAATAGGTTTCAATAAAAGTACTTAAGGTAGATATTATCACTTTGCTGTGAGAAAAGCACAAGAAAATTCCACCCAGGGACATATAAAATAGAGAAATTGTAAAGCAGGACTGAAAGCCAAGTTTGCAGGTAAGCTGAGCGAGCAGTTGCTTATCTGATATATTTTGAAAGGACTAGAGCAGTGCCTCTGTCCCCAGATATCTCTTCCATCCAGATGTCTTTGTGACTGAAAGACCTCCATTCATTCCGTTGGGAAATACAATGCTGTGGCCAGGAATTCCACTTTAAGATGTGTAGTGCTCCTTAAGGGCATCTAGGTGGCAAGTGGACAGAGCGCTAGGCTGAAATCCAAAAGACTCATCTTCCTGAGTGGCTTCAGACACTTACTACCTGTGTAGCCCTGGGAAAGTCACTTAACCCTGTTTACCTCAGTTCTTCATCTGTAAAATGAATTGGAGAAGGAAATGGCAAACCTCTCTAATATCTTTGCCAAGAAAACTCCCAAAATTGGACCATGAAGAGTCAGACACAAATGAAATGTGCCAAACAACAACAAAAGTGCTCCTTAAAGTTGTCAAGGAACATCACAGATACAATTACATATGTGGATGATGGAGTAAGGCATGAGGAAGGAACAGCTGGAAAAAGAGGAAAGAAGGCAAGTCATGTCGCAACTGCAAATCAGCTAAACTGATTACTTTTTAGCTGATAAAGCAGGGTGGAGAAAACGTTTAAGAAACCTGAAACCTGGAATTTAGAGAGAGAGAGGATGCTTTGAGCAGGGGAAAAGACACAAAAAAAGGATCAAGTATGAATGTAATAAGCTTTGAAAATATGACCCAGCTAGAGCTGCTGGGTTATGTCTTCAGGCTACTGATATGTACTGCATAGTCACCCATTGCATCCTAGGCCATTGCTAGTCATCTTGACTTTTGTCCTGCCATGGACTTCAATGTCTCTAGAAAAGAGAATAAGGCTAATGAATTTGCACAAATCTGCCTCACTTAAATCCAATTCACAAGCAAGTCAAGACATCACCCTTGTGATATCATTGGTCCTCTTTGAAAACAAAGGACAAATGACAGCAACAACTGACAAACATTGATAATAATAGGAAAACCAACAGATTTTCAAAAATCTATCTGCAAAATTGCTAAGTCTTATATTGATGCTATTTGCTCAGATTAAGGAAAATTGAAATCAACATTCCCATTGTATGGATTATGTATCTAATAGTGGCTTGCTTTCTTAGGTTGGAATTGTACAGTATAGTGAAAATGTGACCCATGAATTTAATCTCAATAAGTATACAACAACTGAAGAAGTGCTCAATGCAGCTAACCAGATAGAGCAGAGGCAAGGGCGCCAAACAATGACGGCTCTGGGAATAGATACAGCAAGGTATGTACATCGAAAATGCTTCCCCAGATTAGAAGTCTCTCCAAGGTGTATAATTTAGGGACTGTTCCCTTTTGTTTTTCAGTTCATAGTTAACTGGTTATAATGTTACCTCAACTGGTTGAACCATTTTAAAGGATCTGAAGTTATTAATTAATATGATCATAAGATGATGGATTTGGAGGTGGAAGGGATGTTACTGACCATCCAGTCTTACATCTCTCTCTCCTTTTATAGATGAGGAAACTGAGGGAAAGAACACTGGCCTGATAACCAGGAGATGAAAAGGGACTAATTTTTAATTATTCTGAATTTTTCCAATGTTTAAAATTATTTAACATTAAAGAAGCTTTATTGATAGATGCTTCTATGGGATCAATTAAATATCATCTTATTCTAAATTGTTCTCTTATCAAGATTTTTAAATATGTTGCTTTAAATGCAAAACATGCAAGGGCAAAAGTTATTCAATAGACAAAAATTTTCTTTTATCCACTCATTTTTTCCCTTTTCTCCAAAGATATCATTTTAAAGAAACAGAATATTTCATAGAATTTTAGAGTTGGAATCTCTGTTTCCATGTATCACACAGGGCCTAAAGAGGGATTCTTTGAGTGGATATAGGCCTTAAGGCTCTGAATAAATAGTTTCCTTTCCTTTTTTTTTAAACTCTTCACTGTTCTGTTCTATTTCTTTCCCTCAGGGATAGCTCTACACATAACTCTGATGTATGTGCTCTGTGTTTTGTATTCCCTACCTCATGTTTTCTGTGCCTAAAATGAGATAATATCTGAAAAGTGCATGCACTTAATAAATGTTTGTTGCTTTCTCTTCACCCACCCACACCTTTCTCCCACCCTTCACCAGGTGCCACCATGGGACAGAAGCAATGAAATGGGAAAGGAATAAAGTATTTATTAAGCACCTACTATGTGCCAGGCACGTGCTAAGTGCTATACAAATATCCCATTGTATTTTCTCAACAATCCTGGGAAGTAGATGTTATTATTGTCCCCATTTTACAAATGAGGAAATTGAGGCAGACAAAGATGACTAGGCCCCACGTCATACAGCTAAGGAATTTCTAAGGCCAAATTTGAACTCAGATCTTCCAGACTCTAGGCCCAGTACTCTATCCACTGTGCTTCTTAGCTCCTGGATCCCTGAAGGTGAAATTTCAGGAACAGTGACATCTTGGTGGAGATGATATTCTGGGAAAAGTTTCCCTAAAACTCCAGAAAGCACCATATATACTGTCTATAAGTACAAGTTAAACCTGATTTCAGTGCTGCTAGATTTAATATAAGGAAATATGGCAGGCAAACTTTTCTGATACTATCCCTTTGCTCTTGTTAATTCAGTTCTAGCCCATTCTGACAATGAGATAGAAAGCACTATTTTTTTTTCTAGTAACCAGGCAGCTAGGTAGGATGGTATAGTGGGTAGAGGGCTGACCTAGGAGGCAAGCCTAGGTTTGGTTCCTGGCTCTGACGCATGCTTGCTGTATGGCCTTGGATAAGCTTACTTCTCAGTGTCTGAGGGAACCCTATCAAGGAAGGATATGATTTTAAGGAACTGAGATTAACAATAACTGACATCATAGAGTACTTTAGAGTTTGAGGAGCCCTTTATGTGTATCATTTCATTTGCACATCACAAATACTTTATGAAGTAGATACACCTACTATTATCTCATTAGCTCCAATTTATTAATGGGAGAAGATTAGTGATTTTAACCCATGTTCACATAGCTAGTGTAAGAAGTGAGAGTTGAACCCACACTTTTCCTGACTCTTAATCCAACACTCCATTCACTATAACAATAATAACTAACATTTATATAGTGTTTACTCTGTTTACACTGTGTTAAGCATTTACAATTATTATCTTATTTCATCCTTACAACAACCCTAGAAGGCAGGTAGTAATATTATCCTCATTTTCAGATGAGGAACTAAGGCAAGCAAAGCTTGAGTGATTTGTCTGGGTTCACAAAAGCTTGTAAGTGTCTGAGATCAGATTTGAACTCTAGTCTTCCTAACTCTAGGACTAGTTCTCTATCCAATGTACCACCTAACTGCCTCCCTTTCCCCCTTCAATATTAATACACTGGCATGTTTTAAGTGGTCTGCACTCTGGAGTGAGACAGGAACCAGACTAAAATATAATCTGGAAACGTCTAACAAATTAAATTAAAAAATACAGCACAACATAAATAATGTTAATTTGTGGCTTACTAAATCGATATATACCCTGGCACATCTCTATTTCAATCTGACACCAAATTTCTCAGGTTCAAGAGAGTTAAATAGTACAGGATGTCAATTTCTAGGCCTTTTAAGAAGCATCTTGCTTTTTCTTTAAGAATTCTTGACTTTTAAATATATGGAGAATAGATATCATAGAAATGTACCTTTGATGGAAGTGGCAATAGGTTGTAGTCATCTTAGGTGCTTTCTCAGAGAGGAGAGGGATATAGAACAGTAACATCATTGTCCCCCAAGATATAAATGCTTCATATTTCCAGTTAAGGTCATAGATGTTCCAGTTTGAAAATATATGTGTATACATATGGGTACAGTTGTATATTGAGTCTTCAGAGAGAAGAACAAGAGAAAGAAGTGAAACAGGAATGGACACACCCATGCAAATAGACCCCCCACATACACACAAACACACATTGCAGGTGTTCAATAAATCTTTGCTAAATTCAGTTGAAATTCCTTTCTCATCCTGTGCATATTTCTGCCCTGATTTCTCTTTCTTGTTGTCTCTTGACCCATCCCCCTCCAACAATCTGTGTCCTAGATCACACTAAGCATTCTTTACAACAGTCATTACCCCAAAGTCTATCTCATTTTATCTTGCCATCTAAAGCCACTTTTAAAAATTATAAACTAAATACTCTCAGAAAATATTAGTAAACAATTATTAAACTAAACTTGGAGTACATCTAAAATGAAAACTATTTGTTTTCCTTTTTTAATGTCTGATTTATTTCCCCCCTTATCCAATGCTGACATTTAAGAGCTGGCTGGAAGGAGAGGCTGGAGGCTGTCTGGGGCTTAACAAATTCTATCCTCCTTTGTCTCTCCTCTTCATCTCAGCTCTGCAGTAAAGGTCAAATTGGTGAGACTGTTCTGTGAACATCAGAATAGGGGGTGAAGGAAGGTGAGAAACAAAGCAGATGCTTCTGCCAAAAGGAGAGAGGAAGAAGCCTGCTGATATGGAAAAAAAAAATACATTCCCAAGGGAAGGGGGAAGGCTGTTTACAAAGCAAGGAGTGGGTGTGGAGAATTATTCTCCTCTAAGTCTTATGGTGAGCTTGGGACCCACCTAGCCTTTGATATCTCCAGGAGTACAATGTCTCCTCTGGCTTTGGTATGTGAGAATATGTGGTGATTAAGCAAAATGGCAACCTTTCTACCATCTGCGATAAATTAGAAAATGCTACAAATAGTGGTCATCATGCTACCCAGTGTGACCGGTGGGTGCTGCTGTTGCTCTTGGCTCCAAGGCTAGGAGCTACCTAGAGCAATGTTTTGCTTTCACACATTGCCTTGAAGCTTTTGCATAATCTTAGGGATGGTGTCTTATTTGCCTCTTTTTTATATGTAAATATGTTTCAGAAAAGAGGCCTTCACTAAAGCCAGGGGTGCTCGAAGTGGGGTTAAGAAAGTCATGGTGATTGTGACTGATGGAGAATCCCACGACAACCATCGGCTGAATAAAGTCATCCAGGACTGTGAAGATGAAGACATCCAGAGATTTGCCATAGCTGTAAGTGAAATGTTAGTTCATAAGAAATAGATTTAGAGCTAGAAGGGAACTCAGAGGTCATCCGTTTTCTCCCTCATCTGAACTCAGCTCTTTTGACTCCAGGCCTTGCATGCTTTCCTCTACCAGAGGTTCCCAAAGTGGATGATAGCACCCCCTGGGGGTGCTGGAATGATCCAGGGGGGGTGGTAGTAGCTTCAGATGCAATTGGGGGGGCATTGGATAAAATAAGGGGGTGGTGGAAGCATAAGGAAAGAAGAAAAGAGAACAAAATTTTGAAAAACTATTTGTACATGTTACATCTGTTGTGTAGCAGAGTTAAAGTCATAGTGATTACATTATTTTCCAATTAAATACTCAAAATGCAAGTTATAGCCAATCAGTGGTCAAGTCCACTGACAGGTCTTAACAAGCAAGTGTTGGCAGGGTGTATCACACATTGTCAGGGAGTCTAGCATGCATCAGCAGGATGTACATGTAATGACTTATTTACAGTACAGTATTATATGGTTACATGACTTATTTACAATACAGTATTATATGGTTACATGACTATTGCATCATCAAAATTTCAATATAGTAAAAAAACCCACAAATTTACAATAAATTATTAAATTTAAGATGTCATTTTTAAAAAAATTGTATTTTTTGAAATGACACAAATTTCAAGAAAAAAATTAAAAGATTATAGAAAGTAAATTTCCAGGGGGGCATTGAGTAAATTTTTTAAAGGGGCAGTAGGCCAAATAAATTTGGAAACGTCTACTCTGTACCATAGCGTCTATCTTCCATATAGTGCCCAGGGGTGGTCTTTCCACCCCAACTTGCAGGACAGGTCTTTCAGACAGCATTTATATCAGGTTCAAGATTTACTTTGAGACTGCATTGCTACACTATAGCTCACAAGTCCCTACTGATATATTTACCTTGAATAGTCAGCCAGAAGACATAATTAGCTCAAAGTAAAGGAATTTACTGAAATGGCATAATGAGAAAAGCCGCTGCAAAATATTTCACAAACCTGAGCAGGATTCCATTAATGAGACAGGAGTATGTGTCAAGTATATTCATGATCATTTGATGAGGGCAAGACACAACTGGAAGAAAGAAAAGCCTGCAGAGCCCTGCTTAGCAAATAGGATAGAAGCTGGCAGACAGAAATATCCAGTAATCCTTAATTGTCAATAATGAGATTCCCTCCACTATTCTCAGCATTGCGTACAGCTATACCAACAATTTTGATGGTGGGGCAATTGGTGGACAATGTATCTGTTTTGCAATCACTCATGGTCAGGGGAGATGCCAGCATACTGGTTCCTTCTCTTCTCTCTCCCCATCCCAAGACCCCTGGGAAACATGAGGACCACTTCTAGAAACATTTCCCATGGGGAAGAGGCTCAGAGTAGAGTGGGGCACTCAGCCCATATAAATTTTTGTGCTCTTAAATTTGGGCCAAAGTGCCAGTTACCCCATCCTATTTGAAATTTTGGCAGCACTGTGAGGCTGGATAAGGTAATGAGCCCAATTCTTTGGAGCTGTTTAGGCATGGGCAGCTAGATGGCACAGTAGATAGAACTCCTGGCCTGGAGTCAAGAAGGCCTGAGTTCAAATGTGGCCTCAGAGACTTACTAGCTGTGTGGCCCTGGACAAGTCACTTAACCCTGTTTGCCTCAATTTCTTCATCTGTAAAATGAGCTGGAGATGGAAATGGCAAACCACTCCAGTCTCTTTGCCAGGAAAACCACAAATGGGGTCACGAAGAATTGGACTTGACTGAAAAACAAAGGCAACAATAAAAGCCTTCATTTTTGGGAGGGTAAGGGTGAACTCCACCTCAGTCTTCAGGGTGTCTTGGTTACCATATATTTCCTGGGTCAGACAGCATTGAATCAGAGCAGAGTAAAGAAGAGAGAAAACTTGAGGATCCTTATCTATCATTCAAAGAACTTTCCCTTTCCCTCAACTGTACAAGCCGAATTTAATTTCTCAAAATTACCAAGATAACCATCCTTTGACAAGCATGAGGTAGGCTGGAGGAAAAAAAATAGAAATTGTTCAGTCAGTGTTTATAAAGCACCAGACATTGTGCTAAGCACTGGGGATACAAAGAAATGAAAGAAAAAAAAAACCACAAACAGTCCTGGCTCTCAAGACAACATGCAAATAACTACATACGACAAAAAAGATGTATGCTGGGTAAAATGGGATCAGTCTAAAGGCACTAAGATTAGGGACTGAGAACAGCTTCTGGAGAAAGGTTGTTCAAAGCAGAGGGAAGTTTTTAGATCCAAAGGGAGTTCCCCGCCTGGTCTAAGGGTCACAGGCTATATATTACACAATGTACTCTGTGCTCCTCTCGAGAGCAACCATGTAAATACACAGCAGTATGCTTATTGTTATTAACAATAATATTTAAACACACATTGGCTCAAAGCAAGCTGCCTGTGCAAAAACAAAAGACATCTGTCTGCCTACAGACCTCATTATAGAGATTCTATCAGCAACCAACAGCTCCTAGGAGTATGCTGGCCAAATTTTCCTGATGCTATTCCACAGAGGGGGCATTCCAAGCTCTGGAGGGAAAGGGGTGACGGATGGAAATTCTGCTGCTCAGAATATAAATTGAATTTGAAGCAAGCTACAGGCCTCTGTCCTCGGGCAGCTCACTGCACCTGACTGCCCTCAAAGTTTGGACATTCTCCTGGGCTCTTCCATTAGGAGGGCAGCTCCCTGCCTTAGCCTACCCCAGTGCTCTGGCTATACAGTCTACTCTGGGCCTGTGTTTTGAACAAGAGGAGGAAGAGGTGGGGCTAGATGCAGACAATGCATGGTTGCCACACACTGCCTTGAAGAGTTGGATAGATGGAGAAAGGGAGGTTTAAAACTAAGCTTAAGGCAGTGCCTATCATCACTCGTAATTCCAAAAGACCCAAGGGATGATCCAACCCTGGCTACAAAGATAATGTCTCAAATCCTTCCTGAGTTATCTCATCCAGTCTCTCCCTCCCCCACCCCCTCAATCCATCCTACACACTGCCTCTGGGTTAATGTTCATCAAATACCACTTTAATTTTGCCTTCACTCATTCATTCAAGAAATATTTAAAGCATGACCACTATGGCAAGTTTCTATATTGGGCACTATCATCAGGTATTGGGGGTTATCTTAAGTGAGGGGAGGAGATGAAGAAGTTGTGAAATAAATGAGACATGTCTTCCCTCAAGAAATCTACAATCACAGAGTTTGGAGCTTAGAAAGGACCTTCCAGAAAAGGAATCATGCCGCTCTCTCAGTAACTCTATGACTGCTATAGCAGGGGTGATGCTGCCAGCTTAAGGAGATTTCAGAGAGGCAAAGAAGATCTCGGGGAATTATTGCCTCCCTCCTCCCCCATATACTCTCTATGTTATAGTCTAAATTCCTTAACCTGACTTTCTAGACCCTCAACAATCTGTTCCAACCCACTTTCTAAACCTTATTCCCCAACACGAAACCTCTTCTATAGTCAGGCTAGACACGACACTGCCTTCAAAATAAAGACTTTGCTCATTCTTGCCCACACACCTTGCTTAGATCAGGTTTCCTATCCCTGACATTTCCTCCCTTCTTTTTCTCTCCACTTACTTCTAAACCTTTTTTATTTTTCAAGGCCTGGTTCTTACCCTTCATCTTTTCAAAAGCCTCTGACCTCACAGTCAATGATCTCTCTGTCCTCTGAACTGCTATGGCATTTCATTGTCACTTAATCACATACAACCATGTTAAATTCTTCCTGGGTATGCTTTGTTTATGCTATTGTGTCATGAGATCTTTGAGGGCAGAGACCATAATATAAACTTCCTGGACATCCTCTCAGTGCCCAGATACTCTCAATAAAAATTTCTGAACAAGTGAATTGTAGAGAGCTTGGTGTTCTTAATAATTTATTTTTGTCGATTCATATCTCCTTGTTGTCTTGGATTTTATGAATAGTAAATTCAAATTAATACATAGGTTTAAAAAGAACTGAACCCTTTATGGAGAAAAAAATCCATTTGTGGGGTTATGGACTAAAAATGTCAGAACTGAGGTTATATTAACAAGCTCACTAATAAAAAATGTCAGAACTGAAGTTATACTAACAAGCTCGCTAGTAAAATGAGAGAAATAGAGAGGATGTGATTCTCATTGGGGAAAAATGCAGAATAAAATACTTAAGTAATGAAAATGAGCTATATGAATACTATGCGGGCAAGGAAGAAATAATAATAGTAATAACTAACATTTATATAAAGCCTACTATGCATCAGGCACTATGCTAAGTGCTTCACAATTATTATCTCATTTGATCCTCACAATGCCCTTGGGAGGTAGATGTTAATTATTATCCTCATTTTACAGATGAGGAAACTGAGGCAAACAGAGGTTAAGTGACTTCCCTGGGGTCACAAAAACTAGTAAATATCTCAGGCCAAATTTGAACTTAGGTCTTTCTGACTCCAGGCCTGGCACTGTACGCACTGTGCCACAATAACCATGGCATCATGGTGGCCTACACTTTTGAAGACAAGTCTGTGGCAATAAAAGAAAAGTGGTAGGAAGAGATGGGGCAGGCAGAGTCTCCATCAAAGTGCTTGCATGCCATTTTGTCAGGAAAAATTGACTAAGAAGGGAACATTACAAAATAACATATAAATTATGTATTCTTTTTCTGTCAATAGAAATACGACAGGCTTAAATGCCTGGCATTCAGTTAATGTTCACCTGAGGTAAACATTGCAAAACTGCATTTCCCTTGGGCCAGGCATGTCAAATGTAAAATGTTTAATCCATTTACACTTAATATATTGTCTGCTGTCTGAAAGCAACCAAGGAAGATTTGAAAATATACTGTAATTACTCTACTTCTATTGAAAGATTGTAGGTTTAAACTAAAAATTAGGTGGATTTTAAAGGTAGCACTGACCAGTGATAGATTCACTAGACATATTATTTTTACCAAAATCAAAGATTATGCATGATCTAAAAGAAAAACCTCTGTATTTTCCTCACGTGTATTTTCAACTCTATCAATTTGTGAATGGAATGACAATTCAAAGTGTTAAGGCAAGAGAGGATGGGGGGTGGTGGAAGTTAAGCATGGAGACATTAAAAATATACAAAAATGTTTTCTATGAAGTGTCCCTCTTAGGAAATGCTCAGGGTGACACATCTATAAAAATGTCTTGTTTTTCCTAAAGGTCAGAGGGCTGTGCATGAATTAGGAAAAGCAAATGGCATCTTGAAGGACTTGGGACATAACTGACAGGGATGGAGGGAGGGGTATGCTGGTAAATATTTAACAGTTGGCTCTCCAGGGAAAAAAAAAGTAGCACAACATACTTCTAAGTTTAATTCCATATGCAAAAAGTCTTATCTTGCCCAGCATGATAGCTCATGCATGCAAATCCTCCTTCTAAGGAAGGTGAGGCTGGTAGGTTGTTCAGATTCTGGAGTTCTGAACTGCATCAGCCTAAAGGTAATCAGGTGTCCACACTAAGTCTGGCAGTAAATTGGTGAGCTCCTGGGATGGGGCAGGGGAGACTCACAAGGCTGCCTGAGGAGGGGGAACAAGGCTAGGTTAGAAATGGAACAGGTTAAAGCTCCCATGGGAATCAGTGTTGGGGTTGAACCTGTGAGTGGCTGCTGGGAGGGAGAGAAGAAAGAAGCAAGGAAGGAAGGGAACGAGGGAGAGAGGCAGGATGGAAGAAAGAGTGAAGGAAGAAAGATGAAAGGAAGTATGATGGAAGAGAAGAAGGAATGGAGGGAGGGAGGAAGAAAAGAAGGAAGGGTAGAAGGAAAGAAGAGTCTTATCTAGAAATAAAGCTTCCAGAAACGTGTTTCTTTCTTCTCATCACTCAATTCAACTGAATTTACCAAGAATAGTGCCTACTTCACGCAAGAAACTGTGCTACGCTCTTAGGATGCCAAAATGTAATGAAAAGCAGGCCCTGCCCTTGGAGATCTTTTATCCTACATGGCAGTGGCAACATTTTCAAGAATAAATAAGTGAAAGATAATTTGAGGAAGCCAAGAGCACTAAAACGTAAGAGGATTGGAAAAAGCTTCCCCTAGGTTGCAATGCTGTACTTGAGGCTCAAAGCAAGCTAGGGATTCTTAGAAGCAAAGGAGAGAAACAAATGTTCTTCAGGGACCCATGAAAGGCTTGAAAAGGTACGGAAGTGGGAGATGGAATGCTGAGTTAAAAAACAGCCAGTGGGCCAGTTTGAATAGAACAGAGTGCATGAAGAGAAGTGATGGGAAAGAAACCTTGAAGGATATGCAATAATCAGACTGGGAAGGCCTTTAGGGGCCGAGCCAAGGAAGAACGACATTGCCAGGTTCGTGCCTTAGGGAGATTCTTTCAGCAAATTTGTGGCAAATGGATTGGACAGAAGAGTCTGAAAACAAGGAGGCCAATTTGGAGAGTACTGTAATAGTCCACTAGAGAGGTGATGAGCTTTCATCAGGACGGTGTCCATGTGTGTAGGGGAGCAGGGTATGGATGTGGAAGAAGTGATGAAGCTTCCTTCTATGGGCATCTTGTTTCTTTGCTGTTCCTACCCTTTATTTTTCTCATTTCACAATTGAAGAAATTGAGGATCTGAATGGCAAAGCAATTTGCTCAAGGTTTCAGAACCAAGAGCCAGGAATGGGTTGTTCTGGAGCCAGCTCAAAACTGCCTCATGAGAGATGATTGTTAAATTTTCTGTGTCAGCATTTATACCTCAGAAATTGGCAAACACTAGAAATCAGGCTCTGATTTACTATTTTCTTTATTGTCTAGCCTTAGGAAAATGATGAAGAAAAAGTTGATAATGCAAATTAGCTTTTAAAATATGTCCTTCATATAATTTTTCCCAGAAAGTCACTTGTTAAACATTTACCAGCATACCTCTGCTAGCCTCCTGTTTCTTTGTCCAATGCTTTTAACTATATATCACACTGTATATCTTATTATTACAGATTCCTAGAGTCCTGCTGCTTTTCCTCTTCTAACAACTCCCTTTCCCGTTTCCTCTTCATCCCCTTCACTTACCAGAACTGGAAAGTGGATGGTAGCAGTCACTGTTAACATATAAGCAAAAAGCCCTGACCCTTTTCACTTCTCAGGGAAGGAAGCAGGGAACTGTATTTTTTCTGACTACTGTAATTTGTACAATCACCCTCCGCCTCCACGTTTTCCACAAGTGAAAAACTAGACATCTTAACATTAAATAAATTCGATGACCTGAAAGATATCCAAATGATCTCCCCATTACTTCGTTGTCTGGTCTATTTGTCTTTTGTAGAACATTTCTTCCAAACAGCTCAGAGTACTTTGCAGACATTATCTCATTATTCCTAGCAACATAAATGGCATTTTACAAATGAAGAAATGAGTGAGCAGAGTAAGTACTGGAATCATTCACCTGAGGTCAGAGACGATGTCAGTGATGGAGGCATCCCTTAGGTTTCAGCCTGACTTGGGCTCGGTTCCCTCTTAAGCTGTGATAGGCTTGTCCATGCAGGTCTGGAGCAGAAGGGTAAGAAGCTATTTAATGATGAGAAATAATTACCTGAGGAGTATTCTGAACTAAGGAAAAGTTTGAGTACCACTGCTCTATGTCACCTGCCTAGCCAGAAGGCCCATGGCTTCTTTTTTCTCTTAAAAAAAAAAAGACTGATTATAAAGAACATACAATCAGCTAAACTTTTTTTGCAATTATTTCCATTTAAATAAATGAATAATTTAACTCATAAAAGATCACAACACTTTTAATCACTTCAAGTCTCCATCAAGATTCTTTGAATGAATTAATGAGTGGGTGAATGTATAAATGAAAGAAGCATGTCATAGCTGGGTTAAGCACTAGGATACAAATATAAAGGCAAAGACAGTCCCTGCCTTCGAGGAACTTACATTCTAATGGAAGAAAGAAAACAAGAAGAGAAGTGGCGGCCAGTGAGAGGTCTTTTGGGTTCAAAACTTGCTGCTAGTTATTTGAGTAACTTTAGGCGAAGTATTTAACCTCCCTGGTCCTTAGTTTACCATCTGTACAGTGAAGGAGTTGGATCAAGTGACTTCTAAGGACACTTCCAAACCTATTTTTCAGACAATGCCCATGTATTTGTGAATGATACTGGTTCCATCTCATAAATAGCATCTGTTGTTTTTCCTCTTTGTACAGCATTTGCCCATCTCCAAGATCTGGTTCTTAACAGGAGCAACCAATAGTCTAGCTCCCAGATCAGCTGTGCCAATTACCACTCAGTCCTAAAGTTACCACTCAGTCCTAAAGCTGCCTAAATAACAAATGGATCCAATATCCCCTTACCTTCCCTCAGTAAACAGTGTTTTCAGAAAGACTGGGCACTTCCAGATCAAGCAGTTCGATTGTTGCTAATTGGTTTTGCAACAGATGCTGATGTCACCAACTGGAAAGGCACCCAGAGACTCCCTACTTTCACACCACTAGATTCAAAAGATCCAGCTGTTTAGAAACAGCAGGGAGCAGCCATGGTTAGGAATAGAAATATGGTACAGTGAACAATGTTGTCCGTTGTCTGCTCTAGACCAACTGCTATATTTCTGCAGCAGCTCTTATGAAGTAATATACACATTCTGGAAAGTCCCCTTCCAAGAATGCAGGAGTGCATACAAGTCACATTATGTTAAGTTATGCTGTTCTCCTGTTTACTGACAATCTGTCTGAGACCTTTATTTAACATAGAAATAAAACATATTCTCAACTTCCTTTGTTGTGCATTAGATTCTTGGCCACTATAACCGAGGGAATTTGAGCACTGAGAAATTTGTGGAAGAAATAAAATCAATTGCAAGTGAGCCTACTGAAAAGCATTTCTTCAATGTCTCTGATGAATTTGCACTAGTCACCATTGCTGAAGGCTTGGGAGAAAGAATATTTGCCTTGGAAGGTATGAAAATTTCTTTAAATCAGAATGCTAAATCCATAACTCAAAGAATGTATTTTCTGTAGTTCTGTCTTCCTTATTCCTAATGTCTTTTTTTTTTCAACCTATCATGGTATTAGACTGTTTTGTACACATCTCTCATTCAGGTAAATCTTTCACACTGCATCAGAGTTGCTAGAAGATATCTTTCTAAGGGCACGGCACAGGTGATGTAGGTATTAAGGAGGACAATGACGGAAGGAGAAGTGGGGCAGAAAAATTATCCTGTGTTTTTCACTTCTTTTTGGTATTTTGGAGAGATAGGAAGTAGAGATACAAGCAGTGGAAAGACCAAGTTTCAAGATTTGGAATTTGGCTTGGATTTTTATCAGTGTGATTTCTGTCTTTTAAAGGTCTCCCGAAAATGGAACCTTTTGTATCAGTACATTAAAACATTGTCTCACTCACTACATAGCTGTAGAAGTTTGTGATCTCAGCTTACTATTTGAACTTGACTCTTACCAATCTTTGACTTTAAATGGGGCTGGGCTATAAATGATGATGAACATGGGTGCTTTCTAGGTTAACAAGCTACTTTGAAAGTAAAAAGTTATAAACCTTTCCTTGTCAAAATGTCCTAGGATTAGTGAAGATACTTGGTACAGAATCTAGAGTCCTTTTTAAAGAGTATTCACCTCTTCTTCTGTTACTACGGTAGAAAAGGTGGCATATGGCCCTGTGTTCCAGTGAGGGCCCTAGTACTCCTTGCACTAGACAAAAATGACAGCAGTCTGAAGGGTCTTTGCCTCTTATGTATGTTATATATGTTATGTAACATAGACCCATAGACTGTGCCAGAAGGAGAGGTATGCTGGTACATGTTTAACAACCAGCTGGATATTAGCATTTTCTTAATCAACAAAACTATAAATCAAGTCCAAATATGTAATATTTGCCAATTTCTGAGGCATAAATGCTCACAGTGAATATTTAACAATTGATTCTCAGTAGCCAGCCAGTTTAGTTGGCTCTAGCACACTGCTGGCTTGAATGAACTTTAAGAGATCATAGGATCAGAGCTGTAGAGTTGAAAGGAAACTTCGGACCATGTTATAGAACCCTTCCTCATTTTTTGGATGAGGAAACTGAAACTCAAAGAAATTATATGATTTTGTCGTTGTTATTTAGTCATTTTCAGTCACGTCTGACTCTCTCTGATGGGGTTTTCTTGGCAACAATACCAGAGTGGTTTGTTATTTCCTTCTCCAACTCATTTTATAGATGAGGAAACTGTGGCAAACAAGGTTAAGTGACTTGCCCAGGGTCACACAGCTGGTAAGTGCTTGATGCCACATTTGATTCCAGGCCTGGCACTCTATCCACTATGGCACCCAGCTACTCGTATGCTATGATTTACCCACCCTATAAACTGAAACTAGTAATTGGATCAATCTCCCTAAGCTTGCCACACATATCAACTTTTTTACTGAAGAAGAGAGAAGAAAAGAAAGAAAAGTTCACTTCAGAAATGGACCATGATGCAGTGGAAAGGAAATTAACTTTAGAATCAGAGGACCTGGATTCAAGTCCTACCTCAGATGCTTACTGCCTATGCAACCTCAGGCAAATGACTTTAGCTATCCTGGGCCCCTATTGCCTCATCTGCAAAATGAGAGGGTTGGTTTAGATGTCCTCTGAACTTCCAGGTCTTGGCCTGTGAACCTTTAATTACAGGATCATGGGAATATAACCTAATTATAAGGAAAGAGATTAGGGTAGAGGTAGAAATGCAATTAAGGCATTTGAGTCAGGTAAATTAAGACCTGGGTTTGAATCCTGTCTCTGACCATTGATAACTCTGTGACTCTAGCCAAGTCACTTAAGATCTCTGAAACTGCAGTTCCTCATGTATAAAACAAGAATAACCAAATATGTCCTACCCATCTTACAGAATCATTGTGAGAATTAAGTGAGATCACATACGGAAAATCATTTTACAAGCCTTTTAAAGCAATATATAAATGTCCACTGTTATTATTGAAAAGAGGCTGAACACTTTCCCACAGCACATAGGTTCTAAGAAAGTGTGGGGAGCAAACGTGATGGGAGAGGACAGGAAAATGAGCAGGGAAAAGGGAGAACTTGCTTAAAGATGTTGGCGAGCTCCGCAGGCCTGACAGAGTACATTTTGTGCATTACTTTCACTCGGCTTTTAAAAACAGGATAAATCAGTAAGAAGTTCTACCCTCTCCTGAAGGACCCTCCTGCTAGAAGAGACACCTCTAACTTTAATTTTCCTTAGTTGGGAGTGTTATTTATGGTTGGCCTAAAGGGCACTGCTGAAAGTCATTCAGGGGGAAAAATTATATAATGTCTTCATAAAGCCCTTATATACTTTAAAATTCTAATAACCTAGGCTGTAGGCCTGAGAAGAACAACTTGTAACTGGCATTTAAAAGCAAATTTATGAAAAATTACAGGACAACATTATCCACTAGGTATTTTCATTTAGGATCCTGTGGCAAAAGGAAAAATAGCTACTATAGAGGAAAAGGTAAACTGTACCCTATGGAAAGCAGAACTGAAGTCTCTATTGGCTGTGAAAAGAAAATTGAATTTTCTTTTAAATGCCGTGCGACTATATGCTGTTTATGTCTGTCATGCTTACCACTGAAGTTACAGCTTCCAAGTTTAAAAACTGTGCAAAATCCTTAGGAAGACACTGCACTTAAAAAATAAATTGTCTTCGCACAAGTCGTATCGACCAAAAACTTTCCAAAAATATTAAATTAAATTTTGTTTTTTAATTAATAGATATCTATTTTTTTCTTCGCCTGACCCTCACTCCACTTTAAAGGGAAAAAAAGGGAAAAAGAAAACAAATTCCTTACCAAAAATGTGCATAGTCAAGCAAAACTAATTCTTTTGTTGGCTGTGTTAAAAAAAAAAAAAGAAATGTGTCACAAATAAGTGCCCCCTGAACCTATCAGAAATCTGTCAGGAGATGAGTAGCATGCTTCATCAGAGAGCCTCTAGAATTATGGGTGGTCAAGCATTTTTGTCAATGGTAGTAACTAACTAAACGCTTTCTGAATTTTACAGAATCAGGTCAGAAAGGGCTACATTTCCCTGCCATTTGGAAATTCTCCATTTCCCATAGAGCTTTACCTTTTGTGAGGGCAACTTCCAGCTAATGTGAAGGCTGCATTGTTCTTCACTTTTGGCACCAGTTCAGCATGCTGAGTAGTCAGTGCCAGTGACTTGCTTTGGAATATCAGGAAGTCATTTAACATTTCCATTTCCCTTATGAACAGAAGAGATAACAGCGAAATCCCTCTCTAGAGATGTGGGCTGTAATAATGGTCACTGTGGACTTGCTTGAGGAGAAGCTAAAGGAGAGGTCTTCAGTAGGGTAGGCCGGGGCTATTCTTCACCATCTCTTTCCCTCTACTCTCTACTCAGCAGTCACCTGAAGACAGAACCCAGAAGCAGGGGGAGACTTGGAAAGAGTAGGGCTTTCAAGATTAGAGGAGGTGGTTTTTATTGGCACTTTGGCACAGTTTCTACCTGCCTGTTAGGGAGACTGTAAAGATAAATTTGATAATAAGTGTAAAGTGCCTTGAGCTCTCAGAGTAAAATGTTTTAAAATAAAGCTTATTTTAGTTGCCTAAATGAAAGGGCTATTCCGAAGCGTGATTGAAATGTAATATGTGACTCTTGACTGTTTCCCCTATAAAATTTAGCCCTATAAAAGCCATTTGCAAACCTATTCACTGGCAATTTATTCCAGGTAAGTAGTAAAGAAACTTGGAGCTTGATTTCATTCATTTGACTACCCTATATTTCCCTGCTGGGAGAGCAGGATGATTTTTTTTTAATATAAATTTTGGATTACTTGTGGGGTTTTTTCTCGTCTGCAAAGTAACATTAATAAATGACCCATTGATTAGAGGAAAATAAATGGATATTTTCCAACTTCCTCAGTATTATGTGACTCTGCTAAGTTTGGAATACTGAATGTTTTCAAATGCATTTCTATGGATAGATGAATAGAGATATGTGTACTCACTACATATGTACATAAATATGCAAGTATGTATAAACATATAAAGGGTGTCCCAGAAGTCTTAGTGTAATTTAAAGTTTTAATATCATAAAACTGCACTAAGACTTTTGGAACACCCTGTACCATGTTGCACAGTGGATAAAGATCTGGCTTCTGAATTAGAAAGACCTGGGTTCATGTCCTACTTTTGACTCATACTGGTTGTGTGGTCAAGTCCTTTAACCTTTCAGGTTCCAAGACAACTTTCTGAGGCTAAATTCTAGAGAAGATTCCAATCTGTGTTGAAGGGGGATGTTTCTCACCAGGAGATACCTATGTAGGTAATACCAGTATTTTGGTCAGTATGACCAGATTCACTTATGATGACAGGGTGACATTGGAGAAGAGGCTGCTCATGTAGCATAATGACAATGCTAGTGTTTGGTCATGTAATGTGTGCCTTGTGTGTGATTTGGTGCACATATTAATGACTACATTTCTGAGTTATGCTACAACTTCATAATATTGTTTTTTCTATATATTTAAGATTCCATACTAAGATTATGCATATAGTATAATTACATTTATCTTTTTGTTATTTATTGTGGTGGGGCAGCTGTGGGGAAGTGGATAGAGTGTCACACCTAGAATCTGGAAGACTTCTCTTCCTAAGTTCAAATCCAACCTCAAACACTTACTAGCTGTATGACCCCGGGCAAATCGCTTAACCCTGTTTGCCTCAGGCAAAATGAACTGGAGAAAGAAATGGCAAACCACTCCCGTATCTTTGCCAAGAAAACCCCAGATGGGGACATAAAGAGTCGGACATGTCTGAAATATTAATTTGGTACTTCCAAGTTTTTGGTGGTCTGCTGTGTGAATGGCCAAAGACAGGTTACATATTTGTGAATGAAAAGGCAATATGCTTACAAAGAGCAGAGTTTAAATTATCATTATCATTATTTCAGTAACAATCTTCCATGTGTAACCTGGGCTTTTCTGGTAGTAGGGGACAAAGAGGTCTTTATAGTAGGCAATCTGGACGTGCTCCAAAGGCCCCTCAATGGCATCTCCATGTTAGAAGAACTAGGACATACCCAGAGAAGCCGGAGTTACATTTAAAGTGATGCTGTGACTTGGAAGCAGCTAGGTGGCACAGTGGATAGAATGTTGCGGTTGGATTCAGGACCAGAGCTGCATTGAGAGATATAACTTACAGGAATAAGCAGAAGCTGTTCCCCTAGTCTTCTACCATATGAGGGTTGGTTAAAGGGACTGAGAATGTTTAAATATGGAAAAGAGAAGTCTCAGGGACAACACCAGAGCTGCCTTCAAGTATTTGGAGAGTTGTGGTATGAAAAAGGGATTACACATTATTTTTTTTAACCTAAGAGAACAGAAACAGGAGTAATGGGTGAGTAAGGCATATACAAGCTTGATGAATGGGAAACTTTTCTAATAATTTGGACTATTCAAGAGTAGAATGGATTGCCTTGGCCTCATTGGTAGTCTTCAAGTAGCTGCTGGCTGGTCACTTCCAATCTGAAGTCCTGAGATTCTGACTCCTAAGGTCCAAGATCTCTCACTACCTTATTGGAGAAATTAGGTCTTATGTCTGAAAGCTTCTTAGTGAAAGCCAATTATTTGGCTAGTCAGAACCACCAAGTCTCAGACCCCAAGAAAGAATGATGTCATTGGGTTACAAAACACTGAAGTCCTCCTATGTGTCTCTGAGAAAAAAGTAAACTTATCATTTTTGTTATTTTGTTTAGTACAATAGTTTCCTTCAAATGAATATACTATAATTTTATCAAAATGTTGTGGGGTATTTTTTTATGATTTCAAAGTTTGCAAAAAAAAAGTCTATTAGAAAAGTGACGACTATTTCCTATTTTATAGCCACGACTGACTTGTCAGCAGCCTCATTTGAGATGGAAATGTCCCAGACTGGCTTTAGTGCTCATTATTCACAGGTAAATTGATCACTTGGTGATAGAAACTCTCTCCAGTTAGGTGGTGTAGTGAGTAGAGTGCTGGTCCTGAAGTCAGGGAGACCTGAGCGCAAATCCAGCCTCAGACATTTACTAGTTGTGAATAAGTCATTTAACTTCTATTTGTCTTAGTTTCCTCATCTATAAGATGAGAATAATAATAGCATGTATGTCCCAGAGTTCTTGTGAGGAACTAATGAGACAGTAATTGTAAAAACATTTTGCACAGTGCCCAGGAAAAAGTAACTACTGTATAAATGATAGCAATTATTATTATTCCATGAAATTATTATTTTACTTGATACTCAATATTGCACGTATCAGATGTTTCTGACATGGCATTGTCCGGACTACATTCTAATATTTTCTGATCCAAATTTGAAAATAGTGTTCCTTAGGCCTGTTATTAGAATTGTATTTGAATTTATTGCATGTTGAACAACAAATGCAACCTGTACATAATAGAGATTTATGATTTCAGGTGCAATCCTCTGCAGTTTTAAATATCCCTTTCTGTTCTACTGTGCATATGCAAATGCCTGTTCCATTTGGTGTTCATTAAGTTCTGAACTTTTAAAATAGAAATAATAATAATAGCTAACATTTATGTGGCACTTTAAAGTTTGCAAAATGTTTTACAAATATGATCTAGAGATAGAATATTATCTCATTCTATCCTCACAACAACCTTGAAAGGTAGATGCTATTATTATCTTCATTTTATAGATAAAGGAAACTGAGGCAGACCAAAAAAAAGAAACATGTCATCCTGCACAGCTCACTACAGAATGTTAATCATTATGCGTCAGGCATATTTGGCTGCTCATCTTCCAGCTACAGGGAAGAATTGTGATTGTCATTCATTTCAGAGGTGCTGTTTACATAGAATTCAAAGAGAAAACTCATTTTTAATGTTTTGACCAGTATATACACTATTTCTTTTCTCAGTGGAAGGCAAAGTGACATAGTAGAAACTGACTTTTGAGTATGAGAACCTGGGTTTGAATCCCACCTTTGACAACTGCTACTTATGTGACCCTGGGCAAGTCATTTAATTTCTCTGGGTCTCAGTTTGCTCATCTATCAAATGAGGGGTTTGGGCTAGATGGCCCCTAAAGGCCCTTCTATCTCTAGAGCTATGATCCTACAATCAGTGTCAACATATTCAATAACAATATTAGAACCTGAGTTCTTAAGGGGACCAGAGACTCCCATCCCCTCCCAAGTACCTTATATGTGAAAGAGTAATAAAGGTAATCAGAAACAGATGTCTGTTACATTTCACTGTAAATGTCTTATGGGGCCCACAAAGAAGTATTGACCTTTCAGTGTATATATTAACGTATAAGATCCTTAAAAGTGAATGATGATTGTTCCATTCTTTGTATTTGTATCCCCACAGTGCCTGGACACATAGTAGGTGATAAATAGATGCTCATTAATTGATTGGTTGATATTTATGTTTCTTTTTAAATATAAGGACTGGGTTATGCTTGGAGCTGTAGGAGCCTATGACTGGAACGGAACAGTAGTCATGCAGAAAGACAGCCAAATTATAATCCCATCAAATGACTCCTTTAATGTTGAGTCTACTAAGAAAAATGAACCACTTGCTTCCTATTTAGGTGAGTATATTAACATTCTTTAATTATTGGTTATCAAAGTTCCTTCTTCTGGGGATTTCACTTCAGCACAGTCCTAGGCTTCAATGTCATTAAGTTAAGATCTTGCCTTTTATTGTCATCTGACCATGTCATCCTCCTGCTCCATAAGCTCCACTGACTTCCAATTAACCTTAGGATCAAGTATAAACTCCTCTGGTTAGTATTAAAAGCCTTTCACCATCTTGCTTCAATCTACCTTTTTAGTCTTATTATACTTTACTGTCCTTCACTCTCTTGATAGTCCAGGCAAACTGGCTTTCTTGCTGTTCCTGGCACCCCACATCCTATCCTTTGTTGTCTTTTTGCCAGTTTCCCCCTATACCTAGAACATATTCCCTGCTCAGCTCTACTTCTTGAAATCCCTACTTTCCTTCATAGCTCCACTCAAGCATCACCTCCTATATGAAGTCTTTCTTTATCCTCATTCCACTCCCCTTCTTTCCTATCAGGCCCCATCTGCTGGTATTGTGCTTCCCCTACCCCTGGAGAAATTATGTTGTATTTATTTTGCATATGCTTTGTATGTACTTGTGTATAACATAGTATGATGTATAATATATCATATATAATATAATATATCTATATACAATGTATATAATTCCACGACAGAATGTAAACTCCTTGAGGTCACTATTGTTTCATACTGTCTTTGAATTCCCAATGATTAGGAGAGTGCCTGGAACATAGTAGGTGTTTAAGAAATATCTGTTGATTGATAATGCTTCTCTCTCGGCCAGCCAGATAGGAAAGTCTGGAATAAAATTACCTCAGAGACTTAACTAGGCCCTTTGAGATGGTCACTAAGTGCATCAGAACTCAGCCCATACCTTAAGTATTGTGCTTAGAGTTATAATTGCCACATTTTGTGAGAGACCAATCATACCTAATGTGAGGACTGATCTAAAGAAATGCGTATCTTTGTCGAGAAAACCTCAGAAGGGGTCACGAAGAATCAGACACGACTGAAAAATGACCGAATAACAAAGGGGTGTTTAGTTTGAGAATGAGAAGACTTGGTGGGGTGGGTGAAGAGTGGGAATGAAAGACACTGGTAGAAGGAACTAGAAGCAACAAGTAGAAGCTGTTTATTCTGAATAATGATAAGCATGCTAAAAACACAAACTCTCCAGCTCTGGAAGGGCTGCATTTTAAGCAGAGCCTATCTACATGGACACCTACCTGTATTTGGTAGGAGATTGGACTTGATATAATTTCTAAGATTTCTTCCAAATCATAGATTCTATTTTATATAAAATGTGGTGAGCTCACAGATTGGCTTATGTGTTTGAATTACATTCCTGTCATACAAAAGGAAGGAAACAGGCAGAACAATGATGCTAGCTGGAATATCTAGGTGATAAAATTTTGGATTGAAATATACTCCAACGGAATCGATTGCTTGATCCAAACGAATAGCTCTTTGTCAAGCTCTTATCATGTGCAAGTTATTATACTAGGTTCCATAAGACATCAAAAGTTGTATAAGCTACTGTCCCTGCCCTTGGTGATCACCCACCTTTTAGCTACCAATGGCCATGCAGGTGTTGGAAGCAGGTGCTGTGGAGTGCTTAGAGCTTGGTTACATGTCAAAAATGCCAAGATCATCCACCGCATCCCAAGCCATTGCCAGTCATCCTGACAATTATCTTGCCACTGGAACTTGATGACTGTGGAAGAGAGTGACGCTAGAGATGTTGTACAGCTCTGCCTCACTTAAATGTAATTCATGTGCAAGTCAAGCTATCATGTTGTGATGTCATTGGTCTTTTTCAAAAACAAGGGACAAGTAACAACAGCTACCAACATTACGTATTAGCTAACAGCTAAATGACGTCTGTTGCTCATGAACCTTTTAAGTAAAAATCTCCTATTCCAATCCCTACTAGTGCTCAGGATTATTTTCAGCAGAGTCAGAGATCTTGATCATAAGATATTATTGGTGGCACAGAATAAATAACAGTTTCTTCATTCCTGGCTATACAGGCTAGAATTTATGACTCTTCTCTTTCCAGGAAAGGAAAACTATGAATGTACTGTCTACAATGTACAAGAACGATGAGGTTTTCGTCTGTTGCAGCAATCACTCAATTAACTCAGTCACAAATGAGACCATGATACCCTTTGCCAAAATAAAGTCTAACTTATATAAGGAAATTTCTTTCCAGGAAGAAATGTGCCCAGAAATACCAGAAAAAGAAAACTACCTAGTGCTCTTAAGCTGGTCTCTCAATCCATAAAGACATTTTGCAAAAGTTCATTAGGAAGTTTACAAGCTAAGAAAAATTTGAATTTGTGAGCCTAACACCTGCCTAGGTTACAAACTCATTATATTAAAAAATCCTTAGCATATGCTCTAGAAAAATATCTTATGTCAATCCATAACCCCTGGGAACAGCACACATTCCAATAGCATGTACCTTTATAGCTAGACATGCTCTCATTTTTTAAAAAAAGATCTTCATTCAGAGCAGCTAGGTGGCACAGTGGATAGAGCTCCAGCCTTGGAGTCAGGAGGACCTGAGTTCAAATCTGGTCTCAGACACTTGACACTTACTAGCTGTGTGACCCTGGGCAAGTCACTTAACCCCAATTGCCTCAGCCAAAAAAAGAAAAAAAGAAAAAGAAAAGATCCTCATTCCTTGTTCCATGCAGACAGATCTACACTTCATGAACGTCTGGGTTTTGGTGCTGTTAATAGGAACTAAGCCATTTTCTTGAGGTTTATTGATTACTAGACCATTTTAGGCAGAATCAAAAGTAAGGGCACGTGTAGTAGAACCATAAAATCAAGACCAATCAAAACAACTTTTCCCCTGACCTATTAGATCCTGTCACTTTATCAAAGAAGAAAATTAGAATAATATCACGATTCATTTCTCATCAGGATTGTAGTTACTTTAATTTCCTCCTAATTTCCCACCACTTTTGTACATGAGATTAGCGTTTTATTTTGCCTTAGGTAGTGTTCTGGATTTCTTCATACTTTATACATCTTCCTCATTGGGTCTTTTTAACTCTAAACCTCAACAATGATTTTCAGATCAGTAGATCTCTCTTTGATGTAAGCCTATGTCTCTGAGAGTAACAACAAATGATTAATTTTCTCTTTCCAACTACAGCAACCTCCTCAAGTTCAGGAAGTGACAGATTCCCTAATATGTAGAGTATGTTGTTATGACCTAGATAGTCCCTGGTCCTTACATTAAGCTCTCTAAGGTTTGGGGGTTTTTTTTGTTTGTTTTGTTTTGTTTTGATTTTAATATTCAGTTACAATCTAATTATTGGTCATTGCTGCCTCCTTCCTCCAGATGCCTAGCCGAAGCCTTTTCCACTCTGCAAGTGTCAGATCAAATGCTATCTTCTCTGTGGAACCAAAGATTTTCCCTAATACCTCCTTCCTCTATACTATTATGATACTTTGTACCCACCTTAATCCATTATTATTAGTATTATTATATTCTGCATCCCACTTTAGCATTATATAGTCATTACATAAAAATTATTTCAATACATATTTACACTCCTTCTCCCCACAGCACCTAACAAACTCAATAAATATTAATTTCACAAAATGAATATTCCACAAAAGTCCTACTTTGTTGCCTCATAGTGGCTTGGAGGTGGCCTGTGCTCTCAAAATCTGTGTCACTAAAGCCCTGACAAATTTTTAATCAAACTAGAAAGGCTATGAGTAGGGACTTGGTGACCCAGAATACATGCTGGCTTTCCAAGAATCACCCCAGTTACTAACAGAGAAGTTCATACTAGAAGGTTTGATATTAAATGATGAATAAAAAAATGTCAATAAAAGCCCCCAGTCCGATGTGATCCCTGCCCCCCAGCTTCTCAGCTGTGGTGGTGGGAATAACATTTAAAAAAAAAAGACCAACAAACTAAATATTGCACAAGTTTTAATCTTATAACTGCTAATGTGCTTAATGTTCATCTTTGCCCAATGATTCAATTCAATTCAATAAACATTTATTAAGTACATACTATGTGCCAGGCAATGTGCTAAATGCTGAGGGTACAAAAGAGGCAAAAGACCCTTCCTGGAGACATCAGCTTCATCCATATTAATATTCTAACTATAAATAAACAAACAAGCAAATAAATAAATAAATGAGTGAATGAATGAATGAATAAATAAACAAACAGATAGATGAATGAATAGATAGATAGATAGATAGATAGATGGATAGATAGATAGATAGATAGATAGATAGATAGATAGATAGATAGATAGATAGATAGATAGGTAGGTAGATAAATAAATCAGCTCAGTGAAAGAACAGCTCATAAGAGACAGGCCCCCATTGAGACAATAGTAGCTTAAGTGCCAATAGACACTACAAGAATAAGGCAGAGAAAACTTTACAAGTTTTCTCAAATTAAGCCAATATCTATTTTGATGCTTAGTAATTTCCAGGCAAAAGTGATTACTGAGGAGCATATCAAAAACTATTTAGGAAAATATGGTATACGATCCCCCCAAAAATGAAAGAAACCAACATTTGTTAAACTATTCTCAAGTCTTTTTTCACCTGGACATTATGAATATTTGTTTAAGAAGTGTTGGAAGCAGTACACACACAGAGAGAGAAAAGCCAAGAAAGAAAATGAAAGTGATTATCTTCTCAGGCATAAAAAGGCTGGTTATAGTTACAGCAGCTCTATCAGAATAAACTGCAGGCATTCAAATTGTTTACTGTCATCCTTGGAGAAGTTTATCGATACAAAAGAGTCACCACAACAGAAAACTCCTTAAAGGCCTAAAACCACCTCAGCCAGCAAACACTTTAACTTTGCCAAGTGAAGAGATATGTCAGCCAAAGGTAGCAGTGGTTTAGTACATATGAACACTTTCAAAACATTCCAGAAGAGGAGAATGGAAGACCAGAAGCAACATTATCTCAGAATAAAACAAAACAAAACAAAAACAGCCAAAAGCAATTGAGAAGAAAACAAATCTTTAGAGAACTTGATATGAGCTTTAATTTGCAGTAAGACAACAAATAGGTAAGAAATGGAATAGCACAGAAGTCATTTCTCAAATGATTTATTCTACTCAGTGGCTACAGTGAAACCATCATATTTGGAGTTTACTACCACAGTATCACAAGGATTATGTGAAAAAATTGAAATGGCACTTAAGAAAATAAAGTTAGGGAGAGTGTCTACCCTAGATCAAATATATCATAATCATATATTCACCAAGAAATATTTTTAACAAAAGGAAGAATACAAAAAGGCATCTAAAACTTCTGCCACAGATGCCTGGTTTCAATGTATAAAATACGAGAATCAGTTTTACACAAATTGAGGTAAATCCTGATGAAAATACGAAGGCAAATTTCCATGAATGGTTTTCTACAGTAGACTATATCTTTATTATTGCACAGCTAACTAAAAGCTGAGGTGGGGGGGGAGGGGAAAGGTGTAAGATCTAATGGTGTCTATCGTTTCTTGATTAAAAAACAATTTTTGACCCAGTAGAACAAAATATAGCTTTAAAGACTCTCCTCCAACAAGATGTCTTCAACAAGCACATTAAAATCTTACGTGCTTCTGTGAGAGATATGACTATAAGGTAAATTTATGAAAGAGGGCAGTATTTGGAGTGAGTACTTAGGGATCATATCAAATCTCTATTGCTTTCTGGCTATTATTTAACTTCTCTAGGATTCATTTTCTTCATATGTAATGAAGCAGTTAGATGATCAGCTGTTTGAGGTGTGGTAGAGGAGCCAGAGACCATTCTAGATCCTATTTTAGAGACCAAAAACAGTGTTTTTCATGATTCCAAATAACTTGATGCTGCAAAAACACTTAGCTTTCACACTAACTCCTCTCAATAATACTTTGTGGTTCTAAATTATGGACCATCCAAATATCGGAAGAGTTAAAATTACAGGTATCCCAAAGGAAAATGGGAAGACACATGGGTGGCAGGGAAGGTTATAAATTAGACTATATCATAGTACATTATATATCCTCTACAAGTAATGTAAGAATGGGGGCAGCTAGGCAGTACAGTGGGTAGAATCCTGGGCCAGGAGTCAGGAAGACTCATCTTCCTGAGTTCAAATCCAGCCTCAGACACTTGTTAGCTGTGTGACCCTGGGAAATTCACTTAACCCTGTTTGCCTCAGTTCCTTATCTGTAAAATGAGCTGGAGAAGGAAATAGCAAACCATTCCAGTATCTTTGCCAAGAAAACCCCAAATGAAGTCAAGGAGACACAATTGAAACAACTGAACAACAGCAACAATGTAAGAATAGATCATAAGACCATGGATGCCTATCAAGGAAGGTAATTTAGTCATGTAGCAAAAAAGAGACAACAGATACAGAGCCCAAATGCTGCAGTGAAACTTCCAGGACACTACAGGAAGCAGTGGAAGGTTTCTAGTAGCCTCCAGATCTCTAGATTGAAGTTGGTCTTTTTGGGGGGTTTTATAGCAAAGCCATATACAAGAATTATAGAGAATGAGGTGCAGGAAGGTTGGGACCTTCACCATTGAAGCTGAAAATATGTCTAAATATCTAAGTTAGTAGTTCTCAAAGGGCGTGTCTTTTAACATAAGGGTTTCATGAGTTGACCTTAAACTTTTAATTGCATGAGCATGTGTGAGCTTCCTAATTCCTCACGGCAAAAAACAATACTGTGATGACTGGGAAAAGAAGGTTTGAAAGCTTTAGGTCTAAGTAACAACAAAAAGATGAATGAAAGAAATGTGGTTTTTAATCTCTTTGTTAAAATTTTGTAATACTTTTTATAATTACACATTATAAGGAACTCTACATTTGAAAAGAAACAGTTTTACAGTGTTATTTTTTAAAAGTAGAATCCAAATTGAGACTAGGAAAAAAAGAGGAAAAAAAATGAAAAGCAGGGACCAAATACTTTTAAAGGAAACCAAACCTAAGTAGTTGCTTACCCTTTAATTAGAAATTTCAACCATTCGCAGAGTGTATTTATAAGAATGAAAGATATTTTAATACTAAAGACCTTGATATCTTTTCTTTTTTGTCTGTGAATTGAATGCAATGAATACTGTGTGAATTAACTTATGGTAAAATATTTTGAATCCATAAATTAGCATATATGGTCTAATCTTTCTCAGGAAATGCTAATCTTATGAATTTGTTTTCGTTCATCTACCTTAACATTTATAATTAAAACAAGTTAAAGGACATTGGAGCCCATTAAACAGAGGGCAAGAATTTGTTTACATCAAGTTTTATGTAAGTTATGTAAGTCAAGTTATGTAAGTAATATGCTCTCCACATGAGGGTTTATTGCCAAAACAAAGTCTAACATATACAAATACAATTTCTGTCCAAAAATGGTATATAAATGGGTCCAACCATGTAAAATTCAAGTCAATAAACATTTATTCAGCATCTGCTTTTTGAGGACCCTGAGTTACAGTAAGGTCTGAGGGGAAAATAAGGATGAATAATCGTCTCCAGATTTAAGGAGCTTAGAATCAAGAAGAGTAAAAACTGATTTGAATTAATTTCACGTAGAACTTTTGGTTAACAAAACATATGAGATCTGAGAACATTGCATCAAGACACAGGACAATTCTGAAACCCTCATGTCTGCAAATATTCTTTTTCTAGGTTATATGGTCAACTCTGCTACTACTCCTGGAGATGTGATCTACATTGCTGGGCAGCCCCGCTATAATCACACAGGTCAAGTCATTACCTATACGATGGAAAGCCAAGAAATCAAGATTCTCCAAACCCTCAGTGGAGAACAAGTAAATTTTCAAATTACTATTAAAAAAAAATCTAAGTGTACCCAGTTAACTTGAAAATCATTCTCCCTCATTTTTTAAAATAAGCTTAGATCTGTCAGTTGCTTAACATTTTTTTAAATTCTTTTTTCATTAAAGTAAGTCTTCCTTCACTGGGGGCCTCTTTTTAATTGGGAGGTGACCTGGATTTTTGAAGTCTAGGCAGCAGAACACAAACTCTGGCAGGTTCTTCCAAGCTGGAAAAAAGTTTAGTATAGGCTGACAGTGGATTATTTTAGCTAGGTGGCACAGTGAATGAAGTAGCCTGAAGTCAGAAACACCTGTGTTCAAATTCAGTCTCAGACACTTACTAGCTGTATGACCCTGGGCAAATCATTTAACCTCTGTCTGCCTTAATTTGTTCATCTGTAAAATAAGGATAACAATAGCACCTACCTCCCAGGGTTCTTGTGAGGATCAAATGATATAATAATTAAGTATTCACTACAGTGCCTCACACATAATAAGCACTATATAACAATTATTGTTAATTATCATTACTGTCTGTTGTTCAAAGAAGAACCTACGAGTGTTCAGAGAAACTTATCAGAATGTTAGCTGCCTGGAAATCAATTATTTTAGCAATAGCAACTCAGGAAAACAACTATTTCCTAAAAAAAAGTATTACATGTCAAAAGTGGCATTCGAACTGATGAAATCATGGATGGAGTCTTGAAATACTATGCCCCTACTTATTATTTGTGAGATCCTATTCTAGGTACTATAGATAATACAATTTAGCATAAGATCCAATTTTCTTTCTTTTTTTTAAGGCAATTGGGGTTAAGTGACTTGCTCAGGGTCATACAGCTAGTAAGTGTCAAGTGTTTTAGTCTGAGGCCAGATTTGAACTCAGTTCCTCCTGATTTCAGGGCTGGTGCTCTATCCACCCTGGATCCAATTTTCCAAGGAGCTTCAAATCAAGTTCAAGAGATGAGACTTAAGAAGATAACTTTCAGTATCAGGCAAGCAGAAAATGGTTCCTGACCAAAAAAAAAAGTGCTTTGAATGGTAAATTCTTAAGGATCTCAGAGACTAAGTCCTTGTTTGCTAGACTTAATCAGTCATGGAAGAATGAAAGCTGAGCCTTAAAGCATGGGTGTCACTAAAAGAAAAGGGAAGGATATTCCAGAAAAGAAGAAGGGAAAAAATAAAGGTGCAAGATGGGATTAGGAGACAGTGAAATAGAGCCATTATAGCAGGAAGAAATGAAGAGTTCAAGAGTGGGAGATAAATCTGGAAAGGGAGGTGGGGCTAGATGGTATAGGATTTTGAGAGAAGCTGGTAAAAGTTAAGAAACTATGCTACTGGGACCAGTACACATTTGTGTTATTTAACATCAGCTCAGCACTATGGCAAGGCAATGCTTTTATACCTTCTTAATTATCACTCTTCCACTAACTCTTGAGGAAAGATGTAAAATGATGTGGAAACAATCTTCTCATATGAGTGAGGGTTGGGAGAGTAGCCCCAGAGCACTGCTACAAAAACATGTATTTGGACCTTTACAGTTATGTCATTTTTTGTCTCTATCATCTCTTAGGAATATATACTCTCCTAAATACTCTCTAACACCATTCCTCCCACCACCAAAAAACAAAAACAAAAACAAAAACTTTTTTTTCTCCTTGGTCAAGATCATTCTACACAGCTGCTGGGACAGGTCTTACTAAATTTTGCTCTATGTTGGAGCAACACAAAATCATTTGGTAGTAAGAGACTTCCAGATCAGTCTGGTTCCCTATTGAGTTTTAATTTCACTTTACTACTTCTAAGTATGTGAAAATTCCTTGTTTTGCTTTGTTGATGAAAATGTTCAACAGAGCAATACCAAGGATACAGCCTTGGGACATTGCATTAGGGACCTAACTCCTGGTGAACAGCAACCCATTCTTGAAGTTTGATCTTTGAACCACTGCTTCATCCAGATAAATGAACAAAAAATGTGAGCCTTATGTCTCCACCTTGACTACAAGAATTAATGAGAGATTATAAAAACATTCACCTTGCCTCACAGTCTCATAATCCTTTCCAAAAAGGAAATCAAGTAAATTGGACATGACTTATACTGGCCCATTACCATTTCTTTTAATTTAATGCTATTTTTTCTTATAAACTTAACAAACTAAAGAGAAAATATTTCAAGCAACAGGGAAAAAAATTAAATACTGCAGAAAAACAATCAGAATTTCACAAAACCTAGCAACTTCTACACTAAAAAACCATAGGTTTTGGAACATTATATTTCAAAGAGCAAAGGAACTAGAGTCGCATTCAAGTATAATTTATTATGTGTATGATCCTGAATGAAAAAAATAGACTTTTGATAAACTGAAAGGCTTGTGGGTATTTGTAACAAAAAGACCAGAATTCAATGGAAAGTTTGATATAAAAGATCCAGAAGAAATATAAGGAAATCATTAAAGACTATTTGTAAGGCACTGAAAAAAAAACCTAGCAAACACCAACATTTCAGTATACAACAAAGAACAAGAAAGAGAATTATATAAGAAACTGTGACTTATGCCATCCATTTTAAAGAAGTAAATATATATATGTACATATTATAATAAATTAAACACAGTAGATGTATTCCTTTCTACACTTATTTTTTTCTGTCCATTTTTAAAAAATGCTTCAATTGTCTTTTTTGTTTCTATACCTATTACTGTTCACTAATTTACCCCATACCCAAAAAAGAAGTGCTCTGAAATGGTTTCCATTACTCTTTGATAATTAATGGTTTCCATTACTCTTCCAGTGGATGAGTACTTGGTGTTATGAAGTAAGGTAACAAGAAAGAGCTTTGTAACAATATATATGTAACAGTATGTAACAGTGAATAAGCTTTGTAACAAGTATGACTAGCCCAGCAAAACAAATCAGCATGCTGGTCATGTTTGAAAATGCTTATCTCTTTGTGCCTCTCTAATTCATTACCTTCCTGTCAAGATGACAAAGAAGGAAAATCATGATTATTTCTAAGTACTCAGAAAGCATGCCCCCTGCCCCATTTTTGGCCACTGCAACTCATGGAGACCAAATACTAAGATAGAGAGTGATTGTAAACTGCACTGAAATCACAAATAATTGAGACAGTGAAATACAGATGAAATGAAGTTAAAATGAAGGAGGAAAGTCCCAACAATGTAAACTTGAGGGATATGTGATGGAGAGGGAAGAAGCAGGGCAGTTATAATCACTTTTCTTTGATACAGTGAAAGAAACACTGAATTCACAATCAATGATCTGGGTCTGAATTTTCCGAGTTCTAATAGTGTGACCTTGGACCAATCATTCCTCCAATCATGGAAAGAACTTGGACTAGATAATATCTAAGGTTATTTTCAGCTGTAAATTAATAGGATGCCTCCCTCCTTTTTTTTAACCCACTACTTTATTCCCTCTCTGGGGCTAGTAAATAAGGGAAAGAGGTTTGGAGGAAGGATAAATCTGTTCCTTTTCCTTTTGGTTATCCATTACTAAGCCCTAAAATCTCCACATGCTCCACATCTAAGCCCACATATATCCATTCTTTTGAGACTGTGAAGCCCAGGGAATCACTTCTGTTCCCAACTCCAATGTCAAGATTCTTCTTCCTCCTTGTGATGATATGTAAGGACATCCATTGAGGGAATTGGATACTATTCAGGTTGTCCATTAGGGCAGTTTAAAGCTAGTAAGGCTTCAAAATACCCTAAGTCTTTGGAGATACCTTGTATTTAGTTTACTTTAACCTCCAATTCAAAATAATCAACCATGAGAGGGCTAATAGAAACATTTCCAGAGTGTCATCTCCTCCTCCTCCTCCTCCTCCTCCTCCTCCTCCTCCTTCTCCTTCTTCTCCTTCTTTTCTTCTTCTTCTTCTTCTTCTTCTTCTTCTTCTTCTTCTTCTTCTCCTCCTCCTCCTCCTCCTCCTCCTCCTCCTCCATTGTCTTTGTCTTCATTGTCTTCATCTTCATCTTATTTTCACATTAGAAGGAACATTGGACTAGGAATCACAAGTCCTGAGCTTTAGTCCTAGTTATGTCATTTGCTACCTAGGTTATCTTGAGAAAGGTACTTAACCCCTCTTAGACTCAGCTCTGTCATGTATGAAGTGGACATGATAACACCAGTCATAACATACATTCCTACCTTGAGTTGCTGTGATTATCAAACAGGATCAGAAATGTGAAAGCAATTTTAAAATGGTAAAGTATGATATAAGTAAGGAGCCATAAATGCTAATTATAATAATACTTTTCCACATCTTAATATAGGTATAAGAAAAAATAATTTAATGTTAAGCTTCCTGGGGAATTTTGACAATCATTGGGATTTCCCTTTATGTTTCCTAGATTGGTTCCTACTTTGGCAGTGTTTTAACAACAATTGATGTTGATAAAGACTCCTTCACTGACATCCTTCTGGTTGGTGCTCCCATGTATATGGGAACAGAGAAAGAGGAACAAGGAAAAGTGTATGTGTACACTTTAAATCAGGTAATGATGACACTAATATCTGAGTAAGAATCGAGGTTATCCCCTCTTTTCATGTAATGTTAACTAATGAATTTCTCCACTCTGCATAATTCATAGAAGAAAGAAGCTTAGGAAAGACATTTCTAGGGCCCATCAATGTTTATTAAAAGAAGCTGAACTGTTAGTATAGAGGTACAAACATCAAGATATCTTTGGTAATTAGTCATTTCTACAATGAACAAAGTATGTAGGAAGCACGGCATGCCATACATGGCTGGAAGACCAGCTTTGGAGTAAGGACAATTTGGTTTCAAGACCTACCTCTCACACATACCAGCTGGACAGCCATGGGCAAGTCCCTTAAGCTCTTAAGTGTCCCAAAGAACTTCCCTAACTCTTTAAGTTATAGGTGAGTTGCAAAGCCATAGAGGCAGAGAGAGCTTCCACATTGGAATTTCCTCACTAGCCAAGTGCCACCCCTGCCCCTCCAAGAGACAGAGAGAAAAGAGAGAGAGAGAGAGAGAGAGAGAGAGAGAGAGAGAGAGAGAGAGAGAGAGAGAGAGAGAGAGAGAACAGAAGAGAAATTGAGAGAGACAACAAGAAAGACATAGAAAGACAGGCGGATATACAGACAGAGACAGAGAGTGACAGTGATTTTCCCAAGGTCACTTAGCTAGTGTAGCAGATACAACATTATAACCCAGGTCAATAGACTCCCCATCCAAAAAACTTTGTGTAGCATCATCATAAGATTTGTATTCTGCTCAGAGCTCTAACATTCATTTGTTGAGTAAATTTTGCTTCAGTTTCTCTACCTGTTGAAAGTTTAAATATTATTCTGAATTATTATTTAAATAGTATTAATTTTGTGTATATTATCATAGTATCACAGATTTAGAGCTGCAAGGGACCTCAGAGACCATCAATATTATAATAATATAATCAAATATTGCTAATAGCTTATAACATTAATAATATTTAATGATAATGAAACTGAGCCTCAGAGAGATAGTGATTGACTCAAGGTCCCCCTTATTTCTGCTTATACTAATATTACTAGTATTGTTGCTAAATATTATATAAGATATAATTTTTAGAATAGACCTGCCATTCCATTGCTGTAGGGAACTTCCAGGGAGGAAACTCCTTCTACCAATGTGTGATCTGCAATTTATAGTCTTAGAGAGTGCCTGGGGGCACTGAGCTGTTAAGTGATTTGCCCAGGATCACACAGCCACTTTATGTTAGAGGCAGCTGTGTGAGAGGTACTGTATGGCATCATGGATAGAGAATCAGCTTTGGTGAGTCTTGAACCTAGGCTTTTCTCATTCAGAGAGATATTCTGTATTCACCATAGGACACTGACTGTCCCCTGTTCATATAAATATTATTATTCTATAATTGCTCTAATTAATATTATTAAATTTTAGCGTTTCATAAGGTCTCAGCATCCAGATTAAGTGTACAATGCAATTGTTATTTTATATGTTTAAATGACCTCCTGTTTCTTTTTACTTACCATCTTCCTTTTTTCCTCTCTTTTATGCTACTTTTAATTTCTTCTACTTCCTATTAATTACTAATTCCCTTCACTCCAGACTTACAACACTTGCAATAAAAGTTGTTCTTTGAACAGAGTAATTTTTATCTCGGTTCTACAGAAAAGAATCTGTGATCATGTCTTTGGAGGACTTTTCCAAGGAGTGTGGGATTAAGTAGAAAAAAGATAGCAGGATGAGTGAGGATGCCTTTAAAACATTAATTTGTTGATTTTATCAAGATGTTACAAGATGTCCATTGACTCAGCCCTACTGATGAAAAGCTATTTATACATTTTCAGCTGAACTTCTTTCCACAGCCCTGTGATCCACTGTGTAGAATCCTTAACTTGCCCACACAGACTCATTTCACAAACTTTTGCAGTTATTGTGGTCATTACTAGCACATATTTTAGTATGTACTTTTAAAAAGTCTACTCACATACAGTAATGATAGATATCCATAAACATTCTTTTTCCTCTTTCTCACAGACAAGGTTTGAATATCAGATGAGCCTGGAGCCTATTAAGCAAACTTGCTGTTCGTCCCTGAAGCACGATTCTTGCAAGAAGAAAAACAAAAATGAGCCATGTGGGGCTCGTTTTGGAACAGCTATTGCTTCTGTGAAGGACCTCAACCTTGACGGATTTAATGATGTAGTGATTGGCGCTCCTTTAGAAGATGATCATGGAGGGGCCGTGTACATTTATCATGGAAGTGGCAGGACCATAAAGAAAGAATATGCACAAGTAAGAAGTCAAACTTTGGGATGAGACCTGGCTGTTAAGCTTCCTATTTGCACATGTTGAATTGCTTGCACTGATTTCTTGATGGTGATTCTTTGTTGGAAAAACCAGATTCATGATCTTGCCAATTTGGGTGTTGATGTTGTTTTTTACCAAAAGAAACCACATTGTGATTTTTTCTTTTATCTAAGTCCCATTCCAGTTTGGTTTCCTCATGTCTCCATGATCTAGCCTTTTCTAAATAATAACCATAAGAACAAAAGAAATGTTCAAATGATGCCATTTAACATCTGTAATGCATTTGGTCTCTCAATTAGGGTTCTGCTTTCTGGAAAAAAACAACAGTAATTAACTGACTTAATAAAGGAAACTAAATTATTATTTAATATGCAATAGCCATGCCATTTTAGTAAAATTATGCCAAATTTATAGTTATGTATCCTAGAGTCATAATTTTCTTATTAACGTCTATTTGCAAAACATCATGATTTACCTTTAAGGAATCGTTGTTGAAAAAAAACCAAAACAAAAAAACCCCCCAAAATGAAAAAACAAACAAAAAAACAGAACCTGGCCTTCAGGAGGGATTGACATTAAAAATGTTTTTAAAGTAAAATTTTATAAACAATTAACAACTCATAATCTGTAAACATAAAGTGCCTTTTCTGTCTGAAAAAAAAAATAAACCACCACCACAATGGTCTTTTACAGCAGTGTTTACTACACAATAAACACTGGAGACTTTTAAAAGAACATTATAATTTAATGTTTGCTAAGTGCCAGGGCTGTCTGGGTATTGAACAACTACACAGAACATAAATACAATACAGTTCACTAAACTTACATAACATGAATACAAGACTGACATTGGCTATTCATTTCTCTTTTTTTAAAATTAACTTTTCTGTAATTTTAATGTCATTGAATTTGCAGAACGCATTATATTGAAATGTTGATTTTAATTAGGCACTGGACTGTTTCACTTTTTCAAAAGTCCCAATAATATTCTTTGAAATATGACTTCATACATACACAAGTAGAGAATTTCAGTAGCAACCTATTCACTCCATTTAGTAAATGAGTGGTCTCTTTTACGTTCCTAATGGCATTATTTACAAAATAGCATTTAAGTGGAAAGAGACAGGATGTCAGAGAATAATGTAATTAAGGAATTTTAGCACATTCAATAAGAATTTCTTTCATATGTTCTGCTACTTTATTACTTCAAAATTAATCCAATAAATCTAAAAGAGATACATTTGAGAAGCCAACACGTATTGTTCTACAATAGAAAGGAATCTCCAGATATCATCAGTGTTGGCAGGTTTGGGGCATTGTTCAGTTATTTCACTTGTGTCCAAATCTTTGTGACCCCATTTGGAGTCTTAGCAAAGACACTGGACTTGTCTGCCATTTCCTTCCCCAGCTCATTTTTACAGATGAGGAAACTGAGGCAGACAGGGTTAAATGATCTTCCCAGGGTCAAACAGCCAGGAAGTGTCTGAGGCTAGATTTAAACTCGGGTCATCCTGACTCCAGGCCCAGTGCTCTATCTACTATGCCACCTACCTGCTCCACGTGGGACAAATATATTGTTAATTTTGCAACTCAGAGTTTACAGCTTAAACTCAAATTTCATTTGAGTCAGAGTAATGATCAACATTTTTTCTACCTACCATGAATGTTTGCTTTACATTCTGGGTAGGTGTTGTTAATGAACCATATTAGATTAGTTTGGCATGCGGTATCCAATGCTGGGCTCCATTTTTTAAAAAGGATATTGACAAATCAGAGACTGTTCAGAGGAAGTTAATCAAGATTGTGTGGATACTCAAGATCAAGATGAGTAATGAAAAAGGTAGAAATTTATTAGTAGGTATTATAGGAATAGAAGAGATGGCCTATACCATATAATGATCACTGAAGGAATTGATAACGCGTAGCCTATAGAAGAGAAGACTTAGGGAGACAGGATAGCTGTCTTCATGTATTTGAAGTCTGTCATGTGGAAGAGATATTAAACCATTGGGGCTATTCTCCAGGGTATAGAAACAGAATTATGCTCTATGCAAGGAAAATTCTGCTAACAATTAGAACTTGTAAAAGAAAAAGAGATTAGATTGACCCAGGAGTTAGTGGGCTCCCCCTCATTCAATTTCTTTAAGGGAAGACTGGCTCACTTGTTAGAGTCATTATGGCAGGGATTGGTAGTTAGTAGGTATGGCTTTGATTGTCAACCACTACAGCTTTCCTGATCTCTGAAATCTCTTTCAATTTTTTGATTCCATGATTCTGATTCTGTGAAATAATTGGATAAGGGATAAAAAGATCTAGATTAAAATCCTAGTTCTACTGCTCATCACCTACAGAATCTTAGGCAAGTTACTGCCCCTTTCCGAGGGTTCATAGACTGTTCAACATAGAGCTAGAGCTTTATGGGACCTCAGAGTTCATCTACTCTAACCTCTTTATTTTTTAGATAAGAAATCTGATGACCAGAGAAGTTAAGTGACTTTTCCAAGGACACGTAGGTAGGAAATAGCAGAACAGGGATTTTGACCCAAGTCCTCTGACATCAAAACTAGTAGTTTCCTCATCTGTAAAATAGGGGCATAGGACCACATGATCACCACTGTCCCCCCTAGCACTTACTAGCTGTGTGACCCTAAGCAAATAACTTAACTTCTGTTTGCCTCAGTTTTCTCATCTGCAAAATGGGGGAAATAATAATAGCACTCACCTCCCAGGGCTGTTGTGAGGATCAAATGACATAATAATTGTAAAGCACTTAACAGAATGCCTGGCACCTAGTCAGTGCTGTATCCTCATCATCAACATCATCATTATTAGCTACATAGATTTGAGAGGACCTAAAATTAAACTGTATCTATTTTGTTTCTGTTCAAATGTCAGTACCCACCTCTTCACCACCCAGCAGGCAAAAAAATCATTAATTTTGCTGACAAAAAAATCACAGTTCAAAAAAATGCAAATTATAAGTCAAAGGAAAATAATCTCTTTGTTTCTGATTTGCTTTTTTTGTCACTTTACTTGCTTGACCGGCCTCATTCACATTGTGTAGCTGAGGACTCTGTAAGTTTAGAGAAGGTTCCTAACCTTTTGGTCCCACTCTCTTATATTTGTCATCAAACAGTACAATAGCCAAGCCAATGTACCAAATGCCCTGCGACTCTTAATTGTCACCTTGGTGTCCCAGCATCTAGTAAGCATTTGTGACTGCTGAAGGCAGTGGCCACATCTCAATACCAACTGATTTGTTGTGCTTATACCCGTTAAAAGAAAGGTTCTGTTTCCAGGGCAGAAAAGGAAATGATCTATGTAAAAATGCTCATGATTGGAGGTGAAATGTCAGTGTCTCTGTAGAATGAGACTGGACAGACAGAGGAACTAGAGTCAATCAATGGGAATGCTTTTTATGAGGTTCAGCCAGAGTAAAATGAGAACATTTTTTTCCCCTCTGGTGTCAGTAACTCTGAAATGATTTTGTCTAGAATTATAAAAAGCAAAATGTCCTTTAGTAATAACAGAGCGTTTCCTCTTGCCCCCACACATGGGTTTATTTGAGCACGGTTTCAAAGAAAACTTTTCTTTCCCCCTTTCCTTCTCTTTCTTCTTTTTCTTCCTTCCTTCTTCCTTCCTTCCTTCCTTCCTTCCTTCCTTCCTTCCTTCCTTCCTTCCTTCCTTTTTTCTTCCTTTCTATCTTTCTTTCCTCTCTCTTTCCTTCCTTCATCCTTTATTTTTCTCATTTATTTTCCTTCCTTCCTCTATTTATTTATTTATCTATTTATTTGTTAGTTCATTCACTTGTAAATCAGTTGAAGTGTATAATTTAGATTCATATTGAAAGTGCTTCTAGCATCCAGTTCTCCCATGGATAATAACATCTGGGGATTCTCACAGCGTATTCCATCAGGTGGAGATGGAGAAACACTGAAATTTTTTGGCCAGTCTATACATGGAGAAATGGATTTAAATGGAGATGGACTGACTGATGTGACCATCGGAGGCCTTGGTGGTGCTGCCCTCTTCTGGTGTGTATTTTAACAGCACCTAGCTGAATTTGTCAAGTTCCTAATCTTAAGTACAAATGTCTTGATTTTCTCTTCATAATAGCTTGGGAACAAAGAGAATTGTTGATACATGCTAAATGTCACATTCTCTTATATACCCAATTATGTAATATATGCCCATATATGTGAGTAAGCAGGAAGAGTCAATAAACCCGATGAATGAAGGGAAAAATGTAAAAATGAAGCAACTATGAAACATTTTTTTGGTTCTGAATGGTTGCCCATGAGTAGGGCCAACCTTATTTGAATGAACACATTATTATGGGGCAAAATATGAAATATTTGTATGTGCGTATATGTGTGTATATATATATATATATATATATATATATATATATATGCCAGTATGTGTTTAAAAGAAGGAAACCATGTAGAGAAAAAAATAGAATTAATTGACAATTAGGTATCTATCATGTACCTGGCATTGTCCTAGCACCACAAGGGGTTATAAGAACAGTTGGCACCTGCCGTCAAGTAGCTTATAATACAATCATACAGTATTATTCTTCTTTCATTTGCTCTCAAAGAGAGCAGAGGCCTTTCTCTATCCCTCTCCAGCTAGTCCTCACTGGTTTTTAATATTTTGTATTCCTTTGTATATATTTTGTATTTTCTTGTGTGTATATTTTATCACTCCCATATGATGTAATACTCTTAAGGGTAGAAGCTGTTTGGGATGCTTAGTAGTAATGTGCCTATGGGAAATTACCTTAATCTCTCTAAGACTCAGTTTCCTCAACTATACAAAGAGGTTAGACCTCTAGTGTTCCTTCTAGTTCTAAATCTATGACCTCATGGTTTTTGTCTTTATAGTTCCCAGAACCTAGAAGCATAATGCCATACACCTGTGGGACTTGAACCCAGGTCTTCTTGAAACCGATTTGTGTGTGTGTGTATGTGTGTGAGCAGATATAGAACTATAGAGATAGATATATCTATCTATATCACACACACACACACACACACACACACATATATAATATATCTCGCTATGCATGTATCTATATCTATACACACACACTATCTATATACACATACAACCTTTTAGATGGTTTTTGTCTCTGGGAAGGTAAAAAGGGTTGAGTTCATAGCTTAGCTTGGTTCCTATAGAGCACAGTTCTATTTCCAAGTCTAAACTTTCCCCTCACCCCAGCTTGAGTCCCAGGCACCCTGGCTTCTTTGGGCTTCCATGCCTGGATGACTGGCTATAAACTCTTGCCTTCAATCCTGGCTCCAAGGTCTCCATGGCTTGAACTCCCAGGTCTCTGGGAATTATCTCTGAAACTGAGGAAGTCAAGTAACACAAAACAGAAACAAACACCCTCACATCCATTTCTTGGAGCTGGAATAAAAAGTAAGGCAAATCCTTCCCCTCTCACCAGTTCAATTCATGGCATCCATGCTGGGTGCAACAGATAGGAGTCCCAGAAAAGAGTACAACCAGAAGAGGCGGTGGGAAAGAGTGTAGCCAAAAAGAGAGCAAAGAGATTAGTTTCACCACTTTTAAAGATGCAGGTAGCCAATAAAGGAAGGCTACCCCCAACTGTGTGGTAGGGGGCCACAGTAAGTTCCATGTCAGGCAAATTGAGAATGTTCAAAAGACTGCTCAAGGATGTCTCCATGTTAGAAGCAGGCATGCCAAGAGAAGTTTGTGTGTGTGTGTGTGTGTGTGTGTGTGTGTGTGTGTGTGTGTGTGTAAGAGAGAGACAGACAGACAGACAGACAAACAGAGAGAAGAATAGGATAACAGAGATTACTATATATAGATGTAGCTATAGGATAGAGATAGCTGTCCTAACAGTCCATCTATGTATGTATGTATGTATGTATGTATGTATGTATCTATCTATCTATCTATCTATCTATCTGTCTATCACTAATATACAACCTGGCTTCCACACCTACTACTATACCAAAAAAATTATTGTCAGTGGTTACAAGAAACTCCTGCTCACCAAATCCAAGGGTCTTTCTTTTAGTCCTAACCCTCTTGAGCTCTCTGAAGATTTGGAAATGACAAGCTATTTCCTTACAGATATTCTTTCAATCCTTGGCTTCAGCAACACCATAGCTCTTGATTTTCCTCCTAACTCTAGCTATTCCTTCTGCCTCTCCTTCACTGGCTCCTCATCCTTTTCACAACCCATTAAAATGAGAGTTTCTCAAGATTCTATCATTGATGTTCCTCTTTCTACACTCAGTAATCTCAATAGTTTCAACCATTACATTTACATAGATGACTCTGGTCTATACCTGTGCTTGTCACCCAACCTCCAGATTTTCAAACCACCTTCTCCATACCTTTTTAACTGAGTACTTCACATCATATGAACCTTACAAAAATAGTGTGCATTTGCAATGCTCATCATCTTCTCCCTTTCTCCTTCCCTCACAACCCTTTGACACCACTCCTCCATCATCCTTCTATTACACCTGTCTCTGATGAAAAAGTGGCATTTCTCCTTGTCCACCTTAATACCTCCAATCCCTTCTTCTCCCACAGACTGATCCACAAGCATCCTCTATTCCTCTAGTCTTCAGTTGCTCCCTATCTACTACTGCCTGCAGACAGACTCAGATTTCCTCCTTAAAAGGTACTCAATGGAATACTATCTACTCAATTTATTGTTCTGTACCTCCTCGTTTTTTTCTCAGGCAAACTCAAAGAAAAACAAAAAACAAAAAAAGAAAAACAAACAACTACCTACATTTAGTACTTTTACATCCTATCTATTCATTCACTTCTTATTTCCTTGCAGTTTGGCTTCCAAACTTATTTCTCAAGCAAAAGTGTTCTTTCTAATTATCAATTATCTCTTAATTGCTACATCTGATGGCTTTTCCCAATCCCCATTCTTCTTGACTTCTCTATGGCTTTTGACACCATTGGACACTATTTCCTCCAGATAGTGTCTCCTTTCTGAGTTTTTGTGACACAGTTTTCTCTTGATTCTTCTCCTGTTTGACCTCTTCTTAGTCCCCCGTGTCGGATCTTACCAATCCTTGTTGTCCCTTAACTGTAGGTGTTCCCAAGGCCTCTGTCCTGGGCTCTCTTCTCTCTCTGCACTCTCATTTGATGACCACATCGTTTTCCATGAACTTAATAATCATCTACATGTAATGACTCCTAAATATATATATTCAATTCTAGTCTGTTTCCTAAGCTTCAATCTCATAGCACCAATTACCTATTAAACATTCCCAGATTTATGTCCCAAAGGCATCTCAACATTGAACATGTCCAAAAACAAACTTATTTACTTTTCCAAAAAAAAACCCACTGCTTTTGAAAACATCCTCATTTCTGTGGAAAACAACACCACAATTCCACAAACTTCCCCATTTCCTTTGAAGGTATCATTACCCTCCTGGTCACCCATGCTCACAACCACAATGTAATCCTTAACTCCTCACTCTCATTCACCAACATAACCAATCACTTGCCAAATTTTATTGCTATAGTATCCCACCCATAAGTCCCTTTCTCTACTCCCGCAGCCCCTACCTTAAATAAGGTCCTTATTACCTCTTTCCTGGACTGGTGCTACAATCTCCTGTTTGGTCTGCTCACCTTAAGTCTCTCACCACTCCAGTCCATCCTCCACACAGCTGACACAGCAGATCTGACTGTGCCACTCAATTAACTTGCATGGTTCCCTATTACCTTTTGGAACAAATATAAATTCTGTCTGGTCTTTAATGCTTTTTACAACATGGTCTCAAAAATACCTTTTTTAAGCTTGTTCCACATCACTGTCCTTCATGCATTCCACAATCCTGGCAAACTGGCTTTGTGGCTATTCTTTTCGCTGGACATGTCATCTGTCTCCCAGCTCCATGCCTTTGCACTAGCTGTACCCCATGCCTAGAAGGCACTCCCTCCCCACCCCATCTTAGAAGCCTTAGTCTTCTTCAAGATTCAATTTATGTACTTCCTTCTACACAAAGGTTTGCCTAATCCCCATAGCTGCTAATGCCTCCCAAAAAAGATTACCATGTGTCATGTGTGTGTGTGTGTGTGTGTGTGTGTGTGTGTGTGTGTACTATAAGTGCACACATGAGCGCACACGTCCATGTTGTTCCTTCTAATAGAATATAAGCTACTTGAATTCCAGATTTCCTTTTGTCTCTGTATTCTCAGAGCCTAATATGTAGTATACAGTGGGTGCTTAATTAATGCGTGTTCACTCATAGTTCTATTGCCTTTTCACTTGCCTGCAGGCCATGTCCATCAGAATGTTACATTAATACCTCCAGCTTAACATCCTCCAAATCAAGTTTATTTTTCTCCAAGAGTCCCTCTACTTTATAATCACTATTTTTGTCAGTGGTGCCACCGATTCACTTAATATCCCATGCTCTAAAAACCATGGTATTAGATCTTTGATTCTTCTTTCTCCCTAAGTCTCATATATACAATCAGTTCCTAAGCCCTGTTGATTTTTCCTCTATAATATCTCCCACATCCATTCCCTCCTTTCTGTTCCCACATGCACCACTCGGCATAGGCCTTCGCTGCAGATGCTATATACACATGGACTCTTCAGTAGCCTAGTAACAAATCTTCCTCCTTCATTTTCTCCCTCACTCAAACCATTCTTCATGTAGCCTTAAGACTTATATTGATTATCTTCAGATCTAGCTATGTCACTTTGCTTAAAATCTTCAAGTGACCATTGATTTAGATCTGGAAGAAACCTTAGAAGTCATCTCTTCTTAACAACCCCCACTTTATTTTACAAATGAGGAAAACATGGCCTGTAGAAGTTAAGTGACTTGCCGAAAGTCAGACAGTAAGATTCAGAGTTGGGTTTTGAGCCAGGGTCTTCCATCTCCAAATCTAGCATCTTTCTCATTGTAGCCCCCAAAACTCCACACTTATTCATGACCCTTTCTTTCTGAGCCTATTTCACAATATTTCTCTCCATGTACTCTATGCTCTAGCTAGATAAGATTACCATGGATGCCTTATATTTGACCACTTCCTTGCCTTTGCAAGTTGTTCTTTTGCGTGCCTTTGCACACTGTTCTGTATAGCTAGAATTTTTTATCATGGTTTACCATGACCTTTAGAATTATATTCCATAAATTTAGAGCCAGAAAAAACCTCAGAAGCCATCTAGTCCCCCTCCCCCAATTTTGCAGATGAGGAAACTAGGGACCAGAGAGATTTAATAACCTATATCTAATGTCACAGATAGTCAATAGCAAAGCAAGGCTTAGAACTCAGGTCCTGTCACTCCGAATCCAACTCTCTTTTCCAATTGTCCCATGCTGACTCTCAATTTCCTACTTATTGAATTCTTCTTCATCCTTTAAGGCCCGAGTAAGATGCCACCTACTCCAGGAAGCTTAATCTTATTGACTGATAGTGAGCTTTCCCACCCTGGACATGGCGTAGCACTTTGCACTTTTCTTATGCACTTATTTTGTATGATAATCTTTGTATATGTATTATATTCTCCCTCTGAGCCACAGGAGGGCTGAAACCAAGTCTTCTTTAAACTTTGTTTCTTAGTCAGAACCTAGCACAATGCTGAACACAAAACAAACACTTGTTAAGTTGAATTAAATTTCTTCAAAATCAAATGTCTATTGGTTTTTATGCTTCTAGGTCTCGAGATGTAGCTGAAGTTAAAGTTACCATGACTTTTGCACCCAATAAAGTAAACATTCAAAAGAAAAACTGCAAGATGGAAGGGAAGGAAACCGTATGCATAAATGCTACCATGTGTTTTAATGTCAAACTAAAGTCAAAAGAAGACACAATTTATGCAGCTGGTAAGTTTACTCTACAAAGAACGTTTAGGTTGTAACTCAATGCCTTTGTTCATACAAAGTAGTGTACAGTAGGATTTTGCTGCACTCCACTACCTGCCTCTGTTATGGAACCTGCCTCTGTTATGGAACCTACCTGTGCAATGGAGGTTTGGTAGAAGAATCCGATTATGTCATGAGGGGAGCCCAAAATAAACAAGCAGAGTCCATTAATTTGCTTCACAGACGATGGAGAAGGAACCAGAAAATAATTGGCATCAAATATATATATGTGGTGATAACATGCCTTTACTCAGAAATCTTCCAGTGGTTCCCTATGACCTTCTAAATAAAGTCCAGCTCCTTTGCCTGACATTCAAGGCCCTCTTCAACCTGGAACAACCTTTCCAATCTTATAGTACTCCCCAACTATGCATACAGATGTAATGTGATGCAGTGTCTGGAATGCTTGAAGTAGAGTCCTTCCTCTGATACTTGTAAGCTATGTAACTCATGGAAGAATCATAATCTTTTTTGCACCTCAGTCTCCTCTTCTGTAAAATGGGAGTAATAGCTTTACCTACCTCTTAAGGTTACAATGCAGCTCAAATAAAATGATTCAAGTAAGGTACTTTGCAAACTCTTGTCAGTTGTTATTATGCATTCTAATGTTCCCAGCCATGGACAACTAGGTGGCACAATGATTAGAGTGCTGGACCTACAGTCAGGAAGACCTGAGTTCAAAGGTGGCCTCAGATATTTACTAGTTTTTTGACCCTAGGCAAGTCACTTATCCCTGTTTTCCTCAGTTTCCTCATCTGTAAAATAAGCTGGAGAAGGAAATGGCAAACCACTCCTGTATCTTTGCCAAAAAAACCTCAAATGGGGTCACGAAGAATCAGACACAACTACAATGACCAAACAGCAATGCTCCAGGCAAACTGTCCTTCAAACATATTCTTTATCTTATTTTCTGCATGCCTTCGTCCACACCATTCTTTATGCCTGAAATGTTCTCCAGTCCTTTTACTTCATAATTTCCTATGTATCTTTTAATGTTTAATTACAACACTGTCCCTTCCAGATTAATAATAATAAGTAACATTTATATAGTACCTAGTATATACTAGGTACTGTGCCAAGATCTTTAAAATTTTTATCCCATTTGATCCCCATAGCAATCCTGGGAGGTAGGTGGTATTATTTTCCCCATTTTACAGATGAGGGAACTGAGACAGACAATAGTTCAGGGACTAGCCCTGAACTATTCACACAGCTAATAAGTATCTAAGACTGGAGTTGAACTAAGGTCTTCCAGACTTCACATCCAACATTCTATCCAGTGTGCCATCTAGCTGCCACAAATTGGCTTTCTCCATGAACCATCATCTGCTTCTTATTCAGTAATCACCTTTCCCCATAGATCACATGCTGTATTTTGTTAAACATGCATTTGATGCCCTTATTATAAAATAATCATGTTTTATAGTTACCTCCATTTATACCTTGTCCCTTCACACAGCAGACATTTAATAGATGTTTATAAAATTTTGAAGATGAAGTTCTGGAAACCAAGACTCCATGGTTCTCTGGACCCTCCATTTATGATGAGGAGCTCAGGGGACAATTCTGCTGTCAAAAGTGGGAAACCTGAGAAGACAAGTATAGAGAGATTTTGAGTATAAATGAGCACAGTTCTTTGGGGGTTTACCCAGCAAAGGGACTTTTTTTATTCCTATCTCCCCAGCAAATGGGCAAAACACAGGGCTATTCTGTTTTGCTTCTGCCAGCTCCCCCTAATCAAACATCTCCATTGGGGTGAGTAGTCCAGGATAAAGAAGGTCAGATAAGTAATTTTTTTCATAAATGCTCTAAAATCTGTAAATCTGTTAATGTCCCTGATACTTTTCAATGCTATCTTTAAATCACCATAGAGATATATGCTAGAGATGTATTGGAGTTAACAGTCATTCAGGACAGAGGTGGCAGAAGGGCAATGTTTTCTTTAAGTCAAACAGAAGCTAAAAGAATAATGCTCACTGTCTTAAAATTTCCTTTTCTGTGTTTCTATAACACAACCCCAATAACATCCTTCCCTGATGTTTCATCATCATGTCAAGATAATCCTGAGCTCCTAAGGGTTATACCAATGGAGCACAGACCCTAGCAGGTCCTATTAAGATGGAAAGGTTTTGAGTGCAGGCCCCAAACAATATTGTATATGTCTACCAACTGAAGACATGGCTAGCTACATTTGAGAAGCTCATTACCAGAGGATTGGCTATCAGGTGATTAATTTGAGGCCACAGCAACTCATTAAGGAGTTGGGATTTACATTTGTGGAGTGTTTATCCACAATGATAAAATCATAGATCTTTTCAAGAATTGAAGTCTCCAACATATATGCTTGTATATGCTTTTCAAGTGTTCTATAAAGTCAGCTATTTTTTGGTTAACTCGTTTTTGTTTCGTTATGAGAGAGTATAAAGGTAGAGGATGAGGTAGAGAAAAGTAGAGAGGTGAATATATCACAAAATAATTGGCTTAGAACAAAAAAAATATAAAGATATCAGTCATACCTTTTAAAAAGTTTTTAATGTTCCAGAAGGAAAGTGAGGCAGCTAGATAACACAGTGAATAGCAAGCCAGGGTCCAAGTCCATAGGGTCTGAATTCAGATTTGACCTAAGACACTTACTATGTGACCCTGGCAAGACACTTAACTTCTTTTTGTCTCAATTTCTTTATCTGTAAAATAGGGATAATCATAGCACCTACCTCCCAGGGTTTTTTTTAAGAATCAAATGAGATAATTTTAAAGCATTTAGCACAGTGTCTCACACATAGTAAGTACTATATATGTGTTAGCTATCATTATCATTATTATAATTATTAAGTTTTAATATTTATTTATGACTTGTGGAATCCATAGCCTCACCAAATAAATGTGCAAAGATGAAACAGTACAATTTATATAGGATATAAATGCAGTTTAATTACTTTAAATTTAAATAACCTATAAATTAATTTTAAAAAGTAATTTAATTAATTTTAATTAATTAATAAAATTTTTAATTTAATTACATAGAATGGATTATTCTATGCTCCCTATGCTCATATACGTATTTGCATTTTGATAAGCTTGGTGATACTTCAACTTTACAGTGTAATAGAGGCTCAATAAATGTTTATTGATGATGAGTGCAATCTAAAAAGAGGCAGCTAAAGTCTTAATACCAATGTGCATTCTTGGCTATTTTGTGTTCCCACACTTAGCACAAAGGCTTGCATATAACAGGCACTTATTAAATGTTTGTATAATTGACTATAATGTCGACCCATATGCCAAGCAATGGCCTAATATTTCTAATTTATTGCAATGGAAAATATTATAGTCAGCAAACTCTGTAATCTGATGTGGCCTGGGAATGAACTGAGAGTACCAGTCCTTAATTATTTGTTTAGTAGAACATTACCATGTATGTACCATACAAGGCTTAAGGATTTGGATTCAATAAAATATACAACTTTAAAACCATTTGGGCCTTAACTTAATCTTCTGTTGATTATTTACAAGCTCACTCAGCTTGGATTAACTACAATAACCAGTCTTGGTCTCCCAGAAAACAGAGAGTAAAATGTGCCTCGCTTTTCTCAGCAGTAAGACAGGTGACCAATGGACAGGGACATGATGCCGTATACGTCATCAAATCAATCACTTTATCCCATGTTTTTGTTTAACTGTTTTCCTTTATTACAAGGAAAGATTCCATTCCAGTAGGGGTTAAGGAATGGAAGAACAGTATGTCCAGAAATGACTGTGATGTACAAGCAAAAAGCATCAATAAAACATATTTTATAGAGAAGAAGGCAGTTCAGGACCTCAAGGTGTTTCAGGGTCATCCTCGTGAACACTAATTATCTCGAGTCCATACATTTCTGGGAATTCCAGTCAATGGAAATCTCTGATTATTTGAATAACGAATAACTGTGTCTTACTGTAATCCTCAATTACATTACTAGGCCATGAAAATAATTATGGATTGATTTCTTTATTTTCATAGATTTTTAATGTATTTTATTTTTTAATAGATCTACAATACCGAGTTACATTAGACTCAGTAAGACAGATATCACGAAGTTTCTTCTCTGGAACGCAAGAAAGAAAGATTCAAAAAAACATCACAGTCCATGGATCAGAATGTACTAAACATTACTTCTACATGTTGGCAAGTAAATCATATATTATAGCTACCTTATTATAAAGCTTAATTAAAATAGACATTTTTCAGTCCTCCTTTCTTTGTCAGGAAATCAAGTGGGGGGGTAGGTTCTTTCACTCTCCAATTTTATCTGCATTATTACATATATCATTATAGTCTTATTTCCAAAATAATTCTGGATTCATTTTAGGCCCAGATTCATATATTGGGGCTTTTCCTTAATGAATTGCCTATCTAGTTGGTTTTTTGTTTGTTTGTTGGTTGGGTTTTTTTGCTCCTACCCAGATAACTCTGAGAATTTCTAAAGTTAATTTAAATCTACATTCAATGGTTCACTATTCTAGCAGACCCATACTAGGAATGACATTGAAGCCAAATGGTAAAGCAATAAATGTCACCCACATTCCTAGTTGGAATAGTCTTGTTCTCTTCCCTCTTTGCCACCCACAGAAATCTGGGTCTCATAAAATCCTCCAAAAGCTCATGACTTTGATAAGCAAAGCCTCTGCAGGCACAGCAAGAATTTGGAACCCAGCCAGTTTCACCATCTCTCCACAATCAGGAGGCCTCCTCTCTTTGTTCCAGGAAGTCTCAAGTATATTCCTAAACTCTTGAATTCCTTCCTAGATGCTTCCATAGCTCTCCCAGACACCTCCTCCTTTCCAGAAGTCCTTTTTTCCCCTCCCAAACAACAGCTATGCCATGGACAGGCACATGAGAAATGATATTCTTGCTGGCCTTCAATGAATGTTTATACATTGGGCTCAGGCATCTTAGCTAATGTAGCCTTTTCCCTATCAGATGCGTTTGTTAAAATATATTAGGTATCAAAATATATTAGGTATAAAATATATTACAATAGGTATCTACCTATTGTAATAAAGTATTATGGAAAAAGTGATAAGAATTTGAGAGACCTTAATTATAGTTTTCCATCTGCCACTTACTAGTAGAGTTAACTTGGCAAAGTCACTTAGACCCTTTGAGTAATTTAACTTCTGTCTGCCTCAGTATCTTCAACTGCAAACTGTGCATACTAATAGCAACCATCTCCCAGGATAATGGTAAGGATCAAATGAGATAATATTTTTAAAACTCTTAGCACAGTGCCTGGCCCATAGAAGGCACTAAATAAATACTTGTTTCCTTTTCTTCCTTCCTCTCCTATTTTTTTCCAAACAGAAATGAAATTAGCTCTGATGATTTCTTGAATATTCTTCCAACTCAAAGATCTATAATTACAAGATATATTGTTTATGTTTACTGTTTCTCTGTACATAGACTGAAACCATGAATGTTATGCTATACCTTGACCACCAGTTTTGTAAAATTGCAACTAATACTAGACTTTATGCTGTTTTATTTCACTTTTCCAGCAGCATAAGCAAATTATTTTCCCCCTTGGGGTGAGTGAGTTATAACCAATTTGAAAGATGTTGGACTTTGCCATTCTATTTCCTTGCCCTTTTAGTGTGGCAATGGTACATTTAAAATGACACATTTGTAAATCAATATTTTGTGGTTACATTGAGGGATTAGATTGATTTGTTATAGCCAAAATTTTATTTTCTTAAGCTTGTGAATATACTACACCAACAATGATTTCCTTAAAATCATTCCTAAAATTGAAAACACACTGAAAACAATCATAAAATTATTGTAGAGGTACAGATTTAGAATACAGACATCTAACGCAACAAACTATTTTTCCTCTGGCTTATTTTTATGTTTCTGATGTATTCATGTTTCCCTTTTTAAGAATTTTTCAGTAAGACAGTTATTAAAAAAAAAAAAGAAATTATTCTACTGTTCACAGAAAAAGATCGTAGATCTAGGGCTGGAAGAGACTTTAAATACTATCTAATCTCTCTCCCCCAACCAAGGGGGAAGACTGAGGTTCAGGGAAGTTCAATGCCTTGGCCAAGATCACATAGTAGGAAGTATCAGAGGTAGAATTTAATTATTCTTTCACATGCCTTTGGTATCAGTTTTTCAGTGGTCCGGTCATTTTTCAGTCATATCTGACTGTTTGTGACTCCATTTGGGATTTTCTTGGCAAAAATACAGGAGTGGTTTGCCATTTCCTTCTCCAGCTCATTTTACAGGTGAAGAGCTGAGGTAAACAGGGTTAAATGACTTGCCCAGGGTCACACAACTGGTAAGAATCTGAGGCAGGACTTGAACTCAGGTCTCCCTAACTACAGGCTCAGTGCTCTATCCAGTGTGCCACCTGGCTGCCCTACACAGGGCATAAATGTTGTTGTTTTGCAACTCAGAGTTTACAGATGAGGAAAGTAAAGCAAACAGGGACTTGTCCCAGGTCACAGTTACTAAGTGTCTGAGGCCAGATTAGAGCTTATGAAGATGAATCTTCCTGATTCTAAGCCCAGTGCTCTATACTCTGTGTCAGCCGGCTGGCCAGATACCACTTTTACTTATGCATAAAAGTAACACTATCCCATCAGTATTCTATTGATAACTCATATTTCTAGTATGTTAAAGCTTATAAAGTGTTTTTCTCATGGCACTCCTGTGATGCAAGTGTCTCCATTTTGCCATTGAGCAGAGGCAGATGAACTTGCCCAAGCCTGCACAGTAAGCGTAGGAGGCAAGATCTGAACTCTGGACTTTGGACTCCAAGGCCAGAGCCCTTTCCGCTGTACCACAGCTAGGATCATTCTTTGGAGCAGGGTTTGGAGATCGGGAGTAAAACTAGAGAGTGTCCTCCTTTTTAGCTCATCAGAACTCAAAACTCGAGAGCCAGAGTTTAGCTCAGAGGGGAAGCGTGTGCTACAGCCCTGAGAGCAGAGGCTCCAGAGTCAGGCGCCATCTCTCTCACTGTGTCACCTTGGCCAATTCAAGGGATTTGCTCTCTGGGCCTCCGTTTTCTCATCTGTAAAATTAAGGGTTTGGACTTGAAGCTCTCCCAAGTCCCTTGCAGCTCTAAATCTATGGAGCTTCTGTCAGCTTTTGGCAGCAAGGTTTGAGCTTATCCATAAATTCAGTATCTTTACTGTGTCTAAAGAATGGGAACTGAGTGACCCAGAGAAAATTGTTTAACCTCTCTGGGTTTTGGTTTCTTCGTCTACAAAAGGAGAAGATGGACTGGTTGACCTCTCAAGTCCTTCCCAGATTTAAATCTGCAATTCTATCATCTAACTTTTTTTAAAAAATCGTTTTAGACCACAATTACCATTTTCATCAGGTACCAGAAGTTAACCTTTCATTGCACAGACTCAGTCCTTCCTTGTCTGCTTAGGTATGGTATTATATTAATGAATGGCCAGCTCAGCCTGAACTTTAAAAGATCTACCTGTCTAAAATTGAAAAGATTTCCTAAAATAATTATTCCTATATTTTTACTTTAATGAAACTTTAAGGTCAAAAATAGCTCTATTCTTCTTGCTTCAGTTATTATGTTGTTACATTATGCCTAGTACCACAAAGTGGGTAAGCTGAGAGTGATCTGGAACCAGTCCAGTTCTAACTGAGTTATCAAATATCCCATGAGTTTAGTTGGATCTTCTGTCCTTTTTATGCCCCGTTTCTTTCCCTCTAATTCACCTCCCCCCACCTCCCTCATCTCCAAAGGCATAAGGCAAGAAGGAAGGGCCAATGTTAAGGCATCTGCCTTGGGAAAATCACATAAACATCCATGAGTAATATATTTCTTGTTTTCTCTTCTAGGATAAGCATGACTTTCGGGATTCAGTGAAGGTATCATTGGATTTTAATCTTTCAGATCCAGAAAATGGGCCTGTGCTTGATGGTGATCTGCCTAACTCAGTACATGAATATGTAAGTCAAAAAAATTTTTGACAACTTGGGATATCTAGTTATTAATAAGATTAGGAACTAGAGTTGGTATATAAATGGGTTGCTGAAGAAAAAGAGATCCTGAATTTACTGATAACAAAAATTTGCTACTCTATGCTTTCCCCACTTTCAATTCCACTTTCTTAGCTTTCTTGTTAACTGCTTTATATTCCTAAATTGTTCAGAGTGCAGAGTACTTCTACAGGCAAAGTAACACCCTCTGGAGGAATGATTCACAGCACCAGTAAATCTTCTCTCCACACCACAAAAATGCATGAACAAAGTGATTCATTATGCAGATTACACTAAACAAAGAGGCAGCCAATGGTATGGTGGGGCCAGCTTGTAAAGCCCTTTAAGTGATAAACAGAGGAGTTTATGGTTGAACCTAGAGGTAATAGTGAGCCACTTGAGCAAACGTTTGTTATTAACCTATAGTCCTAGAGATTTCATGGAGTCAATGAACTTATATGGGAAAAATGACATCTTTTATTTTTACTAAACTCTAACTGAAATTTAGTATTTCCTCCCATTATGATTTTTTAAAAAATATCCTGAGCATGCGTCCATAATATTCGCCAGACTATCAAAGGGGTCCAAAACATACACACACACATGCACACATGCACTCATTTACTCACACACTCACACTCAGATTAAGAAGCCCTGTACTGGAGTTTTTTGAGTTGTGGGAGTAGGGTGGGGGTCAGGGGGTGGGAGTGCGGAGAGAATAACAGACCTGTGATTTAGGAAAACTGCTTTGGTTGCTGAATGGAAGATGGAGTGGAGTGCAAAGAGATTTGAAACAGGGAAATCCAATAAGGGACCTCTGCAGTAGCTTGGGCCACTGGTGATAAGGGCTAGAAGTAGGGTGGTAGCTATGTGAGTGAAGAAAAGGAAACTTAGATAAGAAATTATGAAGATAGATTCAATAAGATTTGGGAACTGACTGGATATATGGGGTGAGTGAGAGTTAAAGGTTAAGATGATAACAAAATTGAGAACTTAGGTATCTGGAAGGATGGTGGTGCCCTTGACAATAAAAATGAATATTCTTTTGGAAATGTTGAGTTTGAGAATGTCTAATAAGCAGTTGGTGATATGATACTGGAACTCAATAAAGAGACTAGGGCTAAATATAGAGTTCTGGAAGTCATCTACATACATAAATAATAACTGAACCCATGGAAGATGACGAAGCTACCATGTGAGATAATATACAGAGAAAAGATGAGGACTACTGACAGAGCTGTAGGGGACACCTACAGTTAGGTGGCGTGATATGAATGGAAATCCAGCAAGAAAGACTGAGAAAGAATAATCAGATAGGTAGAAGGAAAAGCAAGAAAGAACAACATGACAAAAATCCAGAGAAAAATATGAAAGTTACTTGAATATACAAATTACTTTACTTGGACGTTTTGTAAAGAGTCTGTGCCCATTCCAAAGAAATCAGAGATTTTAATTCTTGTTCAAGAATCAGATACTGGACTCTACTTCCCAGAACAAAATGAGTCGAAATCAGTAGATCACATGATAAAATGTGGCCTAACCATTTGGTAGAGTCCATCTTTCAAAATAACAAAAATGATTTTGCAAATATTGAAAGTTTTTTAGGAATAAGACTGGAATGAGGACTGGAACTGTGATATTATTGGTATAAGGAACTCCTAGATGATGATACTCTCTCTACCAATGTAGGTTGGTACCTTCTCTATACCATACTTTTTTAGCACCAAGGGTATGCCAGTCCCTATCTCTGGGAGTGGCTAAGTATGTGGAATCCTTGCCTCAAGAAGTGAGGAGTGTTCACTGAGCCTGAGTCAGCCTTTGTAGACACATAACTTTTTATGCAATGAGACATGGCAATAAAAGCCCTGGACAAAGAAATAGTAGCAATCAATCAAATTATTTTGTGGATGAGAAGAGAAGAAAGTTGTTTTTCCTTATGCAATTGAATTAGACACTTTGCCTCATGCAGAATGAATGGAAGAATGAGGCTTATTAGTCAATTACTTGTACTTTTTCTTCTGATCATTGCTAGGGAGCATAGTAGCAGAGTGGAAAGAATAGTGCATTTACATTCTTATCCCAAATCTGCTTCTTGCTGCCTCAGTTTCCTCATCTGAAAAATGAGGGGGCTGGACTAGGTGATCTTTAAGGTTCTTTCCACTCCTAATATTTTATGGTCCTCTTGATATCACAAAGTAAATGAAACATTTTTATTCTCTATTTTTTCTGCTCTTTAACTTTGGTATAAAAGATACTGTTCCTTACTTAATAAGTGTCAGATAAACAATTGTTACATGAATGAATTGGTGATGAACCTGTAATTACAGTGCTTTAGGGAAATCCCGGATGAAAAAATTCCCTCTACCAATGCAAGTCAGCATCTTTTCTGCAACTAATAGTATTAGAGAGTTTCCTGGAGCACTAAGATGTTAATTGACTTGCCCAAGGTTACACAGCCAGCCTGCATCAGAGACAGGATTTGAACCTGCACCTCCTGGTTCCAAGTCCAGTTCTCTATCCACCCATGGCTCAGGATAATTAATTAATCAATTAATCAATATTTTTGCTAAACTACTTTTAAAAAATCTTTTCTTTTTCTTTGTTATAAAGGATAGCTTACCAGGGAAGGGAGAGAAAGGGTATGTATTCTGAAATTAAGATGATGTTATATAAAAACAAAAGATATCTAAGTATTTTAAAAATAATTTTAATTGTGTCTAATGGTAGCCATGTCTAGGGTGAGGCGGGAGAGAAAAGGTAAAAAAAGAAATTTACATGATAACTTTATTATATATTTAAAAGATTAGCACGTTGTACATAATAGATTTGCAGCTTCATGTACAATCATCTTTTTATTATACTATGTTATAAAAATGTTTGTTTTATTCCATAAATTAAAAATAAAAATAAACAAAAATTTTAGAAGAATTTTAAAAGAATTAACCAAGTAAAGTTATAGGACCTTATTTAAGCAACTTATTTAGAGCAATCTAAAAGAATTCTGGCCACAAGCAATTGTAGTTTTACTGGTATATATGGCTCAATGTCTGTTTGTATTCTTCCTCAAGACCTTACTTATAAGTGTTCTCCTGGGTGAATGTAAGGCAACAGTAAAACAGTCACTAGGTATGAAAGCAGTTAGAGGATTTAAAATAAAGAGATTTTAAACAGAGAGGATGAAGAGACAGAAGAGAAGGCACCTGTAATTGAAACAACTTATACTGAGCAAGATGGGCCTGTTATCCATTAATTAATCCATCTTTAAAATAACAATTCCCACCAGTAATTTAATAAAAGCAGAATAAAAATTCACATTAGTTCAAGCTGGCAATGTGTGAGTTGTTATGTGAATGTATTCATAATTTTGAATAATGGATAACTAATTGAAAATATTTTGCTCTGAATGCTACAGATTCCCTTTGCAAAAGATTGTGGAAACAAGGAAAAATGCATCTCAGATCTGGCCCTGACTGCAACAACAACAGGAAAAGACTTACTCATTGTTAAGTCCCACAGTGATAAATTCAACGTGAGCCTGACCATCAGGAATAAAAAGGACAGTGCCTACAATACCAGAGCCATTGTCCAGGCCTCTCCAAATGTCATTTTTTCGGGAATTGAGGTAACTGTTTGTTCATTTAAACAGCCCTTACCTAACCCTTACTGAATCCACTATACCAGCCTGGATGTGATTTTGAAAAGAAAAGTGAGTTATCTACCCAATTAACCAATGTTATTGATTAATTTAGAGAGAGTCAGGTAAAAGGGGATGGAGGGAGATTTGATTTCACACGCTGTCATCGATGATACATACCAATTGCACAAGCATGGGATTCACTAATATTTTCAGCACTGTAAGCAAATTTCTAAAATTGCAAAGTACAGAAGCATAGCTGATTTACATAGGTGGAGGGAGCTTCTGCACAGAGAGTTAGTTCTCTATACTGATATAATGTAATATAATAAGAGATATAAAAAAAAAGTGTGATGTGGAGAGAAGACTGGGTTTGGAAATCAAAAAACCTGGGTTCAAATCCCAGTTCTGCCCTTTTCTATTTTTATGTCTTTGGACAAACAAACCACTTAAACTTTGTAGGCCTCAGTTTCCTCACTTCTGAAATTAGAGAAATAGACTAAATGACCTTTCACAATAATTAGTAAAGCATTATTTGCAATGGGCTAAGCTAGAAGCCTTCCAAGTAAGATCAGGCATGAAACAAGGTTGCCCACTGTCACCAATTCAGTATTGTATTGGAAATCTTAGCAATAGCAATGAGAGAAGGAAAAGAAATAGAAGGCTAAGAATAGGGTATGAGGTAATAAAACTATCTCCTTTTGCAGATGGTAGGGTGATATATTTGGAAAATCCCAAAGACTCAACTAAAAAGTTAGTTGAAACAGTTAATCATTTTAACAAAGTAGAAGGATGTAAGGTAAATTCACATGAATCATCAGCATTTCTATATATCACAAACAAAACTCTACAAGAAGATATAGTAAAAGATATCCCATTTAAAATAACTCTAGATATAAAATACCTGGGATTATACCTACCAAAACAAACCCAGGAATATATAAACAAAATTATATAAAATGTTTTATACAAATAAAATCAGATTTAAATGATTAGGAAACTATTCATTGTTCACAAGTTTACCTAACCTAATTTATATATTCAATGCCATCCCAATGAAATTATCAAAATTATTTTATTAAATTAGAAAAAATAATAACAAAATTCATTTGGAAGAACAAAAAGTCAAATATCAAAGGAATTTTTAAAAATGTAAAGAAAGGTTTAGCAGTACCAAATCTTAAACTATATTATAAGGCAGTAATTATCAAATCTCTCTGGTACTAGCTAAGGAATAGAAAGGTAGATGGAACAGAGTAGACATACAATTAAGACCAACAAATAAACATAATAGCCTTTTATTTGACAAATGTAAAGACAAGATTTTGGGATAAAAATTCATTATTTGGTAAAAATGGTTGGGAAAACTGGAAAGCAGTTCAACAGAAACTGGGCATAGACCAATATCTTAAACCATTTAACAAGATAAGATCAAAATAGGTACAGATATGAAGAGAAGATTACAAGAAAATTAGGAGAACATGGAACATATTACTTATCAAACTTATGGATAGTAGACAATTTACAAATAAACAAGAGATAGAAAGCAGTTAGGTGTAAAATGGATAATTTCTATTACATTAAATTACAAAGGTTTTGTACAAATAAAACAAATATACCCAAGATCAGAAGGAAAGCAGAAAATTGGGAAGATTTTTGTAGACAATTTCTCAGGTAAAGGTGTCATATCTCAAATATGTAAGGAACTTTGTTTAAATCTATAAGAATACAAGTTATTCCCTAATTGATAAATGGTCAAATGATATGAACAGGTAGTTTTCCAATTAAAAAATCAAAACAAATTTATAGTCATCTCAAAAAATTCTCCAAATAATTATTGTGTAGAAAAATGCAAATTAAGATAACGTCCTTTTTTTTTTTTGGCTAGACAGTGGGGTTAAATGACTTGCCCAGGGTCACACAACTAGTAAGTGTTATATGTCTAAGGCCAGATTTGAACTCAGGTCCTCCTGAATCTAGGGCCAGTGCTTTGTCTACTGCACCAGCCAAGTTAAGATAACTTTGAGGTATCATTGTATACCTATCAGATTGGCTAAAATCATTGAAAGGGAAAGCAACAAATGTTGGAGGGAATGTGGAAAAATTGGGACAATAATTCATTGTTGGTGGATCTGTGAACTGATCCAACCTTTTTGGAGAACAATCTGGAAATATGACCAAAAAGTTATTAAACTTCCTATATCATTTGACCCAAAAATACCACTACTTGGTCTATTTTTGAAGATAATTTGGGAAAAAGGAAAAAGAACCTATATGTTCTAAAATGCTTATAGCAGCTCTCTTTGTGGTAGCAAAGAACTGAAATTGCAGGGATGCCAATCAATTGGGGGACGTCTGAACAAGATATGGTAATATGATTGTGATGGAATACTACTGTGCAATAAGAAATAATGAGCTCAGTGATCTTAGAAAAACATGGAAAGACTTGCATGAAATAATGAAGAGTGAAAGCAGAACCAATAGAACATCATGTACAGTAACAGCAATATTATTTTAAATATGACTTTGAGTGATTAAGTCATTTTGATTATTATAAATACCCAAATTAACTACAAAAGATATATGAAGATGCTATTTTCATCCAGAGAAAGAACTGATAAGTAGAAGCATGTATAGAATAATTCACACACATGTACATCTATTTGTGTCTAATGGTAGCCATCTCTAGGACAGGAAGGGGGGAAAAAGAAATTTACATGATAATTTTATGTATTTAAAAGAAATAGCAAGTTGTACATAATAGATTTGCAGTTTCATGTACAATCATCTTTTTAATTATTCTATGTTGTGGAAATGCTTGTTTTATTCCATAAATTAAATTTGAAAAAAATAATGAGTAAAGTAGGAAATTGTAAAGGACAATGTCAAGAGGCCAGGGAAAGAGGAGGGAGCTCATTAAAAGATGGCAAAGACCCCAGCTGAGGCTGGGTTGAGGATGTGAAAAGGTTTGGAACATCCATTGTGATTCAATGAGGGCCCAATGAAACTTAGAATACAGCTTTGTAGCTGTAGAAAGCCTCACTTGTAGCAGACCCCACTTGTGCTGCTTTAAAGGGAGGCACACTAGTCATCTCTAACTTCTTCTCTCCCTACGCTTCTCCACAGGAGACTTTTATTCCTGCCCGGAGGGGAAACAGGAAGTTGGGGCCAGAGATCACTCTGTTCTCCTCAGAGAGAGGAAGGGTACTGGGCTAGAATTATGTCTATCTACTCCTTTAAATGTTATTAGTCTAAAGGCTATGATCAGGTTCAATTTAACTTTTGATTGCTGTCATTATTAAGGGGAAAGAGGACCCCAAACTCTATATCCAAAGCTTGACCCTTTCCCAACACATATAAGTTCTACAATGAATAGTGAATTCACGTAATGAATAGCAAAGAAGCTCATTTGTCTAAATCATAGCACAAGAGAAATCTGAGAAGGAATATATAAGAGAATATATACCAGAAATATATACCAGAGTGAAGGAGCTCTCCCATTGAGAGTGAAACAACTCAGCTCAACCAAGAGAAAGAGTTCTAGATCTCATCCAAGGGGAAGTTCCCCAAAATTTCTAGAATAGCAAGGTTAGAATAAGGACATATGGAGACTGCGATCTACTCTCATGCCTTCCCAGATCCTTTTCCTTCAGCAACCTGAAATGGAGTTGGCTTCTTCTATCTTCCTCTTTGAAGCTCTCAAAGTGACTCAAAGCTTGAAGAAGGTCTAAAGAAAACTCAAAGACATCTGAAGAGACTGATGGTCTCTCCCACTCTTGATAACTCTGCCCTGTCTTTCACACGGGGCAGAGCATTCATGTTCACCAACAAGGAGAGCATTCCACACCAATGGACTTTGGGGCAGAGATTATATCTGGGACCCTATGAACATGATTGGGGGACATCCTCCAGTTGTTCAGCAGCATATGAATAGAAACAAAGGAGGTAGATACTAGAAGTAACCCAGAGCTGGCTGGTGATAAGACAAGGAGGCAAGAGATTCCAGTGTGGAGAATAGTGTACGGTTGTCCTGACTCATTAATGGGTCAAGATTTGGAAGGGAGGAGAGCATAACAAGAACAGAAGTAATGACTTGGCAAAATACTAAAGGGTAGAAAAAAATTTTGTAGTAGTGAGGGCAAAGAGTTGTTAAGGAGGCAGAGATGGAGTGATAAGAGATTGTGATCAAAGAAAGGTTTTCAGAGTTCTTGGTTATGCAAGTGGAACACTTGTGGGAGATGACAAGATTAGGGTGTTAGTTAAAGTCCTTACCTATCCTGATGTGTATCTGAGGTGAAAAAGAGTAGTACATCATGAGGCTTAAGTAGATTTAGAAACTGGGAAATTAGAATAACAGAAGAGACATCAGCATCTATATTGAAGTCTCCTAGTATGAAACCAAGAGTTGGGGTAAAGAAAGAGACTGTGTCAGGCACTGAACTTATTGAGAAAGGAGGGAAAATGTCGTGGGGGGTAAATAATAGCCACTAGGATCTAAATTGGGTAATCCAAGCAGAAGCTTCAGGGACGCTCACAGTTAAGGGGATAGATGTGGATAATAATTCTGTGACAGAGACTGAGGAATAGCCATCAGACAGGAAAGGAACTAAAAGAGATCAGAGAAGGGTAATCCCTAACACCCTCAATTCAGCACCCTCTCTTGCACCACCTACTCAATTCAGACAGGACTGAATAAGTCAACCCACAGTTCTTCAAGAGAACTCAACTTTGTCACTCCCTCCTCCCTAATAGGCAGAAGCTTGCTATGGCTGGGACGGCTGTACAATGGTACTCTAACCTGCATCAGAATTTAGCCAGAAAATTGAATGCCAGCAGAAGCTGGAGCAGGAAGCCAATGTATATAGATATTTGGTCCTCCGTTAAGTGTAAAGGAAAGAACCCAGCAACCAGCTGGGGTGAGATCTCTCCCCCAGAAGTCAGTTGAGGCAGAGACTACGGCTGGTGAAACACTGATTGCCCAGTGTGGGAGGAGGCTGAGATAGTGAGCTATAATCTAAGAACAGTGAATCAGAAAGTGAGCAATAGAGAAATATATATTGGGAAATGACTGAAATTACTGAAGATTTAAGGAGGAAAAAATATTAAAGACCTTGAGTCTAAGTAGATAAACCAACAGGGAAGATAATAATAAGAGAAGAAAATTGGCTAAATAAGCCCAAATGTCTATGAATAATTACTTCAAGACAAAGGAAAATAAATCAACAGGAGATGAAGGAGGGGGCCTTGTGTATTCCCAAGAGAGCATGAAAACACAGCAAGATATTTCTGAATGATTTAAAAGAGAAACAAGAATTTTGAACGTGGAATTCGTGACCTGCATAATGGAAATCATTGGCAGAATAGAAAAACTTGAATGTGTGATGGCAAGTCTCCCAAAAGAAACAAAAGAGAGAATAATCGATTAGGAATGCAAATACATAGAAATAAATGATGATCTGGAAGAAGAGAAGCAAAAAGTTAAGATAAAGGATGGTCTTCATGCAAGCAAAATATAGACAAAGAGACAATTTAAGGATTATGGATCTCCCAGAACACAAGCCAAAAGAAACTCAAACACCGTAATGGGAGAAGTAATACAAGAAAAGTAGCCAGAATTTTCAAACACAGAAAACAAAGTACCAATCAAAAGAATACATGGAACACCTCCAGAAAAAGCAAAAACAAACATAACAAAAGAAAACACTGCTGCAAATTCCAAGACAAAAAGTGGTTACATTTAATAATTCCAATGACAAGCAACAAATGCCTGAAGTGACCAAGAGATAGACTTTCAAATATAAAGGAAAAGAAATTCTAATAACATAAACTATTCTGCACCCACCAGAAACCACAGGAGAGGATGGAATATGTTCTTAAGAGCAAATGAGATCAAGATGCAACACAAATTGGTATACCCTGCAAATCTGAGCCAAAACACTAATGAAAAAAGATGAACATTCAACAAAAGAGAGAGATTCAAAGCATTTCCTGGAAGAAAACCTGACCTAAACAAATTATTTGTTTTTCAAACACCTCAGAAAACAGAAATACAAAAAAATAAGTAAATACAGCACCCAAGGACAACAAAAACAAAGTAACAATAGAGAGACTAGTAAGAGGTTTCTTTCTAAATGTACACAAAGAAAAGAAATTGAAGTGTTGGTGGAGAAACAGGCCTGAAACATCACGGACTAAACCTTACAACCCATCTTCAGGTGAATAATTCAGTGTTTTTATGGGATTAAATTATGAAATGGAAGGACACATAAAAGAGTGGAGGTAAGAAAAATATAGAGGGGAAAGTGTGATATACCCTAATGAAGTCAAAGTTTAACAATGAAGGGAAAATAACTCCTATCGTCTCATTAAAAAAAATTTATAGGAGAATGGGTAGGAAGGCAAAGGGAAGAATTGAAATGGGAGTAATAAAAGGGGAAATCTTGTTTCCAGGGGTGTCATTAATCAATGTTCCCCGAGGGGAATAGAGATATTTCCTAAAGGGATAAAGGGATCTTACAACAGCTACATTCATCCTATCCTAATGTAAAAAAAAAGTACCTTAATAAAAACTTATTTTTACAAAAGAAATCTATTGTCTGTTTTCATCAGCTAATTCAAATTTTCAGTGACATTTTTCTCAAGTTACTATAGAATAGAACAGTGGTAGGACCAAGACAGCTTGGGGAAAAAAATGTTACTGGTTATTATTTATTTTGGATTCAGTTAAGAATCTGAATTACAAATAGTTATCAAAGTATACTGAGGAGTAAAAAAAATCACTGGCTTTCTCATTTCAAGGGATAAGATGAATACATACATATATATATACATGTATATATATAACAAATGTGTATGATACATATATTTTTATTCTGATTTTCTTTGGAAATTGAAACATTTGTAAAATCATTCTTTATGTTTTCCTTTAATATATTCTTGATTGAGGCAAAAGTATGAACTTAGTTAAAGCCTTAGTTTGTTATTGTTGTTTTAAGTTAAAACAGTAGGCAGGAGAGAGAGAGAGAGAGAGAGAGAGAGAGAGAGAGAGAGAGAGAGAGAGAGAGAGAGAGAGAGAGATTTTGTTTTATCCCCCATATAGCCCTTTACAAAGAACCTGATTTTTGTTTGTTATGAGATAACATTGACCCAAGAGGTATCTGTGACCTTACCAAACAAGGGCAATGATTGAGTCTGAGAATGGCTATCAGTCACCTGACTTATTTTTTTGTAACATGTGCTTTCTTTCTAGGGTATTCAAAAAGACAGCTGTGAATCCAATCAGAATATCACATGTAAAGTTGGCTATCCTTTCCTAAAAAGAGGAGAAGAGGTGAGCAGATTATGGAAGCTTCATCTAACAATCTGTATGTGAAAGTTGGTATGTTCCATGTCATTTGTATGATTGTGCCTGAAAATCCAAATGTAATGGTAGGAGGAAAGAAAAAGAATTCGCAGGCAGGTTTGCTTGTTTGAAACCCTAAATATTTTATCTCAAAAATTAGTCACTAAGACCCAAAAGCAGGTTCTCTCAAATGAGCCTTCAGCTGAAGATTAATACTGTATAAAGTTATCAGAATTAAATGGGATGCCATTGGCAAGCATTAGCTATAAAAAAGAGCCTCAGATGAAGCCCATTGGCCTAGACTGTGGAAAGAAACAAATGGGTTTGCCTGGAACTTTGGCTCTAGAGATAAACTCAAGATCCAGATGGACTGGAGGTGGTCTTTTTTCTGTTTCTGGAGATAATTCACATTAAAAAAAAAAGGGGGAATATGCCTTTTACATAAAAGAAAATTGTTTGGTCTTTCCAACATAATCAGTAGAGTTTATTTGTGAAAAATAAAATGTAAATAGAATCACAAATATCTTTTTTTTTCATTTTTTCATGTGTGTTTTTGTTCAAACTTGCATTTGACTCTAAAATATTTGGTCAAGTCATCTACTGACTACAGAGTTAAAGAGGCAAATGTTTAACTAATCAAAATGCCATCTGTGATTAATAAAAAATGTTACTTCACTTGAACTGAAAAAAAAATGTGGGGATGGGGGGAGGATATTACCCTATAGGTTCCATTCCATGTCTTCTTTCCCTATACATTACTTTTTTTAGAACAAAACAAAACAATGTCAAAACAGATTGCTGTCAAGGAACATTCAATCTAAACAAACAATAGACTAATGGCCTGATAGACAAATGGCCAAAGAAAAGAACTGTGGAATAGGAAAAGCCACAAAGCTTTGGTGAAGGCTTTCAGTTAACTGATTAATATTGCAAGTAAGAACTCACCCTGAGGCCTTTTCCAAGATTACATGTGGCATAGTGAAAAGGGAGTAATCAGACTGACAAAAATGTCCCTCTTAGCCATCCCAAAAAATTACAAAAAGACTAGTCCGTCATATTCATTATCTTATACTTTTTAGTTTATGTATACATATATACATGATATTTCATTTTAATTTCACCCCATTCACTATACCTCATATGATGTTGGGAAGAAATGTCAAAAGGGTGTCAGTATCTATTATATGCTTACACCTAAAAGTATCATGGTGCTTTTACTTTTGATCTATACAATAACTATTTTTAAACATAGGGGTTTTATGGTATGAAATAATAATTCTTAAACTTCCCCTCATTTTTCAGTTTGAGTAGAAAATTTGTGCAAAGTGAACATTGTTGCCAAAAGTCAACTTTTTGTTATTCACGTGTTTAAACTAAAAATATCTTTTTATTGCACAGATATCTTTCAAAATATTATTTCAGTTCAATACATCCTATCTTATGGAAACTGTGGCCATTCACATAAGTGTAACAAGGTTAGTTTATTCTTTTTCCACATTAATACTTGGGTACAGGGAAATAATTTAGGTTTTTGTCCATACTTGAGATTTCACTAGTGTAGGGAAATCCCTTCAACCAACGCACGTGAGATATTTTTACAACTTACAGTCCTAAATTGTTGAACGAGGCAATTAAAATTGAAGTGACTTGTCCAGGGTGACAAAGCTAGTGTGTCAAAGACAGGACTTGAACCCTAGTTTTTTTTAATACTGGAGCTGACTCTTTATCTACTATACTAAATGATCTCTAAAAACCTTTTGTTTTAGAAAACCACGTCATTCCTTAAAATTCCTTATTATCTGTATAGTATCAGCACAAGTGTAAAGCACTGAACCCCATTGTTTTCTTAGAAGTGGAGTGGCAAAGGATGGTATATTTGAAATGATTGTTTAGTCATTTTTCAGTCGTGTCTGACACTTCATGATGCTATTTCGGGTTTTCTTGGCAAAGATACTGGAATGGTTTGCCATTTCCTTCTCCTGCTCATTTTATAGATGAGGAAACTGAGGCAGAAAGGGTTAAGTGATTTGCCCTGGGTCACACAACTAGTAAGGGCCTGAGGCCAGATTTGAACTCAGAAAGTTGAGTCTTCTGGACTCCAGACCCAGCATTCTATCCACTGCACCACCTACCTGCTTGAAATGATATATATGAATAGACTAAAGTAGTGATGAGGAGAAATGAGGAAAGAGAGGAGGGAAGAGGAGGGCAGAGGAGGAGAATTAAAACACCTTATCTGTATACGATCTAGTAACAAAACTCACTATAAAAGTACAACTAGCAAAATAACAAGATTTAAGGGTAAGCTATGCTCAGTTCACCAGAATTAGGGAGGCAAAGAAGAAGAGGAAGTAAAGAAGGGATAAATTTACCTGGTCCCAGTGTGGGAGTGAATTCTGTACAAGCAGGGCATTCCTTGAGTCTGTCAGAGAGCCAGACAAGTCTACATCTGCTCCTGATTACATTCTATTCAGAGTAGCCACACCCTTCCCTTGCAATTAGCTGGCTTCTGGTCCTGGCATGCTCATGCATACTCCTGGGCGCCTTTCATCTACATGGGATTCAAAAATTCTCAGAGAATTTGCCCTACCCGCCTCCCGCCTCCTTATGATATTTCAGTCCCTCTTATAAGCTAATTAAAAAAAAACCCTCTAAACTTTGAGTTTACACCCTTGCTGATAAGGGGCTATATACAGCCATCTCAGCAACTTCTATCATACCAAATTTCCCTTAAGTCCCTTAAAAATTCCAAAATTTGTCACTTTATTTCAAGATGGTAGACTAAATCACAACTTCAATTGCTGGTATTTCTGATACTCTTTAACAGTAATTTTCATCAAAATCAGTCAACTCCTTTGACCATTATGGAAAAAAGAAAAATTTTAAATGGACTGCTCCACCATGACCCCCCAGTCTGCCCCACATACAAGCATTTATCACCCAAGCCATACTGATGCCTCCTTATGCCTTCCCTGTGTTCCTACCCTAACAACTCAATTCTTCCTGGCTCCGCATCCATCAAGTAATCAACCAACTGATGGATATTTATCAAGTGCATAGTCCGTACAAAACACCGTCTGGGTTACTGAGGGTGGTACAACATACTAACTATAAGGTGTTAACTCCCTGCTTTCAAGAGGCTTAGATTTTAGATGGGGATAAGACATGTTGTATGAGAAGAAAACTTCACTGAAGAGTAAAGTGAACTTAGTGGTGCATTCATAGGAGGTAACTAAGGTGTGGTTGAAGGAGGGTTGTACTAGGCATCAAGATACCAGGGGACAAGTCCAAGGCTCACCATTAATTTGCTGAGTAACCTCAGGAAAATGGCCTATGCTTTGTATTAGTCCAAATAAATGCGCCTCCCAGAATCCTTATCTCCCTTCAAGATTCTGTTCAAACACCACCTCATACATGAGGCCTTCTTGAGTTTCCAGTTATTAGTGATTCCCCTCCATTCAGATCCCTAGAGGTAGCTTGGTGACACAATGGATGGAGTGCTGGTCCTCCAATCAGGAAAATCTAAGTTCAAATCTGACTTTAGACACTTACTAGTTATATGACCCTAAGCATGTCATTTAACACATATTTGCCTCAGTTTTCTCAACTGTAAAGTTGGGTTAATAATAGCATCTACTTCCCAGGGATATTGAAAAGATCAAATGAAATAATCATTGCAAAGTACATAGTAAGCACTATATAGATGTTAGCTATATTATATATTTATCTGTGCATTTGTTTCTTCCTTCAGGGGGAGATAAGCCCCTTCAGGGCAGATACAATTTTTATTTTTGTCTTTTTATCCGCTGTGCCTAATATATTGTCTGGCCAGAGTGGGAGCTTAGTAAATACTTCTTAATTGGTGAATCAAAATATTATCCACATTTTCCTCAAAAATATAGCTTGTTCAAAATTTTAATTTGGCTTAAAATCACATTCTTAGTAAGAAAAAAACAAGTAATGAAGACAAAGAGAACAATGATAATAAAAATGAATAAAACAATTTTACTTGAATTGAAAGAAATGTAAAAAGAATTTCATTGTAAATAGATTTTATATAGCAAGTTTATCCAATTATTTTTCAATGAATACCTTTATAGGGATGAGGACATGACCTGGGATTTCATTGGTAATGGAAACTCCTGGGAGAGGATTCTCCCTCAATCAATGCAGGTTTTTACCATGTGTCACTTCATCTTAGAGGCAGGGACATACTCAGGATCATACATTCAGTATGTGCATCAGAAATGGGACTTGAATCCAAATCTTTATGACTTCACATCTAACTCATGATATGTGTGTATATGTGTGTATATTGTATATACATATACATACACATACATATATACACACACGTATATGTACATGTATGTATACATATACACACATACATTTGAGGACTATTACTTATACTGAAGAGCAGTCTATAGTTGGTATATATGATAAAATGAGAAAATTGCACTATAGAACCTCTCAGCTCCCTTCCAGTTCTTACATTCTTTAACTTTAGTCTATCCAAGGAATTGACATAGATGTGGTTTGAAATGACTCTTAAAAGATGGGTGGGATTTGGATAAATAGAGAAGAAAGAAGAGAGCATTTCTGCAAAAGACATGGCAAATAGCCTCCTTAAACAGAATAAAAAGTTCATCTAGAAAAGCAGTATGGTGTAATGCCAGAAACATAAGCTGGGTCAGATATTAAATACCAGGATAAGAAAGTTAGACTCTATCCTCATTCATTATTAGATACTCTTATCACATACTCAACCTTCTCTTCTACTTGTCCTTCTCTCCTCATTTTATCAACATTACTAAGTGAAAGGAGGGATGAGAGTTCATGTCTATTTATTTAGCTTTCTTTTCTATAAGAGTGATTAGAATTTGAGTCACAGTAAGTGTGTTCTGTGGTCTTGACCTAGTTTTTCTTTAATAAAAAAAAATAGTATGTGTCAGGTATAAATGATGTCACACTTTTTGCCTTCTCAAGAGAATTTGGAACTCCAAAAAATTTTTAATGAATACTAAAAATAAATAAATAATAAAATTGGATAAATTAATTTTTTAAAAAACTAAATAAGTTATGTGGCAGGGAGAGAAGCAGGGGGAGGACTATAAGGGGTCAGACCTCTTGAGGATAGGCCTTGCTAAATAAATAGAACCGTAGGGCTAGAATGAAATAGTTTGCAGAAAAGAGTATAATGTCAGTCCATGCCAGAGCTGTTCAATAAAACTACAGGAAACATAGAGTTTTATTGTTCTAGCCCATGAAGGAAAGAGCTACATGCTACTGATAGCAGTCTCTATTTTTCAGTCTAGCATTCTCAAAAGTGTGTTTTTGTTTTTAGAAATTTTGGATTCTTTCTCCAATGTGTAACAATATCTCTAAATGGCTAATTGCAAGAGAAGCGCTGTTCTAAAAAAATCCAAACAAAATAAACTCAGATGCCAATAGAGATACTATCCAGGATATCTTAGTACTACCTAACATGAATATGTTGTTCATTTCCTAGTGATAGTGAAGAACCTCTGGAGACCCTTTCTGATAATGAAATGGGTATTTCTATTCCAGTAAAATATGAAGCTGGACTCCAGTTTTCCAGGTAGATAAACATCTACTTTTTACTGTTTTATAAGGGGAAATATTTTTAAATCTAGAAAATAGTAATGAGTACATTTTATAGGTTTACAAAGTACATCACCTACAGCACCCCCAATGAGATATGTAGGACAATTACTTTCTCCATTTTACAAATGAGGAAATTGAGGCTTAGAGATGGTGATGTGCTGGTACTATAACTCATGAGTCATAGTCCTTATTCTGTGCGCTTCAGTGCTGACCATGCTGTCATTATGGACAAAATAAAAATATGAAATCAGTTTTCATTGAAAACTATTATTTGGTGATGAGCAGGATGGTCGCAGAAGAAACATGGAAAGACTTACATGAAGTGATGAAAAGTGAAATGAGCAGAATGAGAACATTGTACATAGTAACAGCAATATTGTATAATGATCTACTATGAATAACTTAGCTGTTCTCAGCAATACAATGATCCAAGACAATTCTGTTGGACTTTTGATGAAAGGTGTTGTCCATCTCCAGAGAAAGAACTGATAGAGCCTGAATGCAAATCAAAGATACTTTTTCTTTATTTTCTTTTGTTTTCTTGGGGCATTTTTGTCTGTTTTCTTTCACAGAATGACTTACATGGAAATGTGTTTTGCATGACTACACATGTATAACCTATGTCAAATTGCTTGCCTTCTCAGTGGAGGTGGGAAGAGGAAGGAAAGAGAGAATTTGGAACTCAAAATTTGAAAAATAAATGTTAAAATTGGTTTTTTACATTTAATTGGGAAAAATAGAATGTTAAGATTTTAAAAAAAGAAAAACTATAATTTTGGTTCTCATTATTTTTCTTTCAATTATTTTAAAACTATCTTTCTATTCTAGACTTTAATTTCTATTTATCCTTTCAAATATAACTTTTTAACAAAACTCCCTAAGCAAAAGAGAGTGCTAGAATCTTGCTAAGAATAAATATCAAGAACAGGAAAATTTTAATAATCAATGTCAAGCACAATTAGGAAGTCATAAAAGGAAAAGAAGTCAGAATTGTAAGATTATCTTTGTTCATGTTTTCTTTCTCCTTTTTGTAAATTCTTTTTCCATTCTGTTGCATCTACTTTTCCTAATACTTTGCTTTCTCCAAGAATTCCTTTCATTCCCTTTATTGAAAGACAAATTCCAGTAAAGCATTTTCAAAAGGTTTCTTTTATTCATCTTTCCTTGACTTTCTTCTGGAATTCTGTTTAAGAAAACTATCAAAATTCAGTTGACACCACCAATGAGTGGATAAGTTGAATAGTAAAGTTACAATTATGAGCTTAGAGTTTTAAATTTTAAGAAAAGGTGCAAATTTTAAGAAATTCTTATTACAGGAAAATACTGCCTTTTTGTGAATGTTAATTCATTGGCCACAAATGAAACTACAGAATCCATATAAGTTTTTTTTATTATTGTATGTCACTATGCCATGATTTTTTAAAATTATGTTTGTTAAAATACAGAGATGCCAAATATGTGTCAACACTAATTGAATTGTATGCTCTAGCTCTTCTCAATTTCCTCAAGCCCTGATTATGTTGCAATATAAGGACTTAGGCTTTCTGACTCTAAGTAGGAGTAGAAGAATTCACCCTAGTCTATATGCATGCACATTTTTTGGAATTACAAGGCTTAGAGTAGAAAGAAAAGAATCAAACTGAATAAAAACAAAACATTTTTTCTTTTTTTTTTTCCTTTTTATCAATACCTTTTAAGCTCCGCAAGTGAATATCACATTTCAATTTCGGCCAACGATACAGTTCCTGACGTTATTAATTCTACCAGTGACATTGGAAATGAAATCAACGTTTTCTACTTGGTGAGAAATGCTACTAAAATTGTATCTTAAAGGACTTAGTTGTAAGCTTTTAAGTTAAGTTGTGTGTCATAACTTCTATAGAAATTGTTTGTCCTGACACATTAATCTTGCTGCTCCAGTTCCTTAGAGCCAGACTATCTTTTCAAAAATTCCACTGCTCATTTTTTTTAATCACTGATGTTGTTTACATTTTGAGTAAATGACAGTGTCAGGGAGCCATCTTTATTCTCCCTGATTTATATCTTGCCACTGGACCAGATGGCTCTGGAGGGGAAAGTGAGGCTGGTGACCTTACACAGTCCTCCCTCACTTAAATCCAATTCATTTGCAAGTCATGGCCTCACTTTCTGATGCCGTGGTCCTCTTCAAGAACAAAGGACAAACAACAGGAACAATGACAAAGGACAGGGTCATAAAAATCTCTGACATCCTACAGTAGAGAGATAATGAATGCAAGGAATTCTTTCTAAAAGCAAACCAAGAGGCTATTCCACATTTTGTTGGGCTTTACAACAATTATTTACTCATTATGCCTAAAATCATGGTCATATATTGGGAATATTTAAGGTGAGAATTCCAAAACAATCTTGGCATTATTTCTTTCTCTATTAGCAAAAGCTAAAATATATTTCTATTTATATGCAGAAGTATATTTAATAAGAAACTGTACCATTGTCTCCTTTGCTAACATTCTTAAACTAGTGCCTCATCATGGTTTAGAGCTGATCCATTGATTTTTTAAAGTCTGGTAGGTTTAGTCAAGCAGGAAAGGATTCAAATACGGGTCAAACAGTCACCTGTATGTGTTTTTGTCCCAGGAGTGGCCTAGGCTGTTTCACAGAGGTTCAGCTGCAGAAACAGCCACCAGGGAATTTCGTTTTCAGCCACAGTCCCTTAGAAGGACATCCAGGAAGGTGTAGAAGTGTTCCTATCTGAAATAAAAGAAGGAATCCCCTCATCTATGGAATCAGAGTTCATATTGACATATATATCATTGAATAACAATATTACTCATGTTAGATCCTGGGTTGTTTTCCACTGTGTTTTTTTTCCTTGTTATGACCTTTATATATATATTTTTTACTGAGGTAGTGAACCCTCATAGAGTTGAGCTAGTCTCTTATTCTGTACAATTTCCAGTGCAGTACACAGCCCCATTTGAAGCAAAAGTGATTCAGTTTAAATAAAAATCATTAAAATGCATTATAACAGGACAGTAATGCAATATAATGGTGGATAGGGGTAACTTGCTTTGTCAAATTTCTTTTTCTTCCTCAGAAACTGAACAAAAAAAAGGAAATTCTCGTATAGTGAAAAAATGGCACCCTCTAGATCTGTAGCATAAATGTTTGTTGTTGTTGTTATTGTTGCACTGTGTGAACCACATAATTCTATTCCCATTGGAAATCTGATGAATCTTTATGACTGCAAGTAAAATAAGCTCTCTAAATAAAACACAGAAAATTCACCTGTCACCTATCATGTCAGGATAAAGGTGGTGACTGACTTCAAAGAATGAATTAACTTCGATATGAAAGATTCAAATGGAAAATGCAGTGTTTTCACTTCCATGCCATGGGACTCTGGAATGGCTATGGAATTCAGTGTTGTTAGGTTGCCCTGTCTCCATTCCCCGTTCCTAAACAAAATACCAGACTCAAAGAAAGTGAGGGAATATGAATATCCAAAGAAATTTTGTCAAGGTATTCAGATATTTTGTTTCTTCCACCCATCAATCAAGGGTCAGAGTACCCCAAAGGTAAGAAGCAAGAAACAAAATCAGAAGTCCCAGAAACACGCTGGCAGGTGGTTGTAGGCTTTTAGAACTAGAAGCCCCAACCTAATCTGAAGCCACCTGATGTTAGCTCCAGATGTGCTGAGAAGTCCTTCTAGAAGGCCTAGCTAGGTAGAACCATCTCAGAGCATCCAAGTGGAGATAGCCCAGATCTCTTGGTGTTCTCTCAAGTGTATCAGAATTACAAAGGAAGATACCTCACCTAAAATTCAAATAACCTCAAAGAAATCCATAGAATTCCTAGAAATGGACCTTAGGTCTGGAGAGAATACCTAAAGTGATAAAGTAAAGGTAAGTGAAGCGGGACTTTGGTTTCTCACTAAATAATTTTACTTTATATTGGCCACTTCTGAGTAGATAGATATCCTTAGTTAAATGAATTCTTTCTTCCTTTCCTCTTATTATTCATCCTTTCATGCCAGCCAAACTTCGTAGTAGATGAGACTAGACTGCCTCAGTTAGTATTGTCCTTAGTTAAGACTATAGCCCCTTTAGAGTCTAAGATTCCACTGGAGAGATATCTACCTGCTTCTAATTTTCTGGAAGGGAAAATTTTCCTGGCTGTGAAAATTAAGAGGTGGTAATCAGAACAAGAACATAAAAGTAGGTAAGGACAGCCAAAATTAGAAATAACAAACATGAATTAAGCACTATTTACTTAATCAGGCTTTTCTTTTATTCTGTACAGATACGAAAAAGTGGACATATCCCCATGCCAGAGCTTAAGCTGAAAATTTCATTCCCCAACTTAACATCAGATGAATATCCTGTACTCTACCTCATTGGATGGTCATCTTCTGATGTAAGTCATGTTCCTTCACCATCTTTCCCTTACTTTAAGACTATTATTAAGTTTGCATGAATTGTTAAACTCTATAGATGTATTGGTTGATTTTGCTGAACTTTTTTGTTTTTGTTACAAGGGATGGCTTGATGGGTTGGGAAAGGAGAAAGATATTTTCAGAAAGGATGATGATTTAAATAAGCAAAAGAGATCCATAGTGGTTATTTATCCATTTATGTATTGATTTTGGAGGCAGTTCCGGTTAAATGAGTTGCCCAGGGTTACACAGCTAGTAAGTATCTGCAGTCAAATTTGAACTCAGGTCCTCTTGCCTGTAGGGCTGGTGCTCTATTCACTACCTGCCCCAGAGATCCATAATATTTTTTAATAAAATCTATTACTACCGGTTGGTTTTATTTTCTATCATGTGAGACAGTTGGTGCAGAAACAAACTAAATGCCCTTCACTTTTCCTGCCAAATGCTTTGCCAAAGCAATAATGGCAAAGCAAATAATAGAAATATAGGACAGCTAGATGGCACAGTGGATAGAGTGCTGAGCTTGCCACCAGGAAGACCTATCTCCATGAGTTCAAACCCAGCCTCAGATACTTACTTATGTGAATCTAGGCAAGTCATTTACCCCCTCTTTGCCTCAGTTTCCTCATTGATAAAATGAGCTGAAGAAGGAAATAGCAAACTACTCCAGTATCTTTTCCAAGAAAGCCCCAAAATGGGGTCAACAAATAGTTAGACATGACTGAAATGACTCAACCCGAAACAAAAGAAGTCCCCCAATTAAAAAAAATAAACTGTTTTTTAGTTTAGTAGACTTAAATCAAGTAAAACAAATAATAATTTACTACTATGCATACCACGCTGATTGTCATTTAGCTAGGTTTCATCCATTAAGGTCCTACGCTAATGGCTGCTCCTGTTTTGGAGTTGACCTTGGATTCTCAAAGGCAATTCCAGGAGTATGCAAGCTGTGACAAGTTATACTAAGCTAGATGGGCTTTAGGATTGGTCTGAGAGGTAGTTTGTATGTCTCACTTTCCAGGATCCATGTAGCAACATCTGGGGAGGATCATCACCAATTAATTATAGGGTGATGATTTATTTTTGGCCACAGAACTTCTCAAAGGACATTTGGCTGAGTATAGAGGAGTTACAGTTTATGTCAATGAAGGGAGTAAACCCCACTGATATCATCACAGGTTACTAAAGTTCTAAACTAAATAAGTGAATAGGTTTGCAGTTATAAGGCAAGTCTTAGGTGTTTTCTCCTGGAAACTTGAGGTAACCATTGTGTAGGCCCCCTAGTGAAGTGATCCTTAACTAATGTCATAGGCAACTCAAAAAGTGGGTATATAAAATATACTCTTCACTTTTGCATTTTATTTTAGAAAACAATAGAATTATTAAAACAGACCCTAAGCAGCCATGATAATTAATGTATTGATTTTTCTCTTATTTCTATAAAAAAAATGGCATGCAGGTTAGAGCAAAGCTTGAAACAAAACTAGTATCCAGACATACTCATTGCTAGCTCTTTTGCAGATCTTTAAAGTTTGCAAAGAACTTTTACAAATATCTCATCCTTACAACCACTTTATGAGATAGGTGCTATTATTATTTCCATTTTTCACATGAGGAAACTGAGGCACAGAGAGATTAAATAAACTGACCAGAATCACACAGCTAGTAAGTATCTGAGCCTGGATATCTCAGGTCTTTCTGACTCCAAGTCTAGTCAGTTTGACCACCTAGTGGCTCCATGAATATTGTAACCTAAACAACTGGGGCAGCTATGTGATGCAGTGATAGAGCGCTGGGCCTGGAGTCTTCCTTACTCATCTTTCTGAGTTCAAATCTGGCTTCAGACACTTATTAGTTATGTGACCCTGGGCAAGTCACTTAACCCTGTCTGCCTCAGTTTCCTTATCCATAAAATGAGCTGGAGAAGGAAATGTAAACCACTTCAATATCTTTGCCAAGAAAACCCAAAATAGAGTTACAGAAAGTTGGATGTGACAGAACAATAACAACAAACCATTATCAAATAATGCTGACTAAACTTTGACTTAATGTTACCCAATTTTTGTCCAAGGGTTTGTTTGTTTTTTCACAGTTCCTGACCCAATGATGTCTGTTTCACTCTAATCTCACTTATCACTCCCCCAAGCAAAAGCTTGTTCTGAGTCCTTGAACCCTAAATTGTATCTGTCCTGTGGATTGACAAAAAGGTCTCCCAGATGGAGGGACATGGTATATCCATAGTGTCTCTCACTCCGTTTAAGACCCTTCATGAAGAAATTTAATATGTTTGTATCCTAACTTTTATTTATTTAGCCTTTTGCAATCTGGTCCATTTCCAAAGACATCTTGAAGGAGTGGAACTCTTTTCCTCTTTACTCTTGCCTCTTTTTAAAAATCCTATGTTTTTAAAAATTATTTTATTTTCAATTCATGGAACAAAACAAGCACTTCCGTAACACCATACAGTAAAAAAAAAAAATTGCACATGAAACTGCAAATCTACCATGTGCAACTTGCTATTCTCTTCAAATAGAAAACAAAATTATCATGTAAATTTCTTTTTTCCCTCTTTTTCCCCCTTCCCTCTCCCCCTTTTCCCTTGCCCTAGAGATGGCTCCTATTAGACACAAATAAGTATATATGTAGACTTGTTCTGTACATACTTCTATTTATCAGTTCTTTCTCTGGATACAGATAGCATCTTTCTTCATATGTCCTTTATTTTTAATTTAGGTATTTGTAGTAGTCAAAATGACTTAGTTGCACAAAGTCATTCTTAAAACAATATTGCTGTTACCGTATACAATGTTCTCTTGGTTCTGCTCACTTTACTTTTCATCATTTCATGCATGTCCTGTATCTTTCTAAGATCACTGAGATCATCATTTCTTTTTTTTTTCATCCGAAGACAAGTTTTATTAGAACATCCATCGCATTGGGCATACTCTTAAGGGATCTGAACGTTACTGAGCTATTGACTAGATTATAAGAATCTGAACCTAGAGATCATCATTTCTTATAGCATAATAGTGTTCTACCACAACCATACATCCAACTTTTTAAGCCATTTCCCAGTAGATGGGGATCCCTACAATTTTCAGTTCTGTGCCACCACAAAGAGAGCTGCTATAAACATCCCACTCACATTCAAATTTATGGAGAGGTGAAGGACAGGACCCCAATGTCTGATAAAGCAACATTTTTGTCTCATAACAGAATGTAAACTGCAGACCAACTAGCCTTCAAGATCCTTTCAACATCAACTTTGGAAAGAAAATGGTACCAAAATCTGGAGAACTCAAGCGAGGCACCATTTTGGTAAATTTTGACAACTAAAAGACAAGTGCATAATGATCATTAATTCATATTTCATAATTTCTGTTCAGTCCTGCCAACTTCCCTATCCCAAGTGAATAATTCAATATCAAACTAAAGTGAACTGTTTTTGTCCAGTATCTGACTTAAAGTAGCAGTGATTTCTAATCAGTTTTCTTCCACTGTCAAACAGAACTGCAATACCTGCAAATCTGCAACCATTATTTGTAATCTGATCCCTTCTGATGTAAGTCAAGTAAATGTAACATTCCTCTTGTGGAAGTCAACATTCATAAAAGTAAGTGACCTTCATGACTTAGAGAGTTAATGATGCAAATTAAATCAACAAATGCATAGTGATGGTAATAATAATAATCACTTACATTCATATAGTGTTTTACAGTTTGCAAAGATTCTATTACCTCCTTTGCTTATTGACTTCACAGTGCTAGGAATTGTGGGGGATATTGAAAATCCCTAATAGTTTTTTTATTTTAATTTATGAAATAAAATAAGCATTTCCATAACACAGAATAATAAAAAGATTGCACAGAAAACTGTAAATCTATTATGTACAATTTGCTATTCCTTTTAAATATATAAGAAATTCACCATTTAAATCTATTTTTCTTTCTTCTCTCCTTCCCTTTGCCCTAGAGATGGCTACCATCAGACACAAATATGTGGATAGATAGATAGATGTAAAATCAGTCTATAGTATCTATACATACTTCTGTTTATCAATTCTTTCTCTGGATACAGATAGCATCTTCCTTCACATGTCCTTTGTAGTTTGAATATTTTAATGCTCAAAATGACTTAATTGCTCAAAGTAGTTTTTATGGAAACATTGAAAAAAACACTAAGAAGACTCAGGCTCTATTGCCAGCTCTACTGCTAAATGGTTGGTGACTTTCAGCAATCCCCTCTGAGATTCAGTTTCCTCATCTGTAAAAGAGGGAAAATAAGGGGTAGATGTCTGGCCTCCAGACAAACTTATATTCAAATCCCACCTCTGAGAGATTCTAGCTGGGCAAGGCACTTAATTTCTCAGTTCCTCAGATGACTTATTAAAACTACAAATTGAAAAATAGTTATGAGTTGGTAGAGAGTTTCCTTCCAAGGAGATGCTGGATCTATGAAATCACAGGTACACTGCCTCCCACTTGACATTGTCTGAAGGGAAATGCTTTGTAAACCAGAAAGAGATACATAAATGGGGGTTATCATTAAAAGCTATCAGATTTCTCTGTTAGAATCAGATACTACAATAGCTGGAAGGTGTTTCAGAGATCATTTACTCCAACCCTCACATTTTATTTTTTAAAATTTTCTTCCAATGAACTTAGTCATCTAGAAACACAAACATTTGAATATATGGAAAAGAATAAAAAGAGGGTTATATATGAAACTGTGAACTCATGCTATCGATAATTTTAAGTGTATATTAAATTTAATAAGCTAGTTAACTACTTTTTTACTCATTTATATCCCCTTCTGAATTTCTTTTTTTCTCCTGTGTATTTGATAATGTTTTATTGATGCCTTTTGTTTCTTTAAAAAAAAATTTGCATCTCTTTTATTACCCACAACTTTCATTTTTCCAGAGGTAACACAGTGACCACCCAAGGTTACATAGTGATAACAGGTTTCTTTTTTTCTGTCTTTGAAAATAACAATCCATTCTAGTTCAATAATATCACAAGATTTAAAAACCTGTATCAAAGATAAACAAGTGATACATGGTGGAACTCCTATCTGATACTCTCATCAGTGGATCTCTGCTAAAATCCACTCCACCAGGCATGGAGACAATCCTGGGGTTTTTAAGGTTATTCTAGTAATTTCTATGCTTTTGCAATTTCTTCCAAGCTTGAAAATATTCCAGGACAAGTCTGTGTGTCTGTCATTCAAGAACCAGTCTAGCTAAGTTCAGAAAAGAGCATCAGTAATAGAATTTGGCCACTACCCGATAATTTCCCTCAGTATAGAAACTCACAAAGGCCATATACTAAGGTCAATAGAGCTTGCCATCTGCATCAGTGGAAGGACCATACAGAGAGGTGAAACTACAGATCCTTGAAGTATTGAAATTGTTGATAATATTATTAAGACTAATACTTGGGGCAACTAGGTGGCACAGTAGATAGAGCATCACCCCTGGAGTCAGGAGGACCTGAGTTCAAATCTGGCCTCACATACTTGATATTTACTAGCTGTGTGACCCTGGGCAAGTTGCTTAACCCCTATTGCCTTGGAGGGAAAAAGACTAATACCCATGGTAGTGATACACTGTGAAATATCAGATTCTCAATGTCTATTTTCGTGGATGTAATTTGACTCCTGCTACAGCCAAATACGTATGATAACAAGTTCCACTATCAATCAATCAATAAGCATTTATTAAGCATCTATTATGAGTCAGTCACTCCATTAAGTACTAGAGATACAAATGCAAAATCGAAATGTCTAGTCTCTGACTTCAAGGAGCTCAGTAAATGTCTCCACCTTATTAGGCACAGTTTTTACCCTAAAGAATTCTACTAATTGCTGAAAAATTGTAGGTTTCTTTTTTCCAAAGATAATTCTAATCAGGCTTATTTTCTATTTTTTTTTCTTTATTCCTTTTCAAGTCCTGTTTTCTTAAGGAGAATAAAATGTCAGTGACCCAAGGAAGGAAAAAGACAAGGGAATGAAAACTCCCACACTTAAATATGAAGGTTATGACTTAAATATGACTTCGGTTTAGTATGGTTGCAATAAATGCTAACAGAAATCCCACCTGTTTTCTTTGCAGGCAAGTTTTTCCAGTTTAAACCTTACTGTAAAGGCAGAACTTCATAGTGAAAACTCATCACTGGTGTTAAGTAGTGTTAATCAGAAAAGAGAGGTAAGGAGGTACCAATTCTGAAAACCTTCTAAGTTTCATTCTGCATTTTATGATGTGAGGTTAATGATTATACATCCCACCTAAAACAGTGGAAGAATGGTATTGCTCCAGGTAAGTGTCAGGCACTTTTCTCCCCTCCTTGAAATTGGAATACATTAGCCAAGCATATGATTTTCTTCCAATTCTGAGGTATAGTAAACTGGCACAACTATGCTATTTACTATTAACCTTTGACCTTAGGCAAGCCAACTTCCTGGGCCACAATTCTATTAAATCTGATAACATACTGCGCATACCATTTGTCTTTATAACTTCTAACCATTGCAATAAATGCATGTTTTCACTATTCACATTGATTATCAAAGTTACAATTAGAATTACCCATTCTTAAAAGAGACATTTGGAACTGCAGTTGACATCTAAAGAAAATCCTTGAAAAGCATATTGTTTATAAGTGATTGAATACTACACAGATATGCATATAATTTTAAAAAGCAATATAGATAGGATTATAGCACTGTGGACACGGAGCTGGAAGGGCCTCAGGAGTCATCTAGTTCAATCCCTTCTTTTTATAGATAAGAAAATTGAGGTGTAGAAGGTTGACTTGCCAAGGTCGAATAGGCAGTAAGCATCAGAGGTGGGATTTGGACCCAGGTTTGACTCATTTGATCTTAAAGGAAACTATTTCCAAAACTGATAATAGTGACACAAATAGTTTATATTTAAAGGTTTGCCATGAGGAAAAGAGATTAGATTTGTTATTTTTGTCCTGGAGGAAAGGACCAAAAGAAGGCAGATTTTAATACACCATAAGAAAAAAAACTCACTAACAATATATTCTAAAAACTGAATGGGTTGCTTCAGGAGCGCTTAGTTCCCCATCCATGGATATCTTCAAAGAGAAGTTAAATGACCACTGCAAAGAAAATAAATGTTGCTTAGAGGCTTTATGACATATTGAGGGGACAGTCAGGAAACCTGGCTTCTGATAACGGTTCTGATACTTAACGGCAGCATGACCACAGGTGACAGTGTGGTTCAATGGAAACAACACTCGATTCATAGTTGGAGAATGTTGAAACCAAAGCCCAGGTTTGAATCACTGCCTTGCTACTTGCTACCAGTGTGACTTCAAGCAAATGATTTAAACTCTGAAGGCCTCATTTTTTTTTTCATCTGGGAAATGAGGGGCATGGAATAAGATGAACTCTAAGGTCCCTTCCAACAAGTCACTCCCTTTTTCTCAGCCTAAATTTCCTCACCTGTAAAATTATGTCGAATTATCTAAAAATCATATTATTCTGCCTACAGAACCTGCTTACACTGTATATTGCTTTGATCACTGGTATGATATCATATAGGCAGTAGTCTAAATCAGTGGAATCGAACACTTTGTTGCAACACACCTGAAAACAGCCTTAACCACATTAAAATATTATTGGGAAACATTTAACAAAATATGTAAAAATGCAATAGAATGTAGATAATGTTAATATGTGGTTTTCTAAGTCACTGTGTGACCACTCCTGATGCATGGCTTAGCGATCTCCATTTCCATTTGAGTTTGACATCCCTGATCTACATGCTGTAAGTAGAGAGGCGCTGATGAGTGTCTTCTACACAAAATGTGTGTCCTCTACTGGCCTGATGTTCATCATTAGCTCTCCCTCTGAATCAGAAAAATGAAGCCCCTTATCAAAATATAAATATACAATCCAAGGAGAAGTAATGTTAAGTTGTTACCAGTCATTAACAAGGGCAGCTAGGTGGCTCAATGGATGGTGTGGCAGGCCTGGAGTCAGGAATATTCATCTTCTTGAGTTCAAATCTGGCTATGTGTGACCCTGGGAAAGTCACTTAACCCTTTTTGCCTCAGTTTCCTTATCTGTAAGATGAACTGGAGAGGGAAATGACAAACCACTCTAGTATCTTTGCCAAGAATACCGCAGGTGGGACCATGAAGAGTCAGACACAACTGAACAGTGACAAAAGCAATCCTCTGAGCTCCTAGTGCCTTCTCCCAATACACCTTCTAGATAATTTTTTATGCTGATGTACAATGAGATGCAAGCTTTTTGTCTTCTAGTGCACAGTGCCTGGAATATAATCAACACTCACTCAATAAATGCTAATTGATTGATACATCCTTCATTTGCTCTTCACCATGCCCCACTCCTTGGGATCTCCCTACTTATCTAGCAAACCGGGCTTGGTATCAGCAAGACAGGGATTCAAATCCTTCCTTAGAAGCTTTCTATCTGTGTGATCCTGGGCAAGTCATTTAATCCTGTTTGCCTCAGTTTCCTCATCTTTAAAAATGAGCTGGATAAGGAAATGGCAAACCATTCCATTATCTTTGCCCATGAAAATCCCAAATGGGGTGACAAAGAGTTGGACAAGACTGAAAAATGACTGAAGAACAAGAAGTCATTAACAGCTGTTATGGACTAATTTAGGGTCATATCCCTCTAGTCCTCAACTCACAATTGTGGAAACTGAGGCTCTGAGAAGTTAACTGAATTTACCTCTGCCACACATACTAAGAGACAGAGGTAAAATTTGTGCCGGCATCCTCTGATTTTCCATCAATGCTCATTCTACTGTAGTACCACATTGCCTCCAGCTTCAGTTATCTCTAGGGCTCTAAAATGGGAGAAACAGGAAAGCCACTTGTTGATAAGAGAGTAAAAGACTGATATCACGGAAAATGGGAGGAGAGGTTCTCTGATGGCACCAACCACAGAAGGAAACCTCTAAAAGTTGGGAAGCAGCCTGACATCACAGGAGAAAGGGGAAGAAAAAGCCCAAATATGTTCATTTCACAGTCTTGGAGGATCAGCTCTAACCTAATGGAGCCCTAATTGCCAAAGAAAAATGCAGCCGTGTTCAACATGCAAAACAGAAGGGAATCGTGGTAGAAAGGAAAATTGTTTTAAAAAACTTTGGATTGGAAATAAAGAGAAAGGTTCTAGTCCCAACTTTGCCTCTTATCAGCTATGTGACTCTGGGCAAGTAGAAACAAGTGAAAAACTCTCTGAATTTCCTGACCTGCATATTTAAAACATTAACTCTAATGTTCCTTGCAGCCCTAATATCCTATTAGTTTATGTTCTCTATTCTTGATTTTTCAATAACAAAATTTGAAACAAAGGTTTTCTGGTTAGTTCTAAGTCAATCAGAAAGTCAATCCATCCAATGCATATTAGTTACTTGAAGTTTTGCTGCAAATTAATACTATGGAGGATGATATTGTGAATATTAGTCATAATTATTCAGTCATTTCAGTTGTGTCTGACTCTTCATGACCCCATTGGAGTTTTCTTGGAAAAGATACTGGAATGGTTTACCATTTCCTTCTCCAGATCATTTTTAAAGAAGAGGAAACTGAGGGAGAAACAGAGTTAAGTAACTTACCCAAGGTCACACAGCTATTTAGTGTCTGAGATCAGATTTGAACTCAGGAAGAATAGTCTTTCTGACTCAAGGCCCAGCACTCTATCCACTCTGCTACCCAGCTGCCCATAGTAATAATATCACCATTTATAGAGTGCTTAAAATTTGCAAAATGCTTTTCATACATTGTGTCATTTGATTCCCACAATTAACCTGTGACACAGATACAGTAATACAGGAAATAGATATTATCTGTAGCAGCAGATAAGGTAATACAGATGTCATCCCCATTTTACAGATGAGAAAGTAGGGGCTCAGAGACATTGAGTTTCTCAAGGTTACCCAGCTAGTATTAGAGGCAGAATTTGAACCCAGGTCTTCTTGACTCCAAGTCCAGCACTCTAGTTATTGTGCTACAATATCTTTTCATTGAGTACATTTTATATGATAGAAATTCGGGAATATGGAAATTTATTTAACTTTCTAATTTATACTTAAATACTTGAAATACTCCCTGCACATTGTTTAGAATAATTACATTGTTAAATAGGCATTGTTATACCTGCTATAATAATATCATGCTTTTGACTGTCTGCCTTCATTATTTTCAGCTGGCTATTCAAATATCAAAAGATCTTATACCTGGCCAAGTGCCATTATGGGTGATCCTTCTGAGTGCTTTTGCAGGATTCCTGCTATTGATGCTCCTTATATTAGTATTATGGAAGGTGAGTGCTCTTTCTGCTTATTTTTCTATTATAGGTGAAGGAATCATCACCAACATATACATGGTTAGGAAATGTCCTGCATTAACTGGGTGTAACTACATGTACCTTCAAAATCAGGTCTCGTTTTTGCTTCTGTGTGGTTATGTATATGTACAAGTTTATATGTGTATATATGCAAATACATCTCTATAACTTACCTTAGTTAAAAGAAACATGTTCCTGAAAAGTTGTTTGTAAACGGAATTTTTGTGAATGAACCAAGATCCAAGGATACCTTTCACAAAATCTAATTCTTTCTCATTTTGTAGCCCCTAATTAATCTTTTGTACAAATCTGGTTTTTCACATCTAAGGCTCCATTACAGTGAAGGTATAAGGGAATATTTTGTACATTTCTTTGAATCATACTACTAGCATAATAGAGAAGAATTAATACCATTGAGTTTAGTAAATGAAGAGTGAATAGAAATTTGATTACAGTGGTTTACCAATTGTATAGAACATTACGGGATAGATAGGTGGTCTTGTGGATAGATCTCTGAGTCTAGGGTCAGGAAGACTCCTCTCCCTGATTTCTAATCTGGCCTCAGAAACTTACTAGCTATGTGACCCTGGGCAAGTCCCTTAACCCTGTTTGCCTCAGTTTCCTCATCTATAAAATGAGCTGAAGAAGGAAATGGCAAACCACTCTAGTGTCTTTGCCAAGAAAACTCCAAATGAAGTCAGACAAAACTGAAACAACTGAACAACAGCAGCAAATAGAACACTGAGAAATGGATAGGAACAGAGACTAGTGATTTTACTGGTAGACAGAATTCCCAAATGAAACTCCTTTTACCAATGCAGCTCATCACCTCTGTAACTGATAATCAAGAGAGTTGCCTACACTGTGGAGAGGTTATGACTTAACCTGAGTCACACAGCCAGGACATGTCTCTGACCAGACTTGAATTCAGGTTCTGCTTGTTTCTCCTCTAAATCATGGCCTTCGCTATATCAAATTTATGTTACCTCATATTTTATTTCCTAAAATAATGAAAATACAACCAAAAAAAACATTAATACTTTAAAATATAAATTGTTGGTACTTGTTAATTTGAGCACTTTCCCAATAATTAAACCAACTATATCATCTTTTTACCCTGGAACATGCATTCTCAAGAAGATGTTGCCATATTTAACAGTGATAAAACTGATTAAAAGGATATTGAGCCTTTAGGAAATAACAAGTTCAATATGAATCAACAGTTTGAGATGGCAGGCCCCAAACTTACTGTTTAGAGATGGATTTTTAATCTTTTGGGGGGGAGGTGATGAATCCGTTTGGCAGTCTGGGGAAGACCAGAGGCATCAAACAGGCAGTGTTTTGCAGCCCACAACACCCCCAAGTGGGGCCTGAAGCAGATTAAAATGTAATTGAGAAATATTTAACAAAATAAATAAAAATTAATTAATGGTAATATGTGGTTTTCTAAGGCAATGTGTTGATACAGGGATACTTATGCATGTTTTAGTGGCTCCAATTTCCATCGGAGTTTGACACCGCTAGTGAAAACTATGGAATCTTTCTAAGAATAATGTAAACAACAACAACAAAAAAGGAAACCAATTATGTTGAGAGTTACCAAAAGGCATGTTTTTTTTTTAATCCAAGTTCGTGTATGCTATGTTAAGAACCCCCAGTCATGAGAGGGTTCATTCTAATTCTGAAATTCTGGAAGTCTATGGTGTGTGGCTGTTGTGGTTGTTACTGTTTCTCTAAAAGAAATCATTCTTTCTCTGTCCTTTCCAACTCAAAGTTATTTTTCATGTGGTGCACAGCTTCTCTTTTGGGAGTAGTAGGGAAGGAGGAAAAGGATCTCCAAAACTATTCAAATCCTAGTTGACAAGTAGATGCAATCTCTGGTCTTTCTCCAAGAAACCCACGGGAATAAGGTTTTTTTCACCCCTTCTTAATCAGAACTGTTTTTACTTTGCTTTGAGCACTTTCTGCAATACTTCTCTAGCCACAGTGTGGCGCACAAATCCTGGTTTACTGTTAGTGTAATGGGGCTTAATTTCAGGCCAATCTTGTATACTGTTTCAATAGTTCTGTATACCTTCAACTGAGATGGTGGCCACTGCATATATATTTGAGTGTGACCATTCGTAACATAGTCTGCTACTCATGAGTTAAAATGATTCCTTGGCCTTCACTGCATGTTACTAAGAATGCCACTTTAAAAAGAGAAAGAGTATATTGGAAATCTGGATAAGCTCTGAGAGGTTTGTTGCTGTGATTTCTTCTTGGACTCTTTAGTGGAGATTGTAAACAAGTACCCAAAAAAACCCATTTTGTTCCTAAAATTCCACCCCCTCTTTATGTTACCAGGCTACAAGAATACAATGTATAGCTAAGAATACTCAGTCTCTTATAGGATATCCTGTTGAATGCATATGATGAGTTCTTCAGATGTTTCCTGACTGCCTTCATAAGGGGAATGCTAACATACCAGAGAAAACAAATATGGCACAGGGTAAAGAGAGCTATATTTGGACCCAGGGAAACTGGGTTTATATCTAGGGTCTAGCACCTAGTATCTGTGTTTCCTTGGTCACAATTTCCTCATCCAAAAAACAAGTGTTGAGCTAGATAAATTTAAGGTCCCTTTCAATCTCTACCTTTCACCCTGAGTAAGAATTTGACTGTGTTCGAGAGGGAAGAAGCCAGAATAACCAGAGCATTATCTTTAGTCTTCCAGCCAGGTAGACCCTCACCCTCACTCCAGGAAGGCACTAGACGAACCTTGGGGCCTTGATGACATGTGGGCTTAGTCTGGAGCAAGCACAGGTGATCTATACGATCTATGGCCATGATAGCCAATAAAATTTATCCAGGACTAGAACAGACCTTTCAGAACCAACCCTTGACTTCCTGGTTCTCTAAATTTCCCTAAAGCAGAAATTCAGATGGAGCAGTAGTGATTCTCCTGGGATTGTAACCAGTTTCTAAAAGTCTTGTGGAGATGGACTGATACAGCATTCATGGAGTTTCATTGTCCTAGCAAGAGTTTCCCTCCAGAATGAAATTACCATGGGCATTAATGCCACACTGAGGGACAAGCTCGATCAGGGTGTCCCACACCCCAAAAGACCCTCTTACCTCCCTAAAAAATCTTTTCTTTGAACTAGTTCAATAATAACAATAACATTTGTTGATTATTTCAGTTGCAAAGGCCTGAAATCCACCACTAATTCTACATTCCTTTGATGTAATGTCATGCTCTCTATTAACATGCAAATCCTCTCAGGAGGGTATTATGCTTATAATCTTATCAGTCATTTATACGTTTCCATGAATGATTTCATTTCTGAAAATAAGTTTTGACAGAGGGAAGAAAAGAACTTCAAGTCACCTGGGAGAGGGGGTAAGATAATGGGGGAGAATGAACAGTGCAAGGCGAGGCTAAGGACCTAAGGAAAGCCTGATTCACAACCTTGCCCAGAGTCCACAGGATCATTGGATTTAGAGTCGAAAGGGACATTCAAGATCACCTAGCTCAATTCCTTAATTTTGTAGTTGAGGAAACCAAGTCTCAGAGAAACTAAGTAACATAGATAGGATTTGAACCCACGTCCCCAATACCAAAGCATATGTTGTATGTAAATAAGGGAGTGTTGGAAGCCAGCTCAGCTCTCACAAGTGGAGTGTTTTGAAAGTTGACAAATGCTACAAATCAGGACTTTCTTGATTTATGATTTTATGGATTTTCTAGATTTACTAAAGTATACTAATGCTGCTTAAACTTAAAAATATGTTGTGGGTACGTTATTCTTTCATAGAGAAACAGTTGTTTAAAAAAATTGAACAGCAAACAAACCCACGTCTATAAAGGTTGTTAGGAGACTGAGACTTTTAATTGATGGAGGAGAGTAAACTCTTGTGTGCCTCAGCTTGGAGCTTAGTAGCCCAAGGTTCTCTTGCTAGAATCCAGCTGCTGGTGGTAGGTGTGGAAAAGTGGAGATGGAGTTCATAGTGACTCTAGGACAACCATTTAGTGGGGGAAATGATACTAAACTTCTCTTTCAAGTTAGTTACAACTACACATCCCAGAAACTCTTCTCGAAGCCAGGTGTGGAAGGTGTTAGATTGTAAAAGCATCAGGCATCTTAGCATGTGCCTACATGATATCAAATTGAAAACAGCTAGGCAAAGGTCTAGGAAGAGGGACATGGAGATGGCAGCTGCCAGGGGAGGTACACCCCCTAAACTGGAAGTATATACCACCCTCCTTCAGGTTGTTGCTGCCACTCCAGGGCGTAGCCCTTACTGCCCCTCACCAGTTACAACTGAGTCAGGTTCATCTAGCTTCAAAATTGCTTGTTGAGAAATTAATTGGTCTAGTAAAATGGAAATTGGCATTTGTCCAGCTTCACTTAAACTGTAGTTATTGGTAGGAGAGCTTCGTACAGTGATTTTGGAGAGTTATGCTTCTAACAAAAAGTCACATTTCAAAGAGGGGAAAAGTTCGACTAATGGAAACTGCGTCTGTGATGCCCAGGTAGCTAGATTATACTGTTGATTAAATCACTGAAGGCTTTAGGAATGTCCTACAGTTTGAAATGCATGTTTATCTCAGAGAGGATGGGTTCATTCTGGCCTCCACTGCACAGATGACTGCAAGATGGCGTTGGGGGTTTGGTGAGGGGGTAAGGAAAATCTAAATATCCTTACAAAGATGGTAAAAACTATTTCAGAATTTTCCATGTCTGTGGATTACTACCTCTGCTCCTCAGGGGATTCTGGTATCCTTCTAGCAGAGAACACACCCATGCCAGTGTAGCTGACTCAGGTCTGGAGAAGACTCCATAAGCCAACAGCTACAGGATGGATTGAACCTCCTGAGACTGCCCTGTGCTGAACCTTTAGATTTAGGGATATGCAAAAAGGTTAAAATAATATTTAATATTTACATAGCCTATATGTATATGTTATCTCCTTACAACAAACCTGTAAGGTAGGAACTATTTTACAGATGAAGAAACTGAATCTGAGGGAGGTGACTTATCCAGGTCATGTTACTTGTAAGTATCTGAGGCAGAATTCAAACTTAGATCTTCTTGACTTCAAGAACAGCACTCTATCTACTTGCTGCCAGCTAGCTAATTACTAGTTGTGTAACTAAGGAAAATCCGACACTAAAAAAAAACCTGGTCCAGGTGCTTAACAACTTCTACATGTCCTGGCTGTTGCTAGACCTGGCTAGCGTATCCTTAGCTAACCCTGTCTTATGCCCATCAGATAGTTTCTGGGGAATTTATCTTCCACTTTGAGAAAAAAGAATAATGGAAAGGGAGGGGAAACTACCAGTTTCGGGTGTGCCTCACAAAACACTTATCCATGTTAGTACAAGGTTTATTTTGTCATTTTGCTGGGAAAAAAATGTCTTTGACCAATCAAAATTTTCTGAGTATGGCAGTAATTTGACAAATGTTCAAAGTGTAGTAAAACTGATAATTAACCTTTTATGAATTGCTATCCCAAAAATTTCTAATAAATGACTAAAGCAAAATTTTCAGACTTCACCTGTGATCTCATTAGTAGTGTAAGGAACACCCTGTGAGGAAAAGCTCTCTATGTATGTTGGTCAGCATTTGTCCTACTTGTTGTTCAGTCCTGTCAGACTCTTCATGACCCCATTTGAGGTTTTCTTGGCAAAGATTCTAGAGTGATTTACCATTTCCTTCTCCAGCGCATTTTACAGATGACTAAAGTGAGGCAAACAGGGTTAAGTGACTTACCCAGGGTCTCACAGGTAATAAGTGTCTGAGGCCAGATTTGAACTCACAAAGATGAGTCTTCCTGACTTCAGGCCTGGCACTCTATCCACTGTGCTACATAGCTGCCTAATTTGTTGTGTTAATTATAGTCTTAAAGGGTTGCCTAGGGCACTAAGAGGTTAAGTGACTTGCCCAGGATGACACCTATAATATGTGTGAGAGGAGGGACTTGTCAGAGGAGATTTATGGGACATAGAAAATTCTGGAGTAGTTTTCTATCACCTTTGTTAGGATTTATAACTTCCACTCTCTTTCCACCAAAAAACCCCCACCCACCATCTCAGAATCTTTTCTGGGTTGAGGCCCAGAACTACCCTGAGACAAACACACCTTTCAAAGTGTTTGAAAGAGTTTGTTGATTTAATCAACAAAGGCCTAGGGCTACTATGAGTATCATAGCTGAGGAGTTTTCATTTATCAGATTTTTCCTTTTTTTGAAATGTGGCTGTTTTTCAGTTCTCTATTTAATACACAGTTCTGCCTTATTCGTGATAATGCTGATAACACATTAAAACCATAAGGTTATCAATTATAATCATAATTGTTATATTAATATCATTATTAGCATTTACTTCCCAAATCTTGATATCAAATTATACTTATATTTTATATTTTCTTTACAGATTGGATTCTTCAAAAGACCACTAAAGAAGAAGATGGAAAAATGAAATTTCATGCCAGAGGAAAAAAATTGCAATTGTTCAATGATCTGTCCTCAGGCTTGCTTCAAATTTGTGACCAGAAAAAGTCTAAATGTAATTATCATCTACAGGGTCACATACCTTTGTTCCATCAAGGATTTAATCACCTAGCGGAGAAAAAAAAAACAACAGATCAAGAATGAACCCAAAAGACAACCATAAATTTACATTTGTAAAATATCAAGAAATATTTTAAAACAATTACTCATTTTTGCTGAGTAATTGAATGTATGATTACAAAATGTTTTGAATAGGAAGGACAACCTATTCAAATGTGATTCAGGAATGAAGGAAAAGATGTTGTCAGGCTCACGGAAACATGCTTTGTTTTGTTTTTTTGCTCCAGAAAAATACAAGTTAGACTTTCTTTCTCTGAACCCAATGCAAATCTAGACTTTTAGAGTTTGAAAATGCATGTACATGCCAGGAAAGGGCTGGCTTGCTAGGGTCACTTCCCATCATGCACAACTGATCTCAAGGGAGAGGACGTTCTGTAACATGGACTCATGACACAGAGAAGACAAACACAGAATGAAGCAGGGTCATACAGCAGGTAGCCTTTAGGTCAATTTCTGTGCATGGAAATATTTCCCAGGCTGTCAAGAAAGCAAGGTGTCTCCGGCTGAAATTCTATCCTAAATTGAGAATGATGCACCGCTAGAAGACAAGCACACTGAATGGCTGGGTTTATAAGCTTTCACAAGGCATACTGACCTTGCATTTTTGAGCTGTAAGAATCAATGTAAAACTTCATGGTAGCGAAAGAAGCACTTAAAAACAATTTTTAGTTTTATGTGTACCTTTAAAATGTGATGTGATTTATTCCCAAAGAACACAGTGTGAGGGATATGCTGAAATGAGTTCTCAAAAATGGGATGTAGTTGGCAAGTGACTATGAAGTACCTGTTGCACCTTTATGCATCTGCTTTGAGTTTTGAGGGACCCTGAACTCCCATTTTCTAAGGCAGCCCAAAGAAGGAGTTCTCTTAGGTCCTCGGTACAGGGTTGGTCCAATCCAAAAACTAAGACAGGGTTTTTATTTTATTTTATTTTTGTTTTTTATTTTGTTTCTTGGGGTTTATTTTTTCAAATTCATTTCTTTTATTGTGTAAAAGACAAAATTCCATTTTAGAATAAGACCACCAAAAAGTGTTTTCAGTGCATGAGCTACATATATGTGTGTGTATATATCAAGTAACTACATCACTAGAAATATATTTAAAGCATTTTTGTTTGAAAGCTGGCAACAAGAAGTCATTGCTCCATGTTTATCTTCTTTTCTTTTAAAGCAATTTTCCTAAGGCAAATAGAGTTAACCAGAACACCAGCTGCCATGGACAATCCTTTTATTTCCTGTCAGTAATACCAAATGAACAAATGCACAGTAGTTGTAACAGTCAATAAAGTAATTTAGTAAGTGCCTACTGTGTGTCAGGCACTGTGCTAAGTGCTAAGAATACAAAGGAAGGCAAAAGATAGCTCCAGCTATCAAGGGCTTACAGTCCAACAAGGAAACAATATGAAAACAACTATGTACAAGAAAGTACATTACAGGATAAATGGGAGAGAATCAATAGAGAGAAGGCACCAATATTAAGAAGGATCAGGACAGGTTTCTAGCAGAAAATAGGATTTTAGCTAGAATCTGAAGGAAGCCAGGAAGTATAAATAAGAAGGGAGAGTGTTCCAAGCATGGGAAAATGCCCAGAGACTGAAGATAGAATGTCTTGGGCAGGAACTGCAAGGAGGCCATTATCATTGGACCACAGAGTATGTAGGGAGAAGGGAGGACCAAAGTGTAAAAGACTGGAAAGGTAGGAGACCAGATTGTGAAGGTCTTTGAATGCCAAGAATCATTCTATATTTGATTCTGGAGATGAGAGCACTGGTGTTTATTGAATAAGGAGGTGACCTGGTCACAGTTACCCATTATGTGTGGACTATACTGTTGCAAAGAACATACAAGTTTTAAAACAGCTTTCCAGTTGTTACCACACCCCATCTAGTGTGATTTACTAGAATAAAAACTCAATCGACCAGAACTTAGTACCTAAAGAGGAGCTTCAGTTAACCAGCATTTTTCTATGGTCATTTCTAAGGAAAAATAAAGCAAATAAGAAAATAAGCCAATAGCAGAGATTACTAAAAAGCTTCAACTTCAAGATGTTCCAATTCAAAGTCAGCCCACTTTCCTAACATTTCCATATCTATACCTGTACTATGATTAATAGTAAGATTAATTATGTCCTCTAGTCTTCCCTTTCTTCACCCCTTATGCACTTATTAACACCTCCTCACTCTTGCTGCCCATAGACACAATACTTTCATGGCACCTAATCATTGCTCCCAAACCTCCACCTTGTCATTCCCTTCACGTATGCCATACTTTTACTCCAAGATTACCACTTCCTATTGATTCCCTTTTGCTTATCAAAATTCATATTACTCAGTGTTCTGATCTCAGCTAATTCTTAGGCAGAAATCAAACTGATAGGGATAATTAGCCTCTCAGCCTCAGTTTCCTCAGCTTTAAAATGAGGTGGTTGGACTAGAAGACTTCTAAGGTCTCTGTCTAGCACTATATCTATGATTCTAATTCATACTAAGGTGATACTTCAACTTTCCCATAGGGTGTTTGTGTTTTAAAAGAAAATGCTTACTGATCCACTGGAAGAAAGTTTCAGTGGTAGAATTCCAGATAATATGAAAAATCCTAAGAGAAGTATTTAGGATCTAGATAACTTCCTAGTGCCCTTCAAGTCATACAAAGTATGTGATTACCTGTTCTTTCTACCCAGAAGTAGTTGCAACCCCATTTTCAACCATGGGGTGGAAACAAAAAGTAATATCTGTGTACTAATAAGAACTTCCATTTTTCCCATGTTACTTCATTAAAGCTTTATTACATATAGAATATATGTGCGTGTATACACACACACACACACACACACACACACACACTATTCAGAGTTGAGACAGGAACACAGGTCTTCTTAACTTCAAGGCCAGCTCTATCCACTATTAAAGTAAATAAACAATTAAGTATGACATTTTCATATTTAAATACAAAAAAGGTAAAAATGAAAAAAGGTTTTCTTTGCTCACTTTGCATATGATCTCAAACTTCATCAATCCTTTGATTTACTTTTACAATATGGCAGTTATGTAAACATTAATTGATTACACTTTGAAGTATGACTAAAAATTAAGTAGAGAAACAGCAAAAGTAGATTCCTAAAAAGATTTCCATATAGTCTGTTTACCTGCACATTATGTATGTATATATAGATATATATGTATATATGTGTGTGTTTGTGTATGTATATAATATATATATACACATATGTGTGTATACATACATATATATGCATTTAACTGAAGGACTAAGCATATTAAAAGTTGTGTGAGCAGACTGGCTAACAGAATATTTTATTTTAAAATGTTGCTAGTGTTTTTATTCAACTGGTTGCCTTAGCTCCATTTGTGGTTTGCTTTTCAATTCCTTCCTCATACCATAAATTTTAAACACACTTAAGATTTAACTGCATTGTACAATATTGACAATATTGTGTGTATGGGACACATTGCCAGAGCTCAAGTTCCATAGACCCCAGGTTATGACCTTAAGTTTGTGTTAATACAATTTCTGCACTTAACAAGAAAAAGAAGAGATGGAAAATATATCTGTGCAATGTGACACATAGCTTTCTAGGATCTACATGGCTTCAGAGACATGACTGGGCATCTGTGTGCCTTGCACAAATGTCATGAAAAATAGATGATAACAAATGCAAGTGTTCTTGGAAAACCACAACAAATATAGGAGGAGCTCACCTAGGGGAGAAAATGAAAAAGAAAAAATATTTATTAGGTGCTTACTATATATATTGAGCTATATACTATATATTAAGCACTGGAGATATAAATAGAAAAGCAAGATATCCCCTCTCTCAAGGAACTCACATTCTAATAAGGGGAAGGCATGCATTCAGGAAGTTTTCAGCTGCAAGTCAGATGGTAACTTCCTATTCTGATTAATTATTTTTGTTAACTAGGTGATATGCTTGTTTTGATTTTTTTTTCTGGCTACTGATGGACTACTGCAAGTGTCTTCCATTCCCTATAAATTTTAGTGTGCAGGGACAAAGTCAAGTCTCCTTGCCCTAATTTTGGTTCTAATAGCTACCAAGAAGAAAAACCATTTGCCTGCCATGTTCAAGTATCTCAAGACTTGATTATTATTTGAGAAGGGACATCCTTGTACCCTGCCAAAGAGTTGTTAGTCAGTTTGGATTTCTTTCTCAGTGTCCAAAACTATCAATTTCATTCAGCAAACTAACTTCATGGAAAATACCACCTCCAAATGTTCAAATTTGTTGTGGATGTGAATGAAGAAGAAAGATGCAGGAGATACAATGAATTTTCAAAAAGAATTCTATATTTGAGCTTGAAGAGGAAGAAAGAGGAACAGAATTATCCTCTTTTGCCTAAATTTAGGTTTAAGCATAGGCAGAGCAAAGAAATGTTTGCTTAAAAAAAAAAGACCAGGTTGTGAGTTAGTAAATTTGAGGTGGCACCAAGTGTCTTGAGCAGCCCTGTTTACAGTATATGCTCCCAAATATTTCTGAGGCCCACATACCATTTATAGGACTGCTCTAATAAGATTCTTCACAGTGCTAGCTAGTGCCAGCCAGGCTTTGTCCTTTCTTTGTCTAATACACTGTAATCTGCTGCATTTGAATTTTATGTGCAAATATAGCCAAAGTTAACAAACTAGTAATGGCCAAACAGCAGATCTAGTCTGTATATCTTTATGATTTTAAAATATGCTCTGAAATATGCACACTGTTTAAGAGGTATGGGGCAGGGGGAACGGGAAGGGCTTATTCTGACAGATGATTTTATAGTATTTTATACATTGTCCTTGTATTTGTAACTGTTCCTCATTCTATACCCTCCCCAGCACACTCCTCTCTTGTCCCTTTTCCTCCACACCTCACCCCTCAAAGAGGTTTTCAAGGACTCGTGTTATAATAAATCTAGGTCTATTGAATTTCAATAAAATGTGTATTTTATTTAAATTAAAAAGGCTTGAATCATTGGGTCATTTTGGGAATACCTCACCTTTCTATGCAATCACTGTATAATATCAGAGAGACAGCTCATTCATCTGCAAGTTTCCACAAGCATATCTTAGAGGGATGGACACCTCACAGATAAGTAGAACTCAGTAGGGGAGTTATGATACAGGGTGACCCTAAGAACATCAAATATATTATACCTTAGAGACAGCTATCAGGAGCACTAAATAATAATAATTAAGATTAAACAATTCTCAGCAGACAGTATCTGTTTTTTGTTCATCAGAATTCCCCCCAAAACTATATTTGTCCTGCAATAGTCATTTACTATCAGGCCTGGAGTCAGGAGGACTGATCTTTGTGAGTTCAAATCTGGCCTCAGATATCTTTAGCACCTTGGGCAAGTCACTTAACCCTATTAGCTTCAGTTTCCTCATCTGTAAAATGAGCTGCAGAAGGAAATGGCAAACCGCTCCAGTATCTTTGCCAAGAAAACCCCAAATGGAGTCAAGAACAGTTGGACAACACCACTGAACAATAACAATGGCAAAGTCATTTACCGTACATAAAAATGCAGACTGCTTGTAAATCTTGTTTCAAACCCTACCTCAGGCATGTATTACCTGTTTGACCTTAGATAAATCACCAGTTAGTAAACTACCCTGGGCCTCAATTTCCTCATCAGTAAAATGAGAAGGTTGGACTAGGTCAGGGTTGGTGTAAAGTTTGGATTCAGTCAAAGGGCTACACCCGAGGACCTAGAGGGCCTCATGTGGCCTTGAGATCACAGGTTCCCCACCCCTGTCCTAGACAGGTGACCTCTCAAGTCGCTTCTATCTATATCCTATGGTTAATTCAAAACCTTTACCTCTGTCCCAGCTGCCTGACTTGAAACTTAATCCAGAAATTCAGAGTAATTGGATCTTTAGCGGTCAACCTTATTGTGAAATATCTTACTTGGGCAGCATTTCTGACTTTGTGGGGTCCCCACTTCTAAGCTCCTGGGAGAATATTTGTCTGCCAGGAAAAAGGTGTTAAGATTAACCCCCTATATTCTTTTGCCAGGGATTCCCTACACCACAACAAGACAGCCTACAATAATATTCCTTGTTACAATCATCACTCAAAAAACAGGGAAAAATGAAAAGAGAATTGATGGCATTTCAAATGCTTTCCTGCCTATCCTCAGATCAGATTTATATTCATTATAAATGAAAACATTGTGCAATAGAAGATAAGTCACCCAGTTCAAGGCTCTGAGGAATTCCTTGCTTTTTTCAAAAGCCAGCAGCTGGGAAATTTCAATGCCATGAGAACTGGGCAATGGGAATTCGAGGCCTGATTTGAATGAGAGGCACCCATGATCTCATCGTGCTCCAATTGGTTTCTCCTCAGCTACTCCACAGTGGGAGGCTTTTGTTTTGGTCTGGGGCTTCCTTGGCAAGGCCATTATCTGCCAAGGTCTTGAATACTTTTTGGCTGAAGGGAGCCTGTGAAATCCTGAGCCATCTGACACTGTAATAATAGGCTGAAGCCTGAGAGGTGCTCCTGGCTAAGAATGTGCTAGCACAACGTTGTTGAGGGGTTTGAAGTCACGCCCTTGTGAGAGCTGAGACCTCGGGGGGGGGGGGGGGGGGGGCTGCTGCGTCACCAAAGCCCAGGCGGGAAACCCACATTTGCTATTCAAATTCAGCCTGCTCTTCTCCCCTGTAGATGTCAGTTGGGAGGATGAAGTTGATAAAAACTGTGAAAAGAATACCCAATGACATGCAAAGTATCCTTGTGTAGTACTCCATTGTGCTCTGTTTTAACACACCCTCACACTCACATACGTGCACGCTTACCCCCCCACACACACACAGAGGAATGTTTGTTATGGGAAAGCAAGGGAATTTAATTGTTCCTGTCTTCTATAGAACTACCTGGTGTCTGTAAACTTGGGAGTGTGTGGCATCCTTGGCAACCTTGAAAGAAGTTGCATTGTGTGAGGCCTGGAGCATATCCAGTGCTGGAGCCTAGAGAGGCAGGAAATAAAACTCGAGTCGTGTTTCCCTTAAGCAGCTCCCTGCCCCCAACTGCATGCCCTTAATCCATACATATATCAAAGAATAAACTGGGTTTTAATATTAACATATGATTTTTTAGCACACCATTTTGATGAGGAAGTAGTATTCCAGCTCCCATATCTCTCCTCCACCAGCTCAGACTTTGTCGTGTAAGGTTATTTTACTTATAAAGAAGAAAAAGTTGATCACGTCCCTAAACTCCCTCTTGACTTTAAACTCCCTGAGAGCAGGGATTGTGTCTTAGTCTCATGGCACCTATAACTCAGTGCCTTGCAAAATAGTAAGCACTTAAAATAAATTATTATTATAAAACTATCAGGGACTTCAGAGATGATCAAGTCCAGCCCCATTATTTTACAGATGGAGTATCATCTTGCTATCAAGAGCAGAAAGGTAATAAACTAAGGTAGGATTTGAACCAAGGTCCTCTAGCCTCCAGAGTCAGTGTTCTTTCTACTGTTACTTATTAGTAGATTGATTAATTGCTTAGTCAGGCACAGATCTAATTCCCACTTTTCTCCACAACCTGGCAGAAAGAAGTCAATCTACTAAGAGTGTTGTTGTTATTCAGTTGTTTCAGTCATGTCTGACTCTTTGTGACTCCATTTGGGGTTTTCTTGGCAAAGATACTGGAGTGGTTTGCTGTTTCCTTCTGCAGCTCGTTTCACAGATGAGGAAACTAAGGCCGACAGGGTTAAGTCACTTGCCCAGGGTCACATATCTAGTAAGTGTCTGAGGTCAAATTTGAACTCAAGTCTTCCTGACTCCAAGGCCAGCACCTAGCAGCCTCACTAAGGGTATCCCCCTTGAATCAGATATAGCTTGCATTAATGAAGGAAACTCAGAGAGCCATACAGTCCAACATTCCTTTAAAAAAAAAAGTAAAGTTTACAAAAGCACCAGGAGACAATTACAAACAGTAGTATTTAACATTTTACTTTTGAAAAGTAGGCCCCTTCCCCACCATGTACTCAGGATGCAATGGAAACAGCTATGACCCTTGTTAGGAAACACAGCTGCAGGAAGAATGATAACTTGTAGACTTATATTGTGAGGCTTTCTAATCTTCAGTGGAAAGTATTTTGTGTTCTTTAAAAAAATTATATTCATTTTATCTCACTAAATATTTAATAACCGCTTTCCTGAAACAATAAACATCACATGTAGCTGTTGTATTTACTCCAAAGAGTCTCACTGTACAATATGACATAAGCTCTATTTTTGTTTATTTTTACCACAGAAAATCTTCATTGAAAGAAATAGTATAGGGTCTTACTCATTTCAATGAAACAAACATATTAGAAGGAAATGCTTTGTTTTGGCTTTTTTTTTTTGCTTGCAACTATTTACAAAAGAATGATGAATTTAAAGATAGAAGGGACTTCACAGACCATCCCATCTAATCCCCTCATTTTACAAATCGGGAAACCAATAAATAAACAAATAAAGAGAATTGTCCAAGGCCACAGATTACTGTCAGACCCTGAGAAATTCAGGATTTGATCCTGGGCTGCTTGATTCTAAATCCAGCATTCTTTCCTCTGCACCAACAAGGATTTAATCTGATTCCATATTGATTATTAAATAATTCTGCTTAATAAATGCTAATGCATTATTTTTAAAAGTTATTTTGTTAAGATATGAAGTAAGCCACTTATGTTTGGAGGCTGACATAGCTGGACATGACTGAGAAATCTGGAAAAAACTTTTAGAGTGTCTCAAATATTGAATATCCTGTATGCTGATTTGGAGGTCAAAGGTTTTGTGCTTTGGTATGATTCTATTTTATCTTATGCATCAGCTGTGTGTTTTGCGTCAACTAAATTAGCATCCTGCCTTAAATGTTGAATAAAAGTGACTCTTTAAAAGAATGTGATTTCAGCATTCTTTGGAAGCACATGAACTTGATCCAAAATTAAAATGAGCTTTCAAACTTTTAACTTTTTTTAGCTTTAGAATTTTTTTTTCTTATTGTTTAAAAAGGAAATTTAAAAAAATCTGTCTGTGATGTTTCCTGGACATGGCATATCAATATAATGACACTTTATCAAACAAAAGACAAAATCAGAAATATCTTTCCTGGTAAAATGTTCCTAAGCTAACTATTGAAGAACAGATTGGGTTACCTGTTGAGAAATCTAGAAAAAAATCTCATCAAGGAAGAGAAGTTCAAAATGTTTACTCTTCCGTTCTTCCTGAAACTTAAGGGGAAGAGGAGAAGGGAGAAATTTGTTATAGCATAGGAATGAAGGCTTAAAGGAAGAAGCTTTAATGTTAATATCTTTTTACACTAAAAAAATCATACCCACTCTGTTGCTTTCATCTTCAGACACCCCTGCAAATATAAGTAAGGCTAGTATTATCTCCTCTTCACAAATGAGGAAGTTGAGGCACAGAAAGTTTTAGATGTATTGGCAATGTGTCTGCTATGTATAACTTCCATAGCAATAATTGAACTACTACATCTCATTGATCCCAGCTATTTAATAGGCTTCCATAAGGAGCAGCCTGAGTTCTCAGAGAGGCTATGAGGAAGTGTAGCTGGATTGGAGAAGAGGCCCTGCCTGACCTCTGCTTATCATATTCAGATACTTCAAAGTGAGGGATGATGAGACCTTTAAGTCCAGGGTGGACTAGGGGTTAGTATGATCTCTCATTGTTGATGTTTTGAACATGGCCAATGTAGAAATTTGTTTTGCTTGACCACACCTGTTTTATAAACAGGGTTTTGTTTTCCTTTCATTCTCAGTTGAAAGTGGGGGTTGAGGTAGGGGGAGAAAAGATAGATTTTTGATCATTGAAAAATAGTATGCATATATAATTATTATATAGTGTATGGTATATGATAGTCAATAAAATATAATGATATATGTACTAACATTATAATCACATATATATATATATATATATATATATATATTTAAAGAAAAGGCATGGAGGA